ACTTATGCGTCTCAAAATTCATTCCTTTTGACTAGAAAAGTCCAATAAATCGAATGATATAACTGGCAACTTAATATCTTGAACCATTTTGAAATAATGAACACGGAAACTCGAAAAATATTTTTTGAGACGCAGATGGGACGTGATTTCGATTGAAATTGAACTAATATTCAACAACTGAGTCCAGAAATGCATTCAGCATTGCAAAATTAGTCTAGAAACTCAATTTCAGGTAGACTGGAAGCGTTTCAATTTTTTGCCTTATTTTCCACCAAACCTCTATGTCGCAAAATTTCTGAATTCGACAATTTCAAATTATCTCGGCTAATTAGGCTCCCAGCTTCCTGAAAATTAGTCTCTATACTAATTCGAACCTCGTGAATACGAATCCAAGTTCAGAATTGACCTGGGGAGCTTTCTGATTTTTTTCTATTTTTATATAAAGCCATCTAGAGAAAAATTACATCGTCAATTTAATTTATCTCTCCGGCCCGAACGGCTCACTTATGCGTCTCAAAATTCATTCTTTTTGACTAGAAAAGTCTAAGAAATCGAATGATTTAACTGGCAACTCAATATCTTGAACCATTTTGAAATGATGAACACGGAAACTCAAAAAATATTTTTTGAGATGCAGATGAAACGTGATTTCGATTGAAATCGAATTCAACAACTGAGTCCAGAAATGCATTTAGCATTGCAAAATTAGTCTAGAAACTATTTCAGGCAGACAGGAAGTGTTTCAATTTTTTGCGTTATTTTCCACCAACCCTCTATGTCGCAAAATTTCTGATTTCGACAATTTCAAATTATCTCGGCTAATTAGGCTCCCAGCTTTCTGAAAATTAGTCTCTATACTAATTCGAACCTCGTGAATACGAATCCAAGTTCAGAATTGATCTGCGGAGCTTCCTGATTTTTTTTTTAATTTTTTATATGAAGCCATCTTTAGAAAAAGTACATCGTCAGTTTAATTTATCTCTCAGGCTCGAACGGCTCACTTATCCGTCTCAAAATTTATTCCTTTTGACTAGAAGAGTCCAAGAAATCGAATGATATAACTGACAACTCAATATCTTGAACCATCTTGAAATGATAAACACGGAAACTCAAAAAATATTTTTTGACATGCAGATGAAACGTGATTTCGATTGAAATAGTTCAACAACTGAGTTCAGAAATACATTCAGCATTGGAAAATTAGTCTAGAAACTCAATTTCAGGCAGACAGGAAGTGTTTCAATTTTTTGCCTTATTTTCCACCAACCTTCTATGTCGCAAAATTTCTGATTTCGACAATTTCAAATTATCTCGGCTAATTAGGCTCCCAGCTTCCTGAAAATTAGTCTCTTTACTAATTCGAACCGTCTGAATTCGAATCCGACTTCAGAATTGACCAGCGGAGCTTCCTGATTTTTTTTTTTATTTTTAATGTGAAGCCATCTATAGAAAAATTACATCGTCAGTTTAATTTATCTCTCAGGCCCGAACGGCTCACTTATGTGTCTCAAAATTCATTTCTTTTGACTAGAAAAGTCCAAGAAATCGAATGATATAACTGGCAACTCAATATCTTGAAGCATTTTGGAATAATGAATACGGAAACTCGAAAAATATTTTTTGAGACGCAGATGGAACGTGATATCGATTGAAATCGAACTAATATTCAACAACTGAGTCCAGAAATGCATTCAGGATTGCAAAATTAATCTAGAAACCCAATTTCAGGCAGACAGGAAGCGTTTCAATTTTTTGCCTTATTTTCCACCAAGCCTCTATGTCACAAAATTTCTGAATTCGACAATTTCAAATTATCTCGGCTAATTAGGCTCCCAGCTTCCTGAAAATTAGTCTCTATACTAATTCGAACCTCGTGAATACGAATCCAAGTTCAGAATTGACCTGTGGAGCTTTCTGATGTTTTTCTATTTTTATATAAAGCCATCTAGAGAAAAATTACATCGTCAATTTAATTTATCTCTCCGGCCCGAACGGCTCACTTATGCGTCTCAAAATTCATTCCTTTTGACTAGAAAAGTCCAAGAAATCGAATGATTTAACTGGCAACTCAATATCTTGAACCATTTTGAAATGATGAACACGGAAACTCAAAAAATATTTTTTGAGACGCAGATGGGACGTGATTTCGATTGAAATTGAACTAATATTCAACAACTGAGTCCAGAAATGCATTCAGCATTGCAAAATTAGTCTAGAAACTCAATTTCAGGCAGACAGGAAGTGTTTCAATTTTTTGCCTTATTTTCCACCAACCCTCTATGTTGCAAAATTTCTGATTTCGAAAATTTCAAATTATCTCGGCTAATTAGGCTCCCAGCTTCCTGAAAATTAGTCTCTTTACTAATTCGAACCTCGTGAATACGAATCCAAGTTCAGAATTGACCTGCGGATCTTCCTGATTTTTTTTTTTATATGAAGCCATCTATAGAAAAATTACATCGTCAGATTAATTTATCTCTCAGGCCCGAACGGCTCACTTATGCGTCTCAAAATGCGTTCCTTTTGACTAGAAAAGTCCAAGAAATCGACTGATATAACTGGCAACTCAATATCTTTAACCATTTTGGAATGATGAACACGGAAACTTGAAAAATATTTTTTGAAATGCAGATGAAAATTTATTTCGACTGAAATCGAATTAATATTCAACAACTGATTCCAGAAATGCATTTTGCAGTGCAAAATTAGTCTAGAAACTCAATTTCAGGCAGACAGGAAGTGTTTCAATTTTTTACCTTATTTTCCACCAAATCTCTATGTCGCAAAATTTCTGATTTCGACAATTGCAAATTATTTCGGCTAATTAGGCTTCCAGCTTTCTGAAAAATCGTCTTTTTACTAATTCGAACCTCCTGAATACGAATCCAACTTAGGAATTAACCTGCGTAACATCCAGATTTTTTTTTACTTTTTTACCTATATGATACTTCCAATATAGAAAAATAACACCGTCGGCTTTATCTATCTCAGGTTCGAATTGTTCGTTTTGAATAGAAAAGCCCAAGGAATCGACTGGTACAAATGACAAATCAAAATCTTGAACCACTTTGAAGTTCCTCAAGGTTCCACTTAATGTTCTTCCTGTTCGTTGTATTCATGAATGATTTACCACACCAATACATGGGTGTAAAAATTGCTGAAACAACCCATCGACGCCTATATTTTAGAGTAAATCGTTGTTCTGCGACCCGTGAACTCTACGTTATTATTTTTCGCGGGTATTTCGCAGTCGCTCGTTACACTTTGGTTATTGTTGTTACGTGCACTTACTGCCTCCATTATGTAATTCCCAAGTCCAATAAAAACTGCAAATTACCCGTTTTATTCGTTGTGTAATGTGAGCACCGAGGAACTTTTGTGCAATTTTTCCCAGCTAATCATCAAGTCACGGTTCACTTGTGAACTTATTGAAGTAAATAATTTTGCAAAATGTAAAAGAGAAAAACGACCGCTTTTTATTGGTAGTCCAGAGATATGATATTGATGTTAATTAACATTCCATTACATACGCAGTTATGCACTCAACAAATCAACCTGCCATAAAGTAATGTTTAATTTAACTCTCACTTACTTTATCTGGAGATTTTTGCCGTTTGTTAGAAAACACGACACGAATCAATCAAGTGTAATATCCACCTACGAAAAAAAAGCGCATTTAATTGAGTTTGCTGCAACCGAGATATGAAATTTTCATTGTTTAAAGCGATCCGGTGCGAGACCTTTCAGTTCTCGAGAAACGAGGTAGGGTACCGAGTTTTTCCATCTTTGATGACTGAACATTACTTCAAGGATAAGCGACAGCTCAAGAGGCTTCCTACAGAACAATAAAAACGGCATTCTTTTAGCATAATTATCGCATATATGAATTCAAATAAAGTAATCGTGGAACAAATTTGAAACAGTAAAAAATTGTCACTTGTGCCAAAACGAGCGCCACCTAGTGGTAGACAGTTGTGTGAGGCGGTTCGCATCTTCACTGTTTTGTTTTTCACCGGTTTTGTGCATTTACTGGTTTGCATTTCTAGTTTTTTTTGCACCGGTTTGCGCACTCGTTTCCATTTTTCCTCAACCACCAGCCGATCTATAAATTATCGAGATAAATTAAAATCGGTTTGATAAATGATGGCGCTTAGCGGCATGCATGGTCGAGTGTAATAAACTAAAACTAAACCCGCAACTCGCATACTTGGTGTGTGGGTACATACTAGGAATATCCCTGAGACGTGAAAAATTTCAGCTATGATTTTGCATAACTCGTTACGTTTGCAATTAAAAGTAATTAATTCGAGACTGCAACTTCTGCGAATCGAGTCTGAAATAGAGATTGATTGTATTTAAATTATGGTGCACAGTTATCTGTCTCGGGCTCCCGCGATTGTTGCCAATAAGGATAATAATGATGTAGACGCAAGGAGACTTTTAATTTGCGAATAGTAAATGGCCGACATGTGTTCGAACCGTAGCCAATTTCCTGTCGGTGGCGGTTTTTGTTTGGATTGGTATCAGCAATTAGGTGTTATTGCGGAGGATCGAGGAAAAAGTGGTCGATGGGTAACGGGTTACGGGCAGTTATCGGGTGATCTGTCGGTGCTGCGGTGGGAAATGGTTGCTCCCGTAAGGTTTATTTGTATTTTAATTGTGAGGTACCCAACCAAAAAGAAAAGAAGCTGAGATAATTGAAGCAGGGTTTGTGATTTGCATTGTTACGCTGCAACCAACAATACACCACACTTTTAAAAATGACTATAATTGTACTTTTTATTTTTCTCTGGGTTTCTTGTTGTGTGATTTTTGATTCTGTATCATCTCGTTCGAATGTAACAAGCTCGATTTCAAGTTAACTTAAAAGAAACGTTAATTTTTTATTTGAGTGTGTATTACTGGTTGCCTAATTTGCAACAACGAACTAAATAAAATTCTGTATATTGGTTAATGGTTCTTTCCATACACTACTTTCATAACTTTAAATAAAACAAAAATCGTACTTTAGAGTTTTAGTAACTGTAAATTTAATAACAAAATTACAATAAGCGCACTTTACCGCGGTAACCAATACAAAAGAACGTACAGAACTTAACTAATCAGTCGTTACACATGCCCATAATCCGCAATAAGCGACTGCCCGTAATGGGTTATGACGTAATCATGGTAATACATCATGATGCACATAGGTTGGCCTATGATCAGCGACGCCCACACCACGATGTTGCCCATTCTACCTCCATAATTGCGCTCCATGAACTTGGAGATGTTAGACAGCGGTATCTGGGCCATCATCCCCATGAAAGCCCAAATCTTGTAGGTCTTCAACGGGACGCTGACCATGTACTCGTGGAAGAAGGCACTAATGAAGAAAACCGTGGTGGCGGCGATGGCTTTGTTGTACCCCACCTCCACCAGCGGAAGGTAGAGATGTCTGAGGGCCCATCGGTGCACTGGGAGGTTCCAGGTGCGCCAGAACGTATCAATGTTATTGGCGTTCCACCAGTCGCTGTAGAAGCTACGATCAGCGAAGTGGAGGACTTCGCCTAAGAGGTTCAACCAGGAGTTGAAGAGGATGTAGAACATGCACAGCCAAGCTAAGTGGTTTGGTATCTAAAACCAGAGTTTAGTGATGGTTTAATGGGTTGTCTGGATTTACCGAAAGTTTCAACAGTCTTTCAGTGGCAAGAGTGATGTCCATGTTGCTGAAAGGTATCAAGGAGTTTTTGACTGAGGGGATCATGTATTGTTGGAAGATGCACAAGATTAGTTGGGTGCCTGCTACGACTTCGAAGATTCTTTTGAGGAGGAAGCGTTTCCTTATTCTTTCGGTTCGGGGGAAGTTCAATTCGTAGCATAAAGTGGGTGCGCACAAGAAGTAGAAAAGGTCTCTTAAAGTTAGATTGTCGGGATATTGCACCAGAAGTTTCTCTGTATTGCTTAGGTCGTCTTTGGACTCTTTGTGATGTAGATTATTGTCGTCTTCTTTGGGAAGATTATTGTAGGAGAGAGACTGGCGTCTCAGACTTTTGTTGCTGGTGTTTTGTCTGGCGTTTCTACACCAGACGTTGACTTGGACGTAGGACCACAGTTTTAGGAAGAGGATACTATAGAGCGTGGTCACGGTGGAAGCACCAACTAAAAACCGGAATTAGCGACTTAAATCACTTTTGTAATAATTACAAAGTACTTAAGCTGAAGCCGTCCTTGTAGTGGATAATCACCATGGGCAAGAATATCAAAACAAGTAAATTAACGACGTGCATCGTCATCCCCAGAGCGCTCGAGATGATCTCCTGCAAAAACCACAAACTTTACTATCTCTTAAAACATAGTCAGTCACAAACTTACAATAGCTAAAGCTTTCTCAGTAAGAAGACAGAAAATTATGGGAACTATAGAATCTAGAAAAAGACTAAACATCAAACGGTTTTTGCCACGTCGTGAACTTACAGAGTATTAGAACGATGGACGGATGCTCTGACCCTTGCTCATCCTGGCCAGTTAAAATGTAGAACCACTGCACGGGGTCTACTCGAATACCGTATCTATAAATTTAATATACAGTTCAAGAGTCACACGGTTTAAGTTACTTACTTGATGAAATTTTCGAGCAGCAGCCTCAACCCCCCGATTGACAGCAACAAGAAGGCCCAGTTCACAAACCCTGTGAACTTCTCGAACCCCGAATTCCATGACAGGAGCGAATCGCGGGGTTTGTGTATCCTGAAATTTGAATTACGCGCCAAATTAGTGCCGCCATCTCTCGCCCTGACACCGAACGACCGCACTTTTATTCCGTCGACGGAAAAGAGCTTCATCGGGTTTTATCTTATCGCTTTTCCGAGAACGTGGAACCCCGCTCCCGTTCGCAAAAAACGCTTTTCGTGCTTGAATTGACACAATGACAGGTGTCGGTGACACAAAACCTAACCTCAAACTGTCACTGTCGAAAAAATCTGGGTCTGTTTGAGAAATCAAAGCGAGTTGTAATTACGGAAAATGCGTGGTTGTCGACAGGAGTGAAACAATGGTTGATACGTAATCTCAGACATTACAAGGCAGAATTAATGAAGCGGAGTAAACTGAAGGTTAATTCCGATTATTTCGCACTTACGGTCTATCTGGTTGCGATTTCCTCACTTTCTGTTCGACGGCTTGGATTTCTTCGGCTCGGGTGACGCTCTGAGCACGCCTAAACCTGATCCCGTCTTGTTCGCCGGACATCACGACCATCGCAGCTTATCATTTGTACTATTTTTTGGAGTGAATGAGCGTGATAAGTGGAAGAAATAAATACCAACACACGCCTAACATACTTGAAGGGGGGTTATCACAATTCTGTGACGTACCGCGGATTGAAAAGAGACGGGGAATGGGCGGTTTGAGATGAAAAGAGACGGATGACGCCCCGTATGGAACAGTCCATGAGAAGACTTATTAATTTGTGTCGATTCACGGAGATGATCGTTGTTTTAACGTCTTAAAAACTCAGTCGACCTTCGCACTTTTACTCTTGGCTTATCGCCCCAGAACGAAGTTCATTGTCTGTCGCCTTCATGAATCATTCACGACTGATAACACGAAATAATTACGCAATATCGTGCACTAGAATTTTATTAACAAGAATATGTACATCTATCCTAAAACATTCGGAGAGGAATGTCAATAAATAGCTCAACTTATATACACGAATGTACATCACTCGCCTACACATGCAGCGCATCGCCCAAACTCGCTCTACCTTTGTAACGCTCTGTACAGCACTGCGCTCGACAAACAATTTAACACACGTGAGATAAATAAATTAAATGCTAATACTTGTCATTTCAACAAAACGTAAAAAACCGCAATTCGACTAAAATTCCGAAAAGTTCCCTGATCGTAGATTTTGAATGTCGTCGAAGCTCTTCTTCGCCTTCTGCGAGATATCGTCCATCGACTTCTTCGCGCTCGACGCGATATCGTCTATCGACCTCTTCGTCGAATTCAATATCTCGTCCGTACTCCTCGTCAGGTCCTTCACTTCATCGTTCAACTTTTTTATCACCCATTCCATGGCTTGCCGGCCTTTGCCGGCGTTGTTTGAGATCTTGTTGGCGAGCAGGTCCTCCATGTAGTGGTTCAGGGGCACCCCCTTCACCGTCACCACCGCCTCCTGCTTGAGGAGGGTCTTGCTGGGGTCGGATGGGTGCGGAACGTAGTTGAGCGTCTCGTTCACGGCGATGTGCCGGCAGAATGTGAGGTTTATGGTCCTGAGGATCATGTTCTTGGCGGCGGGGTCCACCTCCGAGTGCTCGCGGGCGTAACACACTTTCGCCGAGCCGATCAGCTGGAAGAATTTACCGAATTAGAAGGGTATTTTTAAAAGTGGAGAATTAGGCAAGCCAAGAACAAAAATACGATTGTGAAAAAGTGACCGGCTAATTTTGGGATTTGCGCAGCGTGGACGCCTGCTGAATGATCATGGTCAAGGTTTAGTGCTAGTTAATGAGTGCTTAAATTTTATTTGGGTCATTAAAAATACACATCTTTTGTGTGTAAATTCGTGGTCATTCATTTTTCAAGCTAAAATTTGAAATTGTATTAATTAAAGAATCGGAAGCCTCGCTACAACACTCAGTATAATCGAAATAAATTAGCCTTGTATGAATATGTACCCAATTGATTTGGGGAAGGACCTTGACATATTGACAATCGTTTTTCCGGGCTTTTTTTTATTCAAAGAATTGCTTGGTTTTTAAAAGTCTCTGAAAGCTCGCTCCCCTCGCATGTACATATATTATAAATTTATCAGCATTTTCTTAAAATATCGGCGAATGACCACAATTTATATCACTTATTAATTTATAAAATCGAACGTTTGTTTGCTTAACGATTTTCTGTACAAAAGTAGACCAAACAAAAATAACTGAAGTACAGCAACCACTGATAAAATTTTCAAACAAAAAAAATAAACGCACAATAGATTATAAACTTGTCAATATCTCGAATCAGTCAAGGATGACAATCTCCTTTTAAATAATCTCCGACTTTGTTTCAACCACATAGCAACAATTACAACACATTACAATTTTAGCGAAATACTAAATATTAATTACGGTTCAACGTTCGTCAAACTCAAACTTTCACCCAAAAACTTGAAAACAACGGTAAACACGCGTAAATTTGGTAATCCGTTACGAAATCCATTCCGTAATTTGACGTTACGCCAGCCGAAATAATCCGTCGAAAATTTACGTCCACCCACAAATATTTATTTTTTAATAACGCAAAAACAAAGTGCATTAAACACTCAGTCATTAAGCAAACATCCATAAACCTCTCCGCAACCTCTATTAACCCCACTTAAGCCATAAAAACCTGACCTTATCCTCCACCATGACCTCCCCACGTCCAGGCCACGGCAATTTTTCCAACTGCCCGTTCCCACAAATCCCACAATTAATAATCAATCAATATACTCCGAAGCGCTTAAATAATTCAAACCCGTTTTGGGTCAAATTCTGACAGTGTGCGCTTCACGTGCCGTCCAAAGATCATTTTCCGCCACGAGGAAATTGGAATGCGGCCGAAATAATTTCTTCACCGTATGTCCGCGCACATACGGTCCACTTTCGCTTACAACGCGATGACGTTCTAGAACTTAAGTAACGACTTAAGTAAGAATAGACAAAGGCTAGACCGCTTATCACGGAACGTCACCAAAACGTCACTAAGTTTTGACCTCAGCCAAAAGCGCACGTGGAACATAATAAAAACTCTGGCACGGCCCCAACTCATGTTAACCATCCAGTTTATGTAACTTACAGCTTGCGCCCACTTCGGAAAGTACCAAATGGAGCTGACCAGTCGATGGGTGTGCAGCACCCCGTCCACGACCTTCCGCTCCACCACGTCCGTCCCTATGACCGCCGGATTGTGGGGGTTGGGGTACTTACGCCACGCCGCCGTCGCTACGGTTTCCCAAGGGTGGCTAAAATAATTCCGTGAAAATGACTGAAATTCACTTCGTGACGGTTCCACTTACTTGAACACATGTTCACTCGTCCAGATTTTCATTGTTGTGTGTTTCGGTTCGGTAGAAACTTAAAACTAAAACGAGATCGGATTGTGGACGGCGACTACCGCCTCTGACTCGATGACAGTCGTGATGGAATTGGGAATATTCCGTGCTGCCAATATGAAGGCGTTAAATACCACTAAACGTGGCGCCATCTGGTGGAAAGTTTGCAGGGAATATTCCAATTTGGGCGGAATTTTGGCCGCCCGCCGACCAGGAAATAGGCGCAGTGGGTGAAGGTGACAGGAATTGGGTTCTCCATGCCACGGGAAAGAAAATATTTGGGTTTGTTATGAATTTCGCGGAATAAAAAGTGGGGTTATGTGTGGGAGGGCGACATTGACATGGGAAGCGGCGGCGCCGAAGGGAGAGCACTGGGGTCCACTGATAAAAAAAAATGAATTAATTGTTTATTAAAATTACACTTTTTTGTTGCAACAAGTGATTGTAAAATGTTTTATATCAATTTTTATTTCACAGTAAATGATAAATCCTGTGAAGTCAGTGGCGACTCATGATATCAAAATTTGACAGATGGTGGATCAGCGGTTGTGGTACCAAGTAAAATAATAACCCTTGACTTACCTACGGTACCCCTGAGCTAGCTGGAAAAGACTTATTAGTAACAAAATTATTGCTTATAACAACAGCAAAAAGAAGCGTAGTTATGCAACCAGTAAAACACTTTTCAATGAACGACACCATATGCATATCAAAATTTCCTTTTTCCCATTGTTCTTCACGTTCTTTGTACTATTCGCAATCGTCACCATCAAGTGAAGGTTTTCTGTGCCAAATCCCCATTGTCCCTTGACACATTTTCTCTTGTTCTTCACGCACTTTGTCTTCGAACTTTGACATTCCCGGACCCACCTCACCGTCCTCAAGTTCAGCAAACCGCCCCGTCGGCACAACAAAGCCGACCTTCGCTTATCACTCCCATGACTCACCTCTCAACAGGTGTTTTCCGCGAGGAGCGGGTCCGGGCAGCGACCCCGCCCCCAGCGCCCTCTGCCGCCTCACCTGCGCTCCCTCACCTGGCCGTCGGCGGCGCTAGTGCGCTCACCTGAGCGCAAGCAATTAAACTTAACAGCAACTTGACCATTTGGTGAGTGTTGAGTGCGAAGAACGTTACCCTAACCCGGATCAGATGAAGTGTTAAGTGTGCCGAGACCGTGTGCAGTGCCCAACCCCTCATTATGCACAGGATAGCCCAGAGGCTATAGCCCACAGCCCAGCAGGTAAGCCGCAATTGCCCGTACCACGTACACGGCCTTCTTGCGGCCAACAGCATCTTCACGCTCTGCCGTCCGCTGGAAAGAAAAAATCGACTAAATCGGACTTAAGTTAAGCGGCGTCGGGTCGACGGGTTTTTACTTAAGGCACATTCTTGAGGTACCGGTACTTGGGTTAAGTGATGGCTAAGTCCACACGCATTCCGCTAGCTGCTGGATGGCTGTAAATACTGTTATCTATGTGGTTTATCATTGTTTGGAGTAAACGTTTGCTTGGGGGTCACGTGGGGTGGGTAATTGGGTGACGTTTTGCAATGTTTGGAGGGTAGTGGGTTAGGCTGGGTGGTACTGGTGGAAATTTTAGTTGCGGCAGGCACGGGCTGGCCGTAAATCACCCATCGCATATGGAACATGGGAAAACATTCACTTGATTATAATTATTGGTATTGACATCGGCGTACTTTGAACGCGAAGTACCATCGACAATGACGGCTTTCGTTTGTTTCTCAGCGTGGTTTACATGGTAGAAAAAAGTTTTCCGCTCGTGGACTTGTTACACGTACTTCGGTTAATTGGATAACAATGAGGAGTTAAACAACTGCGGTTTGTTACCATCATGGGACCATTACAGTCGTACCATCGCGGTACGATTGTTCCACAGACATGCCACTGCTGGAAGTTCTCGGAATATTCGATTGTTTAAATGAACGAGACAAATGTCAAAATAACCAGATTGAAACTTTTTCTAAAAATATTTTGTGTTGTAATGCTGGTTGTTGCATTGTTCTACCAAGAGTGCCACCCTAAGAATACAAACATTACTGTCGTCGGTCCTGGTTTATCAAATACATTAGCAAGTTGCTTTTTGTCATTAGAAAAAATTATGCAAATGTGGAATGTGCAGCTCTATAAAACGTTGAATTTACGGCGAATGTGACTGCAATTAGATTATATTGTAGGTAAACCGCGTAAGAAGTTATTAAGTTTACAATACAACAAAAATAAAACGAATAAAGTGGAGAGAAAGCCTATTTTACAATGCAAATAGTGCTCTAAGTTTGCTTAACATTTAGAGATTTATTCTAAATTTTGCATTAGATATTAACCGTGAGATTTCTCTCAAACTTTAAATAAAGTAACAAGTGTGCTTAGTAGCACATTAGCGAGCGGATAAAAATTCCGTCGAGGAGATATTTTATAATTAACAAAAAATAATAAAAAAACGAAGACAGTTTTCTCAAAATTGGTAGAACTGTCCTCACATCTTACTCCGTCTTGTCAGAATTGACAGGAGTGACAGTGACATTTAATTTAAATCAAACTTTGGTATTGATTGTTATTGCAGCTTTTTTGGATCAGATGCGCAAGAAAAAATTGTCGGAATTCTATTGCCAACTGATACAGTATTAGTAGAACAGGCGTTTTTTGTATGTTAACCTTATTTAATAAAAAAAAAAATCACATTCAGAAAAAGAACAATTTTGATAATTGGGGTTTTAAAAAAAAAACATGACGAAGAAACGAAAGCTTGTTCACCTTTAATACCACAAAAACTCCTGTAGTGATGATGAGACCATTAAAAACTGCCCATTATACCAAACAAAGTTCAAAGTTGAAACCGTCAGGTAATAGCGTCACGCACAATTCATAAAAACATAATTTAATTTGCACACCATTTATCTTTTTCATTTAAGTTCACTGCCAAGTAAGTATGTCAGATTAAAAATGATGGTATTTTCTCTCTTCGTATTTACACACTAGAAACAATTTCTTATCTCCACATAGCTGTATTCAACACGTTTTTTTCTAAGCTCGTGTACATGCAGATGAAGTTCATTTAAATAACATGATGTAAAAAGTACACCATAAAAACTATGAATCGTGTGAATCACACATATAAATAGAAATGCATAAACTTCACTTTCATTACAAGCCAACAAGTCATAAAAATAAGTAAAAAGTGCGAAATTTCATTTTCGTGTTAGTGTCAGAAAGCTGTCCTAACAGTACTCCCTCATTAACAAACCCGTTGCCATTTTTCCTCCGGATGACATATGCTCGATCCTTCACCGTTAGTCCTCATATCAGTGAGAACCGACCTTAATTCTCTAATTGCACCCAACCCACAGAATCATAGAGTGCTCTGCCAAAAAATGGGCTAACGAAGCACCAGCACACTACTCCAGATAAAAACCTTACGTAAACATTACACATTCCATAAATAAACAGTTTGCATAGTGTGCCACGAAAACAATGAAGATCTCGTGAAGATTTTATATTGTTTCACAATGAATGTGGCTCATCGTAGAAAGTACACAGAAAAAAGTAGGCGTGGAGGTGTGCCGCGTGGCTTGCTTGATCTTCGCGATGCATAGCCGTCTAGATCAAAGGTCGTAGACTTGCCAACCTTGACATTGTACGCTATGTTCTTTAAGTGAGTCAGCGAGTTCGAAATTCGCGCCACGAGCCGCTGTCAAATCGCAGACCAGCACGCTTCACACGGGGGTGGTTGGCGCGCGGTCGTGTGTGAAACCGGCCGGACAAGATTTCGACGGTCGCAATGCAACTTTCGGTTTTCGTGAAGGGAAAAGTGATGGGTTAGTGGAAAAGCGTAATTTGGGACGTGGTAGTTGCAACATTTTTTTTAAATTGATGGCATTGAGTGGAACAGATGTTACTATGGTTGAGTACACGTACAAGCTACAATTGTTGTAATTGCACTATGGGTTTTGAGGACCTTGGAAAGATATGGGTTGGTTGGGTTCGTGTTGTTGTTTAAAGCGGGGGAATTATTAGTTTAGTTTGTTTTCATGATGGGTTTTGTTGTTCTGACGAATCAAAACTATAACTGTGGGTTTAAAATGTATTTATTGCAATTTTGCAACCTTGCAGTGGTTTAAATAAAAATAAATGTTTATAAATGCGAAATAAAATGCCCATGAATTAATGATTGAAAAAAATATATATAAATAAACACTTCAAAACATTTTTGTATGGTGAAAATTATGACAGTTTGCACAGTAGAACTATTTTTAACCTTAGTTTTTTTAGGACATATTTTCTATATATGTACTTATATTAGATCTGGCAACTTTGGATTAAAATTTCTTTCATTGGCACAACTGCGTTTCCGCATGGTATCGGGATCACTGGTCTTTAAACGTCATATTCTTGTCATTTTACAGTCATTACATAGTGTGACGTGACGCTTACTAATCTAAATATGACGTATGTCGTTAAAGGTTGCAGTTATGCCAACAGATTTTCGTTTAATTACTCAATTTAGAATGATTGAAGCAAATTTTTCTGTTGGCAGTCCAATTTATTGAGAACAATAATACTACTTAGTATTATATGTCAGTCCACAGTTGTCAATTTTGACATGAGCATGCTTAACAAACGTGTTGAGAAGTCGGCAGCCACTGACTTGATGTTCTAAATATCAATTTGACAATCAGGTGTACCATCATAAAATTTGGAATTCAGAGGTTTATTGAATTTTCGAAAAATGTTAATTCATATAAATTTCCAGCTTTCGAGTCAATAGTTTATTTTTTTTTGAGTTGGTTTTTTATATCAACAGTGTCAAAATGCAAATACCGTTTAAGAAAGTTTAAGAAATTAAAAAACCTAACGCTTTAAACGACGTTTTGTTCCAGTTTTAATACTGTAGTAACTTATGTTTTACAAATACAGGGTGACTATAAATGATTGTGATTTTAGTTGTCAAGTTGGCATGACAACTAAAATAATATAAACTGACATGTTAATATTGCTGCCAATAATTCAGAATTGCCAAAACAAAAATTTGCTTCAAGCATTAATAGTCATGCGGTACTACATAGATAAATAATAGAGTCAGAAGAAATTAAAAAAAGTTTTCACTTCATGGTTGGCACCGCGTTTAATTATCGTCACGTGGTCACTCCCACCAATAACTGTCGCTTGCTAAAAGTAACGTTTAGCCTTCCATTTCCTCTCATAACATTAATTTTGGTAAAAATTTAGTCCACTGTCATTGTTTAAACGAAGTATTTTTTATTTTTATTCGTTTTTTTTTTTTTTATTATTAAGAACTGTAATTATCAAAAGCAACCCCAGAAAGAGAAAATAAGGGAGGTTTTGGCATGTTGGTGTAGAAAGAAGTCCCTAAATTAGTACTAATACAGGGACTTTGGATGTAGAAAATTTTGAGGCTATGTTCAGAGTGTGTCAGATACCCAATTTAACCAACTTCAGTAATTTTCACATTCTTAGCGTGGCTGCAGTGGTACATACAACCAAACGGAAATGGTTAGAAAGGAGATATTTAGCGTATTTATACATAAAATCTTTGCCTGTTTTAGACAAACGCGTGCATCATTCATAAATTTTCTAAAAGGTAGCGCAAAATTTAACAACTAAATAACTTCAACAATGTCATTAACATTATTGACAATCGCACCCAGCAATTTAGGGATATTCTGTGTGACAGGTAGTAAAAATGGTGTTCCCACCCGCCATAAACAGACCTAGATTGGTACCACTGACTGATTGTATTTTCGAAGGAAACTTGATCTCTGCACTGTAGGGTTCATGAAAGTCAAGAAAACATAAAAGTGGCAATTCGTCGTGGACTCGATTATTATACTTCCTTAGCTTATGCTCGGGAAGTAAAAATGCAACAAAACAAAAGGCGATAATAAAAAGACGACAAAAAACACCGAAAAAAAAACGATAAAAAAGTTGGTCAAAAAAAACTCGATAAAAAAGCCATCAAAAATACCTCAAGACCTTTATTTTCTTGGAGGGTATGTCAACTGCCAAAATCCGTCTTATCTTGGCAGGTATTAGCCCCGCCCACCCACCCTGTCTTTTCTTAGAGGGTATATCATTTGCCAGAATCAGTTTTGTCTTAGCAAGTATTAGCCCCGCGCACCCGCCCTTTATTTTCTTAGAGGGTACGTCATCTGCCAAAATCAGTTTTATCTTGGCAAGGACTAGCCCCGCCCACCCGCCTTTTATTTTCTTAGAGGTATGTCATTTGCCCAAATCAGTTTCATCTTAGCAAGTATTAGCCCCGCCCAAGTGTCAATAGAGTATTGAAGGAATGTCATTAAACGATGATGCCAACTTAAGAACGAAAAAAAAGATTTTAGAACAGCTTGACAAAGAAAAATAAGGGCAGAATTTCAAAATTTCAGAGAAAAAATATAAACAAGCGAGGTGGACATAAATAACTATTTCCTGAAAACTTCTTAGTTTCTAAAATCACAATAAATTGATAATAGACAGGAAAACTGCAGTCTAGAATAGCACAAATTTGACAACTTGTCTAACAATAACCCGCGTACAGTCGACACTATTTCTATCACTCTTTTGTTTTGTGACATCGTTTCTCCACCAAATCGTAAACATCCTTCAAATTCCACAATGCAGAAACTATTTTTGTCATATTTTGACCCACTCCACTCCAATGGCCTCCTGATAAAATACTTATGTTAACTCAAAACGATTACAAATAAATTTATGTAAGAGATAATCCCGATATGAGTAACTCACTATTGTCATCATTAATCTCATCTCGAATGTTCAAAACGCGCCGTTTTTCCCCAAGCCATTCCGTTTCTATTAACAAGTGTGCCTCTGTTTCAGAAACGTTGATGCGTCACCACCATGGTTATAGTGACACGGGTAAGTACTTTCCATTATTAATTACCATCCCATTGCAAAAATTTCTACATTTCTCTTCGATTTTATCGCAATCGGCGAAAGTATTTCGCGTCTACTGCGACCAAATCGAACCAGACGTACCGTTAAAATCGCCCAGTCATGGTCAATGGCATTTCCTGGTGCGTCCCGATGGTCCACTTGACCAGGCCGGGACAATAATGGGCGCAAAAGGCCCAAATCGTGCGGAAGTCGGCGGGGACAAAACGGAACAGACAGAGATGGACGGTGTACCAAACGACCATCAAACCATGAAGACCAACTTCCGTTTCTCTTTGCATGGGCGCATTGTTGCGAAGTTTACATCATTTGAGAGAGAGTGACCACCGGATCGGGGATGGGAGGCGGCGGGGATTCCGCAAGCCAGAAGATGTGCGGGAAATTCAAGTCAAAAATTTCGGTCTGGAGTGAGATTCTCTGGAGACCAAAGTTTTTGTCGTCAAGCGTATTTTTCCAGCTCTTCTCAATTGCGCCTTTATGGAGACGTACGTGACGGTGCAAATTCGCCGGCCAGTTTCTTTTGTTCAGTCAAGTGAAGAATGGTCATTTATTACAGCTGTTTTGTGGGTTTTGTTACTTTCATTTCTTCCGGTCCTTGAGGTTTTGTTCTTGTTTAATAGAGTTTGGGTTTTCCGTTGTTTGGGTTCGCTCTTGGTGGTCTCGTCTGAATTCACGAACGAGGCAAAAATGCGAGCTTGATGGGACAGTTGGTACGTGATGTGGGCACCAATGGTACCAACGGTCGACACACTGGGGCTGAACGGTCCCGTGCACGATCTACTTTTATTGTGGGTTTGTGTTCAGAGAAAGAAACGCAAAAAAAACGAATTTTGACACAACGTAGGTACCAGAAGAGAAAATACCACAAACAACGAGAAATTCATGAATGGAGATGAAGACGGATAAGACTTTTTTTAGCACACAAAACCTGACCCAAACTTGGTTGTGTTATGAACTTATCTCGTGTTGTTTAATTGAGGACGTGCTAAAAATGGCTCATTTGACACACAAAAACCAGACAAAGAAACCGTTCGTAATGACAGTAGTGACAATTGTTGGTCGTTTAAGTTGGTAAGCTTAACCTTGACATTTGTAACCAAAAACGAGAAGCCCAGTTCACACCACACACAAACCACTCGGTGACCTCTTTCCATCAAAAAATCACTTTTTCGCGTTTACAGGAAGTGGTATGCGTAATAATCACTGGACTGGAAGCCAGTTTGCCGTCTAACCCAAGCACGTAATAGCACTTTAATGACGGATAAAATATCTCTAAATCGGTGACATTTACGTTAACGTACTGATTTTCACTTTAACGAGCATCTCATTCCAAAGCAATAAATCTCACTTATCGTATGCAAAAAAGCCGAGAAATCGCGTCAAGACAACAACGATTTATCACACTTTAGACAACCAAGCTGGAACTAAAACCATTTGAGTGCAATGAGTCGAAATGACCATTACATCCGTCGTTGTGTTTTCATGGGAAATGGGCACTTTTGTGCCAAATCGATTTGTTCGAGTCGGACTGCAGAAATCTGCTTTCACAGACTCGAAAAAAATCGACCCATCATTATCGGTAAACCACACATTTGCATTAAAACCCAACAATTACAGCAACAACTCCCACCTGCAAGTTATATTGCGTCACTCGCTTAAAATTAGCGAATCTTGACATTTAAAAACCGCTTCTTTCACGGTAATGACATTAAATGCACACAACCTTCGCTCTAGTGAACTCGAGTGACGACATCGCACCGGAAAAGCCGAATTTCTGCACTGTGGAAATCGAACGGTTCATCTAAAGAATGCTCAATGGACGAACGGAACACGCACAGAACGCCAGATAAGGATGTCAACACCTGTAGTATATCTAAATAGGATTATTATCGAGTGACGTTGACCCCGCGGCGCGTCAGCGAGCATTCATGTGTGCCCTAGTCCGGGTCGTTGCCTCCCCTTCATTATTTTTATCGTGAGCGGTGTAGATAATTTCAAACCTGATTTTTACAGGGTGATTACATATGGATCGAACCGATTTCTGGCAATGAGTTCGACGTGGCCATCGGGGCGAAGGTGGTTTCGGCCGAAGGAAGGCGAATCGCGGTCCGAGATGACGACGGCGAGGAGCACTGGCTGTCTCCAGATCGCCGAATTAAGGCAATGCACGCAACGTCCATCCACGGCATGGAAGACATGATCGGACTCGGCGACCTCCACGAGGCAGGAATACTCAGGAACCTACTCATCAGATACAACGAAAATCTCATTTACGTAAATAGTCGCCGCATCCTACCGACTGCGCCATTTACGAGTGTTGTTTTCAGACTTACACCGGTTCGATTCTCGTGGCGGTCAACCCCTACCAAATCCTCCCTATTTACACCGCCGAACAAATCAAGTTGTACAAAGAGCGCAAAATCGGGGAGCTGCCGCCTCACATCTTCGCCATAGGTGACAACTGCTACGGCAACATGCGCCGGTACGGCCAGGACCAGTGCATAGTAATCTCGGGGGAATCGGGAGCCGGGAAGACCGAAAGCACGAAACTCATACTCCAATATTTGGCAGCCATCAGCGGGAAACACTCCTGGATCGAGCAACAAATCCTGGAAGCCAACCCGATTTTGGAAGCCTTCGGTAATGCGAAAACAGTTCGGAACGACAACAGCTCCAGGTTCGGGAAGTACATAGATATACATTTTAGTCACGGGGGGGTGATCGAAGGTGCCAAAATCGAGCAGTATTTGCTGGAGAAGAGTAGGATAGTGTCGCAGAACCCCGACGAGAGGAACTACCACATATTTTACTGCATTTTGGCGGGACTGGGGAAGGAAGAGAAGAAGAAACTCGAGCTTGGTGATGCTAGTCAATTTAAGTATCTCACAGGGGTAAGTCGCCCTCTTACTTAAACTCTTCTTTCTTTGTTGACGCTGTTATAGGACGGCACGCGCTTTATTGGGTGTGAACACGGCACATTCGCACAGGTATGACTAGTAGTGTCACAATCACCAGTGTGTATGTCGCTCAAACCCATTTCTGTGTTACATTCGCATCATGTTGTGTGAAATCCTACTAACTGCGCCATTTTCAGGGCGGCTGCATAACGTGCGAAGGCCGCGACGACACAGCCGAATTCGCCGACATCCGCAGCGCCATGAAGGTGCTCCTCTTCTCGGACTCGGAGATCTGGGACATCATGAAACTCCTAGCTGCGCTTTTACATATAGGCAACATCAAATACAAAGCCACGGTTGTAGATAACTTAGACGCGACGGAAATCCCCGATCACACTAACGTCCACCGGGTGGGACACCTCCTGGGGGTACCCCCTCAACCCCTCATTGACGCTCTAACCCGAAAGACCCTTTTCGCCCACGGCGAAACCGTAGTGTCGACGCTTTCGAGAGAACAAAGCGTCGACGTCCGCGACGCCTTCGTCAAAGGAATCTACGGAAGGCTATTCGTCTACATAGTCAAAAAAATCAACGCCGCTATTTACAGACCGAAAGAGCGACAGCGGAGCTCCATCGGGGTTTTAGACATCTTCGGTTTCGAAAATTTCAACCACAACAGTTTCGAGCAGTTTTGTATAAACTTCGCCAACGAGAATCTCCAGCAGTTCTTCGTTAGACACATCTTCAAACTAGAGCAGGAGGAGTACAACAACGAAGGTATCAACTGGCAGCACATCGAGTTCGTGGATAACCAAGACTCGCTGGATTTGATCGCCATCAAACAATTAAACATCATGGCGCTGATCGACGAAGAGAGCAAGTTCCCGAAGGGTACGGACCAAACTATGTTGGCCAAACTGCACAAGACGCACGGCAGCCACCGGAACTACCTCAAGCCGAAGAGCGACATCAACACCAGCTTCGGGTTGAACCACTTCGCCGGGGTTGTGTTCTACGACACGAGGGGCTTCCTGGAGAAGAACAGAGACACCTTCAGCGGTGATTTATTGCAGCTGGTGGCAATTTCAAAAAACAAGTTCTTACAACAAATCTTCGCCGACGACATCGGGATGGGTTCTGAGACTCGAAAACGAACCCCAACACTATCCACTCAGTTTAAGAAAAGTCTGGATTCGTTAATGCGCACCTTGTCCAACTGCCAACCCTTCTTCATCCGGTGCATCAAACCCAACGAGCTCAAGAAACCCATGATGTTCGACCGCAACTTGTGTTGCCGCCAGTTGAGGTACTCGGGGATGATGGAAACCATACGAATCCGTAGAGCTGGGTACCCTATTAGACACAGCTTCCACGATTTCGTGGAAAGGTACAGGTTCCTGATCCCTGGAGTACCTCCGGCTCACCGTACTGATTGTCGTTCGGCTACTTCCAAGATCTGTGCTGCGGTACTAGGACGCTCCGATTATCAGTTGGGTCACACGAAGGTGTTCCTCAAAGATGCGCACGATTTGTTCCTGGAGCAGGAGCGCGATCGAGTCTTAACGAAGAAGATTTTGATTTTGCAGAGGTCGATTCGTGGATGGGTGTACAGGAGGCGGTTCTTGAGACTTAGAGCGGCCACCATGATCATCCAGAAGTACTGGAAGGGGTATATACAGAGGCAGAGATATAAGAGGATGAGGGTGGGCTACATGAGGTTGCAAGCTTTGATTAGAGCCAGGGTGTTGTCGCACAGGTTTAGACACCTCCGAGGACACATCGTGGGCTTGCAAGCCCACGCCAGAGGGTACCTCGTCCGGAGAGAGTATGGTCACAAGATGTGGGCTATCATTAAAATCCAGTCACACGTGAGGAGGATGATCGCGCAGAGAAGGTTCAAGAAAATCAAGTTCGAACGGAAGACACACGTAGAAGCCCTCAGACTGAAGAAAAAGGAAGAACGGGAGCTGAAGGACGCGGGTAATAAAAGGGCGAAGGAAATCGCGGAGCAGAATTACAGGGAGAGGATGTACGAACTCGAGCGGAAGGAGATGGAGCTAGAAATGGAGGAGAGAAGAAGGGTTGAAGTGAAGAAGAATTTGATCAACGACGCGGCACGAAAGGCTGATGAACCAGTGGATGACTCGAAACTGGTGGAGGCGATGTTCGACTTTCTCCCGGATAGTTCGAGTGAGGCCCCCACACCAGGTCGGGAGACTTCGGTATTCAACGATCTCCCGTCACAACCCACCGAAGGTGAAGTGATAAGTCCAATGCAGACGCAGTCGGAAGACGAAGAGGATCTGTCGGAGTTCAAGTTCCAGAAGTTCGCGGCGACGTACTTCCAGGGGAACGTGGGGCATCAATATTCGCGGAAACCTCTGAAACACCCCTTGTTGCCTTTACACACACAAGGTGACCAATTGGTGAGTATAAGCCCCTCCTACTTGCTTTCTGTAATACGATTGGTTCATTTTTTGCTTATAGGCGGCGCAAGCCCTCTGGGTCACGATTCTACGTTTCACGGGCGACCTCCCCGAACCCCGTTACCACACCATGGACCGCGACACCACCTCCGTCATGTCCAAGGTGACGGCAACACTAGGTCGCAACTTCATCCGCAGCAAGGAGTTCCAAGAAGCCCAAATGATGGGTCTGGACCCTGACTCCTTCATGAAGCAGAAACCCCGCTCTATTCGAAACAAACTAGTCTCTTTAACCCTCAAAAGAAAGAATAAGTTAGGCGAAGACGTCCGCCGGAAACTCCAAGACGAAGAATACACAGCTGACAGTTACCAGTCTTGGTTAGAATCTCGGCCAACCTCGAACCTCGAAAAATTACACTTCATCATAGGCCACGGCATCCTTAGAGCCGAATTAAGGGACGAAGTCTACTGTCAAATTTGTAAACAACTCACCAACAACCCGTCAAAGTCATCACATGCGAGAGGGTGGATTTTACTATCTTTGTGTGTGGGGTGCTTCGCCCCCTCAGAAAAGTTTGTCAATTACTTGAGGGCGTTCATACGAGAAGGACCCCCAGGGTACGCCCCCTACTGCGAAGACCGTCTTAAACGCACCTTTAATAATGGTACGCGCAACCAACCACCCAGCTGGTTGGAGCTACAAGCCACCAAATCGAAGAAACCCATCATGTTGCCCATTACTTTCATGGACGGGAATACTAAGACGCTCCTCGCGGACTCCGCCACCACGGCGCGGGAACTCTGCAACCAACTGTCTGACAAAATCGGCTTAAAAGACCAGTTCGGGTTCTCGCTTTATATAGCTCTGTTTGATAAAGTCTCCTCCCTTGGTAGTGGGGGCGACCACGTGATGGACGCCATCAGCCAATGCGAACAATACGCGAAGGAGCAGGGGGCGCAAGAGAGAAACGCCCCTTGGAGGTTATTCTTCCGGAAGGAGATTTTCGCGCCGTGGCACGAACCCACTGAAGATCAAGTCGCTACGAATTTGATTTACCAGCAGGTGGTGCGGGGGGTGAAGTTCGGGGAATATAGGTGTGATAAGGAGGAGGATCTGGCGATGATTGCCGCCCAACAATACTACATAGAGTTCGATACGGATATGAACGTGGAACGACTGTTGACTTTGTTGCCCAATTATATCCCCGACTACTGTCTCACGGGGGTGGAGAAGGCGGTGGATCGGTGGGCGGCGCTGGTGGTGCAAGCCTACAAGAAGAGCTACTACGTGAAGGAGAAGGCCGCTATCTTGAGGGTGAAGGAGGACGTTGTGAGTTACGCGAAGTTCAAATGGCCTTTACTCTTCTCCAGGTTCTATGAAGCGTACCGCAACTCCGGCCCGAACCTCCCCAAGAACGACGTCATCATCGCCGTGAACTGGACCGGCGTATACGTCGTCGACGACCAAGAGCAAGTCCTCCTCGAACTCTCCTTCCCCGAGATCACCACCGTCTCCAGCCAAAAAACCAACAAGGTCTTTACCCAGACCTTCAGCCTCAGCACCGTCCGCGGCGAAGAATTCACCTTCCAGAGCCCCAACGCCGAGGACATCCGTGACCTCGTCGTGTATTTTTTAGAGGGCTTGAAGAAGCGATCCAAGTTTGTGATTGCTTTGCAGGACTACAAGGCCCCCGGCGAAGGCTCCAGCTTCCTCACCTTTCAGAAGGGCGACCTCATCGTGCTGGAAGAGGACAGCACGGGGGAGACCGTCTTAAATTCTGGCTGGTGTGTGGGAAGGTGTGAGCGCACCCAGGAGAAGGGCGACTTCCCGGCGGAGACCGTGTACGTGCTGCCGTGCATGTCGAAGCCGCCGACCGACATCCTGCAGCTGTTCTCGATCGAAGGGGCGGAGCACGGGCGGCGGCTGAGTCAGCAGTACTCGATGAACGGAACGGAGTCGAGGGACCGCCCCCACACGCTGGCGGACTACTCGATTGATCATTTCCGACCGCCGATCAAGCGGACGATGTCCAAGGCGCTGACGCTGTCGGCGGCGAGGAGGGGCGTGGACGATTTGTGGCGGCACGCGCGGGATCCGATCAAACAACCACTGTTAAAAAAACTCCTCATGAAGGAGGAGCTGGCGGAGGAGGCGTGTTTCGCGTTCAGCGCGATTTTGAAGTACATGGGGGACCTTCCGTCGAAGAGGCCGCGGATGGGGAATGAGTACACCGACCACATCTTCGACGGGCCTCTGAAGCACGAAATCCTCAGAGACGAGATTTACTGTCAAGTTATGAAGCAGCTAACAGATAATAGGAATAGGATGTCTGAAGAGAGAGGCTGGGAGTTGATGTGGCTTGCCACCGGGTTGTTCACGTGTTCGCAGAGTCTCCAAAAAGAACTAACAATGTTTTTGAGGAGCCGGAGGCATCCCATCTCTCAAGACTCACTACAAAGGTTACAAAAAACCCTACGAAACGGACAGCGGAAATATCCGCCCCACCAAGTCGAAGTCGAAGCCATCCAACACAAAACCACCCAAATCTTCCACAAGGTATACTTCCCCGACGACACCGACGAGGCTTTTGAAGTCGACTCCAGCACCCGAGCGAAAGACTTCTGCCAGAACATCAGCCAAAGACTCAACTTGCGTTCGAGTGAAGGCTTCAGTCTCTTCGTCAAAATCGCCGATAAAGTCATCAGCGTCCCCGAAGGCGACTTTTTCTTCGACTTCGTCCGCCACCTCACCGACTGGATTCGCAAAGCCAGACCCACCCGTGACGGCATCACCCCACAATTCTCCTACCAAGTCTTCTTCATGAAGAAACTGTGGACGAACACCGTCCCCGGCAAAGACAAAAACGCCGATTTAATCTTCCACTTCCACCAGGAGCTCCCCAAGTTGATTCGAGGCTACCACAAGTGCACCAAGGAGGAGGCCTCCAAGCTGGCGGCGTTGGTTTACAGGGTGCGGTTTGGCGAGAGCAAACAGGAGTTACAAGCTATTCCGTAAGTAGTTGGTGTTGTAGAAGAACGAGTTTGTGAGGGGTTGGTTGTAGGCAAATGCTGAGGGAGTTGATTCCCGCGGATTTGGTTAAAGTGCAGAGTGCGAACGACTGGAAGAGGGCCATCGTGGCGGCGTATAACCAGGACGCGGGGATGAGCCCCGAGGATGCGAAGATTACGTTTTTGAAGATTGTGTACAGGTGGCCGACTTTTGGGTCGGCGTTCTTTGAGGTGAAGCAGACGACGGACCCGAATTATCCGGAGATGTTGCTCATCGCGATCAATAAGCATGGGGTTAGCTTGATTCATCCGAATTCAAAGGTAAGGAGGTGCTAAGTATACCAACTGCATTATGTATGCAACCAGTAATACACATGTGCCTGGAACAATTTAACGTGTTTGTGCTTCATTTCTTGATAAAATATTGCCAATTAAAAGGTACAGATAAGAAGTAAGACCTCGGATAGTTTTTCATTTAACAATTTATCCATGTGTGTTTAGTAATTTATTTTTTCAAAGGTTAAAGTTGGTAAGGTTAATGTCAAAAATGTCATTCATAAAAAATAGACAATTAGATCGTGTGTTGTTGGTTGCCTATACAATGTTTGAAAGTTACTTATTTAATTAAAAAAAATTGTTCCATTACTTAAAACTATAATAAATATTCATAAACTCATGACCTCTTTCTCAATAATTGTATTGTAGAACATAATTATGCAAAATATTTTATTCTCACTAATAATAATTGCACTAAAATTGTAAGATTCAGGGGCAGGTTTTCAATACTTTTTAACTATGTTGTAAGAAAAAAGAAAATCCGAATGAATCACTTCAGCTCCACGTCATAATATTATTGTAATCAAGGTACTCAGGTACCTACTGACACAGGTTTTATGATTCTCAAGAGCAACGAATACAATGTATTTATGCAAAATATCAACTTCCATCATAAAAAGAAAAACACCGAAATATATGTACAAACCTTGTAGAGAAATCATACGACTCTTAATACTACTGATATTTATTGTTGAAGTTTGACACATTACCAAAGCTAGAAATAAGACTTTTACAAAAGTAATAGTTATTAACGACAGTAAAATTATGCCACAAGAATTTTTGGGATAAAAAATATCGTTTCCATTACCAAACAATTTGTTGCAAACTTAACGTCAGTTGGAAATCACCTAAAATTACGACCACTTAAAGTAATGACAACAATCAGGGAAAAATGAGCATGACGTGTCTCTCCTTCCAAATAAATAAAAAAATAAATTAAGTTATTTAGCCCCAGCATTTTCCTCATTCCGCAAAATCAGATAATAAAAAAGCCATTAATAAAAGTAGTTACTCCAACAATAGCTACCTTCCATTCTCACGTATATTATTATAACAAGACACATTCATGATTATATGATTTCCTGTTATTACTTACTGCGTGTTCATTCATTAACTCTTGTTCTTAACGAGTGTGTAATTAAATCAGCTAATTGATAAACAATTACGATTAAAATGAGCTTGGATCGTTGCAGGAGATCCTGGTGACCCATCCTTTCACGAGGATATCTAACTGGTCTTCGGGCAACACCTACTTCCATATGACCATCGGTAACCTGGTGCGAGGTTCGAAGTTACTCTGCGAGACGTCGCTGGGATACAAGATGGACGATCTTCTCACATCCTACATTTCCCTGATGTTGACGAACATGAGCAAGCAGAGGAGCATAAGAATAAAATAGGCCGACTCGAAATTCCGTTTCCCACTGCAATTACGGCCTGGGAACGGGACCGACTAATTAATATACAGTAGGAAAGTAATTATTAAAAATAATACCATTGTTATCCTTAAATTCCCACATTCATGTATGAATAATCATGTTTTTGAAGAAAACGAGATTTGGTCGTGAGAACCGGCTTGAATGGATGTGAAAATCTGCCTTCCTTGTGTCTAGAATCTCCTTTTGTAAATACTATTTATTTTTTGATGAGATACGGTTTATTGTTGTAGGGTGAAAGAATACTTGACATTATTTAAATACTTTTATTTCTACAAAATATGCATAATGTACAGATTGTTTATGTATGATTTTTACGTAGAATAAAACTTAATGCTACTAAAAATATTTACACTCATTACATTTGCCTTAAATTCGTTGTTGGTGACTTGATTGCTGCGGCAAATTGAGCACTTTACTTAGCCTAAGTCAAACGGTCGGACTATTCGGTGACTGCTTACTTACATAACTTTGGTTTGTTCAGAGTTGACGTTTCAAATAGTGAAAAAGAACATATCACAATAAAGTATAATACAGAGAAAGAAGAAGGGGTGACAGTGGCACGTCTTTACGCCCGAGATACACGCACTCGCTTTTCTACGACTCGCAATCAAGGCACGTGAGATTGCACAAATTGAGTCATGAGTTAAGTCATCGCGCAGCCTGATCTCAGCTTCGTCCGCTAAATCTCTTAAGTCCGATAAGGAGTTTCAACAAATACGCACGCGAATGCGTGAACGGCACCATTTAGGCCGAAAACTATTTATTCAATTTTTATTCTCGAGAAAATTCCGAGCAGAAATCGTCTACTTAAAGGCCGTCATGGACAAACAAACATGTGTGACGCTAAAACGACTGTTGCAAAATAATTCTCAAAAAAGAATTTAAAAACGATTATTTAAATTACAATAGCTACTTTTTTTCTTTTCGTGCGAAGCAGGAAAACTTAGTTTCTCATTTAATTTTTTTACAACAGTTTTAAATTTTCACTGGGAAATCTTTACGCGCTAAAAAAATCTGAAAACTACTTAGTAGTCCATTGATCTTTTTTAATTGTTTGACAATATTACTTCCAAATTTTATAGAATTGTGAAGTTTACAACTAAGTAAAAATTCTGTTCTGAATTCCTAGCACCACAAAATGTCGCATAAAAAACGTGACCTCTAAATCTCACAGTGCCACCTAACCTAAAGGCACTTATCGCCACTACTTCCAGAATCCGTGTTCAAACCCATTCAAAATTCAAAAATCCGTTTTTAACACGTCATTCCACGCCACGCCCCCCATATCCCTCCCGCCTCGCACTTCACCCCCCGAGATTTCTCCACCACAAAATAGAGAGAAAGATCGTTGTTCCTACTTAATTATTGCATATCCTACCCTCACCTAATGCATCCCGTGGGAGTTCCACGCCGCCTCTTGCGCCGCCGCCGCCTGGCTCTGCGCCTGTGTCATCACGGCGCCCCTCTGCCCCTGCCGCATGATCTCTTCCGTGGGCATGCACTGCGGCCGAGGTCCCGGCTCCGGGGTATACGTGAACGTCAACCCCGTAGCGTAGATGATCCCGTCGTTCCGCACTAGGCTGACCGGGACTTGAGTGGGCTGGCGCACCCACAGCCACTCCCCCCGGAACTGCGAGATATCTGGCACCACGCACAGCATGGACTCCTGGCAGCGGTACATGGTCTCGGCCTCCACGTCCCCGAACCACACCTAGAAACCCATTTTTTTGAAAATTTAAGTATGTGGGTGTTGTGGCGGCACCCACCTGGAGCGAGGGCGAGAAGTTGTCGCCGGTGAGCTCCAGCATGGCCACCTCGCCGCCGCCGTTGAGGTGGAGGCTGTGCACGATGGGCACGGGGGTGACTGGCGAGCGCACGGGACCCATGCCCTCGTAGAACTGGTACTCGGCCTTGTCGGTGGAGATGATGGTCCAGCAGGCGCCGTCGTTGATCATCTCCTTGTTGGGCTCCTTGGGGCAGGGCGTGGCTTGGAACTGGATGATGCGCTCCTGGGAGAGGCACAGGTACATGCGCTCGGTGTCCTTCATGTAGAAGGCGCACTTGTGCAGCTGGGAGACGGGGTCGTCGGCCTCGAGGAGGGCCTGCTGCTTGTCCACCTGGAAGAAAAGGGCAGGTTAGGGTGGAGATTGTGGAAGGGGGAGGTGTCTTAGGGGATTTTTAGCTATGTCCATTTTGTTTATATTAAGTGCAGTTTTCAGATTGATGCTAGATCTGTGACGTCATAGTGACATCGTGCCGATTCGAGATGTACAACACTTGGATAAAAATATAAAAAATAATATCTGTACATAAAATTTTGGTAAAACACCAACATTGATTAAGTGATTATAGAACACCAATTAAAATTTATATTTATTGATCCCGTCCAAAACGTTGATGACCTCACCACTTTTTTTATTTATTTATTATGAAACAGGTTGCCTAAAAAAATATTTATTTTATCGATACTCCGACAAAAATTTTGTTTAATTCTAGTGAAAAGTTGATGACGCAATCTCAAAACATTACATCCGCTTTCAAAAATTCATGACAATGCGGTATTTGTTGTGCTTCAGAACCAAAGGAAGGCTGTATAAACAACTTTTTTTGGATAAAAACTAGTTTCCAAATATTTATGTACTTTTTCTATTTAGAATTCATGGTTAAATTGCATTTTTTGGCACACTGCGATTATAACGGATAAATGCTTTTTTTAAATTTTCTCTCGTCATGAGTCACGTTTTCGGGCAAAAACTATATTATATTACGATATTCACGGAGTGAAAACACAATTAACAAAGGAGATATTCAGAAAAAAATAAATTTTTGTGTTATTGTTAACAATTATTTGAATTTAGACACTGTACGGAACAAGAAAAATAATTGGCCGATCACGGTCACGTGACATGAAGTAGCCAATGAGATTCCGAAACACGTTTTGCGGGATCGAGAGATTTTTGAATTAAATTTCGCACATCGGAATCATTATAACACCAAAAAGTTTCAATCTGCCTTCGCTACAATTTCTACGACTATTTTAAATAGTTTTAGGGCACGGATACAATATTTCGCGTTTTTAAACGGCAAGCAAGAAATGAGAACCCTAACCTCACTTTTTTGTTGATCATGATTTAGAGGCGAATTCTGGCTTCCACATGCTTACCTTCCGAATAATGAGCCTCGGCAGCGCCATTCCCGTGACGGAACACACCAGCTTCACCGTGGAGCCGTAGTGGATGTACCCATCCCGCACTTGAAACTCCTCACTCTCCGACTCATTGTCATCCAGCAGGTGTATAGTAAAAGCGCCCCACTGCGTCGAACTCGCATGAAAGTGTCCATTTTCCACGTGCAGATACCTGGTGGAAACAGTCTGTGACCGGAGTCTATTGAAAAGCGCCACTTTGGTGCCACTGGCAATACACAGATCGGCGTTCTTCAAACTCTGCTTTTTTTTAGAGGGTTTGGAGATGACTTTGATCCTTTTGCTGTGGAACACGCCGATGTCGTGCCCCGACCCGTAGAACATCTTCACCGAGAGCATAAAGTGCTTCCTCTTGTCAGAATCTGAAATGTAGAGGGTCTTGGCCGCACAGTACTGCTTGCCATTGTTGAGGTCCAGCTGCTGCATGTCCTGCTCGGAGTTGCCTATGCCTATGAAGGCGCAGAGCTGGGAGGCCTGCTCGGACTCCCCTTCCCTCAGCATCTGCTCCTGCCGCAGCCGCCAGCCGTCCCCGAAGAGGTAGATGCAAGGCGGCGGGCAGAAGAACCGCTTCTCGTTCCCGTAGGACTTCTGGGCCACCTTGGCGTGGAGGATGACGATGACCATGTCGGAGCGGTCCCGCAGGTAGCGCTCCATGGCTTCCCTGGTGAGGCGGCGGTCCTCGCCCCGGTAGCCCCCCGGGACCACCGCCCCCGAGAAGCGCGAGTACATGGCCCCGTGCTGCGGCGGCGGCGTCGGGGGCGACTGAGCGTGGGCTATGCCCGGCAGGCCGTACTGATGGGGCATTCTCGACGCGGAGACGATCAAGTAGGCCGCATTCTACCTCGCTGGCGTTTGTTTTGTCGATCGCTGACACACACAGACACACAGTTGCTCGGCCAATCACTAATTGTAAACAGAACACGCTATCACGGCCAACTCTTCGCTACCGCTATACGTGAGAACAAATGCCATGCTTCCCCCTCCCCTGCCGCGCGCCTCCGACTTCGAAAAACACCTGTTTGGAGAGAGGATTTTCCGACAGTGTGGCCAACGTTGAGGCGCTGACGGGTCGGGGGCGGCGAAGGGAAAGGGCCCCAGGGGTGACAACTCGGGGGCGGCCGAAGGGCAAGCCGGCGGGGCCGCGGGCGGCGGGATGCGGCGGAACGCCAGGAGCGATTTCGCTGGAAATTATGTAATTTTGGTAGCGTTAAGGCGGGTTCACGCGAGCGAACGGGAGCCGATGACAGCGCAGTGGCGTAGTCGAAAGTTTTTTGTTTTATATTCAAAAACAGAAAATATTGTCAAAACGGTAAACAAAAATTGATTGAAAGTTATTTAAACAGAACTTTCCTTCCCCTTGAAATTCAACCAAACAAATCTAGTTTTTTAAAATTTAATTTAAGAAAACCCAATGATAAAGAAGCATGTTGTGTATATATTTGAAATGAATTTTTCATTATAAAATTTTGTAATGGCGTCATGAACTTTTTAGTAAGGGCAAGGAATACCAGAACAAGTGGTGACAAGCAAAAAACCCTAAAAGAAGGCTACGAAAAAAGGGAAGACAAAAGTGGTGAGAAACAAAGAGTAAAGTTGATTCGTCGACTTCAAAATTCCGGACATTTATCGGATCGCAAGCCCTCCTGATACCGCCGCCACTGCGCCCATTCATATCCCTCTCTTTCCAAAGCCGCCTTTAGCGGTCTCGCGCCATCCCCCTCCCTGGCCCCGCCCGCCCCGCGGGAGGATGTCGGGGTTACAGCCGGGGCGTGGGAAAACGCCGGTGTGGGAAAGAGTGGGTGGCCTCGGCGATTCTCAAACATTTGATACCGAGAGATGTAATTCAGACCGCTGGACGAGATTAGGTCTGTTTTCCTCTGATTTGATGATTCTCGCATCTAAATCATGGGAACTGACGTTCGTGTCGCGGTCGTTCATCGCCGCCACGGACCGTGGGAATTTTTTCGGCTCGTACGCAGACGACTCCAGTTCCTCCACTTCTACATTCTATGCAATTGGCGCTCCGGCTAGTTCTGCTAGCCTGACACTTCTGGACTATCCGTGAGGCATTCCAGCGCCTCGGTGGACCATGTGGGTTTTTTTACCGCATTTAAACAAACGTTAACACACGTTTGCAACTCCTTTCACAATTACAACATTATTTTTATAACTAATTGATGTATAGTTGGTTGCCTACCGCCACAATTTAGTATAAAAACACCAAAGCTCGCAATAACCACACAGTAACATTATTTGGCACAAAACGGGAAACGATGGGAGTACAAGGGCTGTGGAGGCTCATCGAGCCCTCTGGGAAGCCCGTGCCCTTAGAAACCCTACAGAACAAAGTGCTAGCAATCGGTATCCTTTTTTGTTGACGTTTGAAAATGGCACAGTTGCCTTTGAAATTTTGACGTTGACGTTTGCATCTGAGCTTTTGATTGGTTTTCCTTGTTTTCCTTAATGCCACAGATGTTTCGATTTGGTTGCACCAGCTTGTGAAGGGGTTCCAGGATAGCAAGGGGGCGGCGCTCCCGAACGCCCATCTGCTGGGAATTTACCATAGGGTGTGCAAGCTACTGTATTTTCGAATCAAGCCGGTGTTTGTCTTCGATGGGGGCGTTCCGGTCCTTAAGAAAAACACGATTGTGAGTTTAAATAAGTGGTTAAGTTTGACAAACATAACCTCATTATCGCGTAATGTTGCGAAATCGGGTGGAAATATTGACGAGAGGCCAGTGGCGGGACGTTTAAATTATTTTACAAATAAAAGTATTAATTTTATAGGTCATGATCATGAATACCGTTTATTCTAAGAAATATTTTTTTTTCAAATCTATGAAAATAAGCAACGCAATAAATCACCATTGTTAAACAACATTCAACAAAAACGACATTTTCGCATGTGTTTATTTTTAAGCGAAAACATTAAATAATGCACTTCTCCATTTATCAACAAACCGCTAAAAAACCCAAATGTTTGCATATAACACGAAGTAACAACAAATAGTTCAAGAAACGTAAATATTATTCTTCTACACAAATTTTTACGTTTTGCCCTTTCTCTCCCTTTCCCAGGCCCTCCGCAACCAGCAAAAGCAGAAAACCCTCTCCGAAGCCGACCGCATCCACAAGAACCTCCTCGCCGCCCTCATCAAGCACACCGCCATCAGCAAAGTCCTCTCCGAGCAAGCCAAAGCGGCGATCGCCTCCTCCACCTCCCCCACAAAAAAATCCAAAACCGACGATGACAACTTGTACGTCCTGCCCGAGCTCGACTCCACGGTGTCGTCGAGCGACGACTCCGACACCGAACGACACACCTCCAGACACTTCGATCTGCACTCTATTGACACCCAGAGCGCGGAGTTCAAAGCCTTGCCCCTGGAAATGCGCCACGAAATCCTCTCCGATTTGAAGGAAACCCGAAAACAGTCGTCGTGGGGCCGAATCCACGAACTGCCGACGGAGAGCAACGACTTCTCGGGGTATCAGATGAGGAGGTTGTTGAAGCGGCAGTCGGTGCAGACGGCGCTGGAGGAGATCGAGAAGGAGATGGGGGGGCATTCGTTGTCTTTAGGGGAGTTGGAGAAGTTGCTGAAGGATCAAGGGGTGATTACGAGTATGAAGGGGAATCGGATCGCGTCGGACGAGAACACCAGGTTTCTTTTGATTAAGGATATCAAGCAGGCGCTGGAGGAGGCGAAGAAGCAGAGTTTGGAGACGATTGAAGAAGAGGAGGAGGGAAAAGGAGGGGAGAAGGTGGAAAATAAGGGGGATAAGGAGTTTGAGGATGATTTGCAGAGGGCGATTGAGTTGAGTTTGGAGGAGGTGCCGTCGACGTCGAAAGATGTGAAGGTGAAGAAAGTGGGAGAGAAGGGGAAGAATAGGATGTCCTTGTCGTTTCTGGCGGATTTTGAAGATGCAGATTTTGGGGATTCGGAGTCCAGTGAAGAAGAGGAGGTTCGGATGAGGTTGACTCCAGCGCAGAGGTATATGATGGAGTACAGCGGGCTGACGGCACACGCTATTGCCAAAATAATAGAGAGTAATAGCAGAATTGGGAGGAAGAACGGAGAGGAGAAGACTAGTGTAGAAGCAGCTGAAAGCAGCAAAGGGAGAAGTACTCCGGTGGTTGAAAGTACGACCACGCTGGATGAAGAGAGTGAAGAAGATAAAAATGAAGCTTCGACGGCAGTCGTTGAAGATTTTGAAGATCAAGATGAAAATCAAGTTACGACGTCGACTGCAACGGAAGAACCAGTTGAATCAACAACTGAAAAGGTTGCAGAAGTGGAATTGATGTCTGAGTCAGAGGATGATGATTTCGTAGATGTAGATAATAAAGAAAATGCAAACACAATGGAAGTGGTCATCAAACCTGACGAAGAAATAGAAGATGATCTTTTCAAAGACGTATTCGAGGAAGAACAGAGTGAAGCAAACGTCTCAAGTACGCAAGACAAAGTAATAGAACAGATCATATCACTTGATGATGATGAAGAAGAAAAAAAGGAAGATCGAGAGGCGTTACCGGAAAAAGAGGAACAAACGAAATCTACGAGTCAGACCATGATGGACAAGATTGAGAAAATGATTGAAACCTACTCGAAACCCAGAGAGCAAAAAGAAGCAAAAGAGAAAGAACCAGAAAAAGAAGAATCTCCGAAAGTGTCTGTGGAACAATTACGGGAAATGAAGGAGAATCTCACCAAGGAGCAAAACGAACTGATTGCCCAGAGGTCCACCAAGGAGCGACTTGCTGGAAATATCACAGACCAGATGTGCCAAGAAGCCCAGGTGAGTCATCCACTCTAGTCCACGCCCCATCAACCTAAATGTTTCAGGAACTCCTGGAACTTTTCGGCGTGCCCTACTTAGTAGCCCCCATGGAAGCCGAAGCTCAATGCGCTTTCCTCGACTTGATCGAGCTAACAGATGGCACCATCACCGACGACAGCGACATCTGGCTCTTCGGAGGAAGAACCGTCTACAAGAACTTCTTCGACCAAAACAAAGTCGTGATGGAATTCAAAGTGGACAGCATCCAGCGCCACTACAGTAATCCTCACCTCCCAGTTTTTCTTTTTTTAATTTTCTGGTTTCAGAACTCAGTCGTGAGCAGATGATCCTTCTAGCGATGCTGGTGGGTAGCGACTACACGACAGGTTTGACGGGTGTAGGTCCTGTGACGGCCCTGGAGATCCTGGCGGCTTTCCCCCCCAAAAATCACCTGGTTTCGGGTTTGGCCGAGTTCAAGTCTTGGGTCAAAAAAGGGAAACTGCCGGGACCTGGACGAACTTCGCTTCGTGGAAAATTGAAGAACGTGTCCGTGTCTGATAATTTTCCGAACCCGCAGATCGTGCAAGCGTACTTGGAACCCACGGTGGAGACGAGTAGGGAGAAGTTTTCTTGGGGTAAACCCGATATTCCGGGATTGGTGGATTTTGCGAAGCAGAAGTTCGGCTGGACGAAGATAAAGAGTGAAGAGATTCTGGCGCCGATTTTGAGGCGTTTGGAAGATAATCGAGTCCAGAAATCGATAACTGAGTATTTTAAGTACGAGGTGAAGGCTAGTGAGTCGGGGGTAGCAGAGAAGTTGATGAGTAAGAGAGTGAAGACTGCAATTAATAGGATAGCGAAAGGGCCGGACTTTGAAGAAGAGAAAGAAGAAAAGAAACGGGTTACTAGGAAGAAGAAAGGAGAGAGTAGTGAGGAACCGAAAACCAAAAGAAAGAAACAAGTTAAGAAGAAGGAACCAGAAGATGAAGATATCAAAATACTGAAAGAAACGGAAGAGCGATCGCAGAAACGGGTCGAAGAAATTCAAAAGGAAGTGTGTAAAGAAGTTGAAGGACAAAAAGAAAAGAAAATCAATTTGCAAAGGTTACTACATAAAAAGGAAGTAATTCCGCAGAGACAGAAAGACAAGTCTGATATATTAAAAAATAAAATGAAGGCCATAGAAGCGTTTCGTAAATCCAAGCAAGGTCCAGGCTACGTCAAAAAACGGGGCAAAGTCCGTAAAGACCCCCAAAAAGATGCTAGCTACTTATCAGAAGGCAGCAGCAGTGATTAAAAATTGTTACCTCGTGTTTACAATAAAATTGTCTTTTGTATCGATGATTATTTAATGCAAATTTTATTCCAATTTATAGGTATGTATACAAACGATAGCGTATCACAACGGAAACTAAACATTTTTCTCTTAAAGTATCTTAAACTAGCATAAATAAATAATGATTCCTATATTTGTAGGAAAAGTTAAATTAATTCGGAATGTTGAAGTAACTTTACACACATTTATCCTTATTATCACATCAGATTCAATTACAAAATTAAAAAAATAAGGCCGACAGCCTGAGCTCGTACTACATCCAAAAATCAAAACAAAAAAAAGCGGATAAAAGGCATTCGTTTGAACTTGATGGTTTATTCTGAAGGAGTGAGATCTTTTTCGGGTTCGCCTTCAGTGAGCAATTGGAGCAACAGATCGTGCACGGGCTCGAAAGCCTTCCGACTACCAGCGTTAGTAAGTAAGAGGTAGTCGTGCATATCATGGTGACTTATAGTACCGTCGGATTGCACAAACCCTTTATCAATCACAACCAATTCCACTTTGGGTAAATTGACTATTTTACTCTTGAGAAGATCATTGACTTGGGACATCCGCTCCCTCAGCTTGTTAGGGTGCTGCCCCCTAGGCAAAAGCGTCTACAAATTCAACACAATAAAATCAACACCCCCAATACCACAGCATACTCACTGGAACTACGATGTAAACGTCATGGTGTTTCTCCCTTATATTATTAACTATTTCGACAATCCCTTCCGTAATCTCTTCTGGCGTATTCGCATTATTGTTAGTCCCGACGTGCAGAACTATCACTTTGGGCTTGACGTGATCGAGTTCATCGTTCTGAATCCTCCACAGGACGTTCTCGATTTTGTCTCTGTGAATACCAAAATTTAAACAGTGTAAAGGTGCAAATAGTTCGTTCCACACTTCGGTGTGCTGTAACGCTTGCACGATGGAATCTCCGATGAAGACGACATCGGCGTCTTTTTCGCGGGACTCCGCAAGGAACCTTTTGTGCTGGAAACGCCGGTTTTAGTCAGTTTTTGGATTTTTTGTGGCACTTACGATGCTCATCCACCGGTTGTCGCCGTCACTATCGTCGACTGCGACGGGCACTTTGCAAGTGTTCATTTTCACGTGAAAAGAAAAATTGTTCGATTTTGTACTCCTAATGCGGTAATTCTTAAATAATTAAAAATTTACAAAAATGACATTTCTAATGTCACTGTCAGTCGAGCGGAACGCGCAGAGGCCTGCACTACCGATCGAATAATCGATTTTTCTTAAAAAAAAAAAACGGACTCATAAAAACGAAAAAACTTAAACGATAGTTCGTTATAGTTGAACGAGCATGTACAAAAAAATATATATTTTTTTTGTAGTATCTTTTAAATTTTTTTGAGAATCACTTGAAATTGTCAAACTTCATCTGTCAAAAATCTGTGTCAAAGTGCAACTGTCAGTATTTTCATTGTGAATAACGTAAACAATTGATTTTTGTAAAAACCTGCGTATTGTTAATAATAATTACAATGTCTACGATTTCGTCCCCGTCGGTCGAACTTAGTTCGTATCGCGACCAGCATTTTAAGGTAAAATTTAATACGACTTTGTAACATAACCTCACTTTCACTTTTAGGGCACTAGAATAGAACAAGATCGTCTTTTGCGGTTATCCACCACTTTGTACGTCGGAAATCTCTCGTTTTATACCACGGAGGAACAAATTGTTGAATTGTTTTCGAAATGTGGCGATATCCGACGAGTTGTTATGGGTTTGGACAAGTACAAGAAGACTCCGTGTGGGTTCTGTTTCGTGGAATATTATAACAGAGCAGACGCCGAAAATTGTCTTAGGTATGTTCCTGATTGGGAAATCGTTCAATAAACACCACGTGTTCAATTTTAGGTATATAAACGGAACCCGTTTGGACGACAGAATCGTGAGGACTGACTGGGACGCTGGGTTCATCGAGGGGCGACAATACGGCCGCGGCAAAACCGGCGGTCAAGTACGAGACGAATACCGAACGGACTACGATTCAGGTCGAGGGGGTTACGGTAAAATCATGCAACAAAAAATGGGGGTTAATGACGGGGGTTTTTCGCGATGAGGTAATAATATAAGTTTAAAATTAAGTGTGTTTATTAATGCGGGGGCGCCCCTCTTTATACATTGAGTAAAGCCAGATGAAGGATGTTCCCACCCTTCATCCAATACAACATCAGATATGTTTCTTCTTCTTTGTGCGAAGTAGAGAGTCTACGCTTCCGTACTTGGTACTAACAGTGGAAGTTGGCGATTTATCGATACTCCTATTTACAAATAAATCATTACAATTCGTGGCTTCTGGTCATATAATTTTGTAATAATCATTAAAACTTAATCTCACGCTCAACAACTGGAGATTCATGTTGGAACTCGACGATAGCAAAATAAGGTACTTTTTGACGAACTGTTCGTACGTTTGAGCCAAATGTTTCACTTTGGTCCTGATGCTGTTCAAAAACTGGTGGAAGTTTTCAACTCGTGCTTTAGCTACGATTTCTTCTTCAGTAGTGAGACCGTAAGCGTCAGGTCCGTCGATCCTGTTCATGATCTGCATGTACGCCTCATACTCTTTCTCAGCAGCTTCATTCAGAGCCTCCTGGTGCCCCTCAAGCGTCAAAATAAAATTATAAATACTCCTCAACTGCGAAAACAACACCCTCGAGCTCTCGTCCAGCAAAACCCCGCACTGCACCGAGCTCAAAAAAATGTTATGCGCATTAATAATATCATCCAAACACTCCGCTTGATTGACCCTCCGCAACATCTCGGCCCATGAACATTCTAACACCTCGAACAAAAAATAGTACTGCGTCTGATGCAAGAAGTGTATCATCTCGCTGGTTAGAATGTGAATCACGTGCATCACCGGCTTCAGTTCCTTGATCTTGCGGAACCTCTTCGCCATCGTGATTTGCTGCTTCCTCATATTCGCCAGAACGAACTCCATCCGCTTCGCTTTCCATAGCGCTCCAAAAAGACACTGGTATATTGTCATGGTGGGTTGAAAAATGGTACCCACCGGACCATCTACTATATATACTAAACTAAAAACGTCCCATCCCGTGTCGCCTTGGGAATGACCCATGAAGCTGACATTGAGACGTTGGAGGGTGTCTTCGTCCTCGAACTGGGCATTGGTGACCCGAATGGCAGATTCGAGAATCGCAGAAAGGGTGTGGCCGTAAATCTCCTGGGCGGGCTTGTTGAGTTCAGGTCTGCAAATGAGATGTGAGCATGCGTGGCAAGTAGGAGGGGTACGTACACTAAGAGTTCCAAAAGGTGGCGAATGAAGTCGCCCTGACCGAGAAGAAGGTACCGACGCAGGGACTGGAGGTGTTCGTAGAGGCGGTACTTGTTTTTGAGGAGGTCGAGCACCCGCAACGACGTCTCTTTATACACTTTGTCGAGAGTCGAGTCGAATTCCAGACTTTGTTCGGGGGAGAAGAGGGACTCCGCTACAAAATTTCCATTCAAATAAATTATGTTTAAAGTGATAATAAAACGTCTTACCTGAGGTCGTCCTCGACAGTTTTTGTAACACGTCCCTCTCCCCCATCTGGCCGCTGTCCTTGCAAATCTGCCTCAAAAAATTGATGCTCTTCCCCGTCGCCAGGATTTTCTTCGCCTGGTCCATCGTGATAAAACTCGGCACCATCGCCTTCCTTACGTGGTACTTATCATGCCACAGCCGCTCCGCCGCCGTTATATCTCTAGCCTCTACGAAAAACTCATTGCACGGATCGTTGATTTCCCCATCCAGCAACCACCTAGACAGCATCACATACAAGGGTTTGCACACCGCCGTCAAGACTTTCTCTGACACCTCCTGGGCACACTTGGAGCCGTGCTGCAGGAACCCGTGCACCGCAGTGATCAGAGCGCCCCCTTTTTTCTCGTTACATTGCTCCGCAATGTACGCCAGCCACTCGAACCTCACTCTGTGCTCGTGGATGTACACCAACGCCTTATGGAGCGTCATCTGGGGCTGATCTAAACACGGGTTCTTCCTCAGTGCGGTCTGAAGTAGAGCAATCGTGCGGTAATACGAGGAGAGTTCGTCCCGAAGCGTCGCGATTAAAGCCAGACAGATGACACCACCGTGCTCGTCGTTGGAGTCGCAGTACTGTTTGAGTTGGTTGTGCAGGAAACTCATCCCGAGGAGGCGCTCCACGAGCCCCCTTTGAATCGGCGTGAAGTTCTTGCCGGACTTGGGGTCAATCACGAAACCGACACCGCCGACTTCTTTGCGCAAGTAACGGCCTTCGATGCCTTGGAATGAGTAAATTATGTCTTGGAGGAGGTCGCGTTCAGAAACTAAGTTGAGATCGGCTGAAGAAAAAAATTAATTCACTATTATAAAGTAAATTCGTTCAAAAAGTTGTCTTACTTGACAATTGAGAGGGGCCGGTTTCGAAGTCGACTCGCGACGACCAGGCGCTGGTGGTTGTACGTGACGACTAAAATCGACTGTCTTAAACGAATTAGAGCACTAAAAAACTACAAACCGGAATGTTAGTGCAGCTAGATTGGACCGACTTGAAAATGCTCTGTCCTTGGAAAATACTATGTATGGACTCCTGCGAATTGGTACCTTTGGTCAAACTCAACTGCGACGATTTCGGTCTCGTAGTTGCCGGAAATTTATCCAAACTTTCGAGTGTGCTCCATTTCAACTCCCTCTGCGATTTCTGCGCTAGTTTCAACAAGAAACGCAGCACCGAACACCGATTTTGCAACACGTTCTGCACAAACTCGTCAAATTAGTACAAAAACCGCAACTGCGTTCAACGTACCGTTTTACACATGTTGGAGTATAGTAGTTCAAACCGTTCGGCGCTTTCCTGTGACTGCTGTGACAACAATTGTCTTATGTGCACCACTACGTATTGCTCGTCGCTGGGGACATCGCAGCCCATCGCCGACGACGTGGACAGATAATTAAACGCTGTCTTGCACAAATTCGCCGACAAATCTAAACAATTCCGGTCAGTGTAATCGCGCATTTTTTTCAAAACCTCACCTGGGGCGTGTTTTGCAAAGTGATTGCATAACTGCAGGATCAAATCCGGCACGCTTGTGGAGTCCAAAGAGGTAGAGGAATTCATTTTGGGTCCATTCGGGTTCTCGCCCCTTTTGAATATTTTTGGTTAGGTTGAAATGTCAAATTTAAATCCAAAGCACGGTTATGGGTTGTTTTGGTGGTGCGGTTGGCACCGCTGAGGGGAGGACAGTGGCGTGCAAAATCAATTTAATAAGGCTCAATAAAACAATCACAATTATGTTTAATCCAGCTAAAAGTTCAAACAGAGAATATAGTCATGTTCTTGCTAATTGTAAAAGATTTGTAATGAAATAGAACCCATCGGTCGCTACCGCCCCTTCTTTCTGTAATTACAATAAATAAATTCTTTGTTTTTAAAAAAACTTGATTTGTTTGATATTACTTCAGAGGCGAGAGACGCTTTGTCTAATTGTAATAACCTTCGACCAATTTGTTCGCTCGATAATCGCTGCAAATGCACCAAACGGTGACACCATAAACACTTCCGTATCGATTTTTTTCGCAGTTCGGGTGCATCTGCCATTTCCGACTTCTCCCCAGCAAGCACACGTCGCTGTCTTTGTCAACCTCTCCCTGAAACCAAAAACCAGCGACTGTCAAACCCGAATTTATCCCAAAACATCCGCAAAAAAATCAGTGTAGCGTAACTGTAGCCACCGTCGTGCACGAACCTATATCAGTCCCGTCCGATTCGGTAATAATTCGCCCATACTCCCACCCAACACCCACTCGTTGGCTCGCGCCGGGCCCCCGCGTCGTGGTGCACCCCACGCGGCTCTCTCGCCCCATCCCCCGGAAAATGTAACATAACCTCAATCTTCTCATCGCACTTGTCAACTCTAAAAAAAATGGATGCAGCCGGTGACAGGTAAGCCCCCGCCTCTCGCACTTAAATCTAACTCATCGTAGATCGTTGCATTCGTCCAACGTAGCTGTGATCCGCGAGGTGTACGACAGCGAGTACTCCCAGCAATGCTTTTCGATGGAGCTGGAGAAGGCCCTCGACGCCTGCTGCACCGTCATTGTGATAGAGCCCAGTCAGCTGGGGGACGAGACCGCCCGCTGGATCAGCGTCGGCAACTGTTTGCACAAGTCGGCTGTCTTCTCGGGGGCCTGCTCGGTCCTGTCGGGCTTCCTGTGGCCAGGGCGAGTGGTGCCGCAGGTGCCCTTTAGCATATTCTCCGCGCTGTGCGCGTCGCTGTACACAGTGTCCTGGCAGTTCGACCACTGCGTCAAGTACCAGGTGGAGAGGGACCCGCGGCGGCTGGCGCGGCTGCCCATTCTGGGGGCGCTGACGGCAGCGTCGCCAGTCGTGCTCGTGCGGAAGGACAACACGAGGAAGATCGTGTTGCACTGGACGGCGTCGCTGGCGGCGGCGGCGCTCTGCGTCTACAGATTGTACCGCACTATGAAATAAATTCTTGTTCTAGTTCGTGCGATAGGTAAATTATTCTGTAGTTTTTAATGATTTTTAATTCCAAGTTACATCGAGTTTAGTACAAACACGGTCCGTCTTCCCGGAGGTAGTGTTTTCGATCTGTTACATGTAAATAGATGTGATGTTTAAATAAAAAAAACACAGATTAGAAGGAGTGTTTTTGTGCTCGTTTTTCCATTACATAAAAGTACACTGAGGGTAAGTACTTTCTAAGAAATACCCCTATTCTAGGTACTAGGGTGGAAATGAGGATTTCCTTCTTCTTTTGAACGACGGCCCTTCCAACTTCAGTCGCTACATAGCCTGGGGCGTAGCCCGATTCAGTCGCGGCATCCATCTCCCCATGCTTGCCTCCACTTCCTGTTAAAGCATTGCGCGAGAGCTCCGTTTTAATGTACCCAGCACTGACTACAGTGACTGAAATATTGTGAACGGCCACTTCAGCCCTCAAACTGTCACTGAAAGCCTGCATAGCGTGTTTGGACGCCGAGTAAGCGGAGCGCTCAGGCAATGCCATTAGACCTTGTATCGAACTAATGAAAACCACATGTCCCGACTTGTTTTTTATCATTGATGGTAATACCGCTGCAACACAATTATTATTAGATAATCAAACTCAATTAATTGCTACCTTTGGTCAAGGCAGCGCTTCCAAAATAATTAGTCAGCATAATCTTGATATCCACGTCTGGCTGCGTCGCAAGCACTGAACCCCGATGCGAGATGCCTCCATTGTTTATCAGAATGTCGATTTTTCCAGTGACTGCTAAAATCTTATCTACGTGAGATGGGAGGGTGTTGATGTCGCTTAAATCTAGCGGGTGCACAATGGGGGGTATGGTGGGCACGGTGGGGTGCGTTTGGAGTAGTTCCGTCCGGACGCGCTCCAGTTCTTGACGACGACGAGCACATAAGACCACTTGACAGCCCTGTTTGTAAAATTCGTGAGCTAGGGCTTCACCCAACCCAGAACTGGCTCCTGTGATCAAAACAACCTGAAATGCTAGCTCCAAGTAACTGAAGGACCCCACTGGTCACTATTACCTTTCCTAAAAGGGCATTGTAGTTACGCTTCAAGTGTATAGCTCGACAAACTTTAAAGACAATCCACGGTATGGTGAAGGCAAGACTCAACGATCCTAACAGACTCAACGACTGATACAATTTCTTTCCATCGAACATCGTCACGGATTAAAAACTTTGAACCTCTCAACACTTATCGTAGCTGGAACATGATTAATATCTGCTGTTCACACAAATTTGAAAATTTTATATGTTGACATTTCGAATGACATTTGACGTGACATTGACACTCGACGCGAAATTTAAACATACAATTTCCCTATAAGTGAACAAACAGAAACTAACAGTTTTATATACGGTGGCTCAAATAATCGAAAACTTGAGGCGTACGCTAAATACAATTTTTGAAAGCACAGATAAATCTAATTATCAAAAGTAACCAACCACAACGAACATCTCCATCACGTGCCAAAAACATAGCTTGCCATTAGTGCATATACCCATCGCGCCAAATTCAAACTCAGCTTGTCCGTAACCATTTATTATCAACAAATAAATTACACTAACTTTTAACACTTGTGCTTACGTTTATACTAGCATGAATAGTTGATTGAGCCTTCGCCATTACCTCCCCTGCCCCCTTTGCTAACAAACTCTGTGCAAGTTTCGTCCCCAAACCCTGCGCCTCCTTCAGTGCTTCTACAGACACTTCATCGTGCTTCACCAACCCGCAATACCCCTGATCTACGTCCCCCTTAATCTCTATATTCTCAATTTTCTTATTAAAAAACGGACACTGCTTTACGTCCAGTCCTTCGACAGCCCCATTCACGGGGCACTTCCCCACCGTCGCTTCCAAATAAGGGCACTTTCCCATAAAATCCGCCCCGATGGGAAGCGATACGGGGCAATGTTCGTGCGGATCGTCCTTCAAAACATCGGCAGACACCCCATCCAATTTGATCCTCTTCGCAGGATTCTTTATAGGGCTATTCGGACACACGTCACATTTTTGCAAATTTTCAATATCTTTAACGCAGGAAGGGTTTTGGAAGTTGTAGGGACACGTCAGACATCGCTTGAAGTCTTTGATTTCGACTTCGCAAGTGTCTGCTTCGACGATTTCCTCTTTACCGTCAAGGGACCAAACTGCACCTTTTATTGTGAGAGAATATTTGTTTTCTTTGTTGCGAGTTAGGTCAGTCGTGACGGCGACGGGGGCGCTGCAGCCTCCGCCGAGAGTTTTGAGAAGGCTACGCTCGGCTATTACTCGAAGAGCGGTTTGGACGTCATACAGAGGTTTGAGTAAGTTGATGGTTTTTTCGTCAGATTCGCGGCATTCTACACCCAGGGCGCCTTGGCCCACGGCATACAAAAGTTCATCTGACTCTAAAATCTACAATTTGTTATTAATAAACGGAAACTGAAAACATAACCTCACTTGTAATATGTACCTTTGTAATTCTGCTAGTCCACCCCATTCTAATTAGACCCGCAGAAGCTAAAATAATCCCTTGATACTTTCCCAATTCATCAAGTTTCTTCAATCTAGTGTTTAAATTTCCTCGAATGTTCTCTACTTTCAAATGGGGGTACTTGCGCGCCAGTTGCGCAGCTCTACGTAAACTGGAGGTGCCAATAACGCTTCCCGCGGGTAATGTTTCAAGTAAATATTTGTCGTGGTCTTTTTGTAGCACCAACGCATCCCTGGGGTCCTCTCTATAAAAACAAAAGTGAGGTTATGTTGTACCGAAAAAATTAAGCAACCTCATCAAAACTGCTCCTATTGCCATTCCTGGAGGTAACATAGTGGGAAGATCCTTGAGAGAGTGCACTACGAAATCTACACAACCTGTAGTGAGAGCCGCTTCGAGTTCTTTCGTGAAGAGAGATTTTTCGCCAATTTTAGGGAGAGGTATGTCGAGAACTTTGTCACCCAGGGTGCTCATTGTCACTAAAAGGGTTACTCTTTAACTTTAGCGGTTTTAAAGAGAGTAGTTACCAATTTCAAAGTCTTTCTCGGGGTGGATTTTTTTAAGAAGCGATATAACGTGTCGGGTTTGAATGAGAGCCAGCTGAAAGTAGAGTGTTACGAGGGCTTACGCTCGAGTCTGTACGTACCTCACTCTTTCGGGAACCCACCCGAATTTTTTCATTTTCACCCATTTTGTACTTATTCAGTTAGGAACTTGTACCATCATTATGAGTCTTAAGTTATTATTTTTATATTGGGAAAGTGCTTTATCATTTGATGTCATTACCACATCCACATCCTGTTTGTCGTGACGTGGTGCACTGATAGCACTTTCAAATTATGTAAGTAGAAAAGGCAAAGACCACGTAGTCACGCGAGAACAACAAAGACAGAACATAACCTTAAAATGATTTATTCGGATTTTTTCACATAGAAAACCTGTTTTAATGTACTTAAGTATATAATTTAAATTGAGTAACAACGTTCACGGCCTCAGCCCCGGCGACTTTCTAAAAATCGTAAACTGCTCCAAATACTGATGAATGGTATCCATCGGAGTGTACAACTCCTGCATCCGATTTTGTAAATACGCCGGCGGCGTCGCCGGCACCGACGACCCTAAAAACCCTTGCAGGAACTCCCTCATCAGCTCCCAACACAAAGCAGGCACCACAGACGGCCTGTACTCCACTTCCACTAAAATCCCTTTAAAGTTCTGACTCACAGTAACAGTTCCTAGTTTCACACAAAAATCGCCGATTTCGTAGCGAGGCCCTTTCGACTCGGCCTTCGTCTGCTTTTTCGACGTATAAAACCCCGACATCTTCATCATGAGGAGGTCAAACAGGCCATCGGTGGCCAGAGGAATGGTCTTTTGGCCAGTCTCCAAAATCGAAAAGACGGTGGCCGGTTGTTCCGAGTTGTGGAGAACGTGAACCGTGCGCTGGTGCCCCAAAGCGGGGGTCGAAGTGTAGGTTTCGCAGTCCACCAAAAACTGGCCTTGCTGGACGGCCCCCAGAGCCGAGATGCGCTTGGAAAGGAGCTCTATGGTGGAGGGCCCGGTGCGAGTCTCGATGGGGAACTGCTGGAGCACGGTAACCCCCATGTTTGTTGTTTTTGTTTGGAGCCGGTGGAGGTTATGTTGTTGCGACAGGGGTACCAACGTAACACGAGGTTAATGACTTGAGGGTCAAAGTTCGACTGTAATTTAAATTGAGGGGGCTACATTTCGCTGTATTGGTGTACGGAGTTGTAAGATTGATTTCTCGAAGCCGCAATTTTTTTTTTCAATTTTTAGGAACTTGGGTGATTTTTATGTCAAAGTAATTACACAGTGGCGTGCCGTTTAAACTCTTTTTTTTTTTAAATAAAATTTTATTAAAAAGTGTTATTTTTACAAGTTGTTCAAGGCGAGGTCTTCTCGTTATTTGACAGCGGTAACGTCCCTAGTTCTTCATCGGCAAATTCTATCGCGTGCCTATGTAAAAAAATCACAATGAAACTGCTGCACTTATTATACAGTGTGAACTTACTTCTGCTTAATTTTATAAATATAAAATAGGACTATAAAATTTATCAAAAATAAAGCCGCTATTAATAAGGCCGGTGCTAAAATATCTGGAACAAAGAAAAATTATCACTGACACAAGATGTGAGGATGCATACCAGAAGCCATTTCCACTTCTGGGGGTTGTCTGATTTCTTCAACAGGCAGTAGTGGCTTATGTTGCGATTTCCCTAAAACATAAAAAAATCATTAATTAATAATTGCGCCGCCTCTGCTTTGTTAATTTTGCACAAAGCAACAAGTTTTGCCAACTTTCCCCCTCCCCGGCGCAGATAACCACCTAACCTCAACTTTTCACAAAAACGCATAGAACTCACAAAACAGAAGAAGATAAGCCTAAAGATAACAAAAAAAACCCATTGATTAGCTTCACGTACAGTTTCGTGTTTTTCTTTTATTCGGAAAGGCCTCAGGTGATCCACGTGTTTCGGGATTCGAGTCACAACTGAAGCGTCTAACAAAGATGAGGCGATGCGGGCGTGTGGGGGTAGACAGAGACAACACGAACCATGATTATACATGGGCGTAGAATGCGCACAGCAATAATTAAACAAAAACAAATTTTGTTTGTTTAGAGTCTGTGTAAATCCGTGTTTTTGGTGTTATCGGACGAGGAAAACCTTATCTGGGTTCAAACTTTCGACGGAAGTTTGAATGCCGTGAATAAAACTGTATAAAACACGATTTACGTGTTATCTTCATTGTTCGCTGCGGACAAAGCGCGCATTCGGTATTGTCTCATTAATAAAAAGTTGAGGTCACAGGCCGGCGGAATTAACACGAAAAAAAGTGTCAATAAATCATTTTTTTTGTTCGTTGTTTTTAGGTTGGTACTAATGGAGCTGAAGCTAAATTTGAATTTAAAAATGTTTAAAATTTGTTACTTACTGGTACAGTTCGGGAGCGGGAGGTCGATGTCCCAGCGCGCTCCCAGGCACTGTACGACCTTCGTCTTCCTCCCGTCATCCTCGAATACCCTGTTCACGCAACAGCTATACTCCGCCGCCGTCTCGTTCCGGTAAACCAAGTACCCGTCTTCCGGGGCTTCAGGGGTGGGGCATCCCACGGCAGTATAATGTACTAGAATCCCCCTGCGGGGCGTCAGCGAGTGCCTCGACACTAGCACGACCTCCATGAATTCACCATCCGACAGCACCTCCAACGGCGGCTCCTGAGGCCTGCACGTCGCCTCCACGACCTGCCCCGAATCGATAAACTCGAGCTGGTCGGTGCATTCGTCCGGATGAACGGTTCTGTCGGCTGAAAAGCGAATTAGACAAGTTCGGGAAAGTCGGGGGCGTGATTACCGGTCACCGCAATGTCCAACACGGTGAACTTGATCCTTTGTTGTTGCGGCACCCTTATCTTCCAGCGGCATTCCCGCTGGCTGGAATAGAACCGGGGATAACCCGGATTGTGGATAAATCCCTGCGATAGTAAAGGATCGCCCGTGTCGGAGAGCAGGATTTCGCTGTTGCAGAACTTGTGGATGTGGTCTTCTGGAAATTTAGTGCGGTTTAGGGCGGATCTGCGACTAGCTTACAATGGAGGATTACGGATGCGTGCCTGATTTTCAATATCCGAGAGATTGGAGAAATTTCACGCCGGGGACAATGGGTGATGGATGGGCTTTGAGGCGCACCTGCCGGGTTTAGTATGGGTGTTGGTGACGTGAGAAGGCACATGTCAACATGCTTTCATTATAAAAGACCGTTTTGTGTGAAGCTGATGGGTTATCACGAAATGAAAATAATACGGCTGGGTTTGTTGGAAAATTTCAGTGGGGATAAATGGGTCACACTATGTGGTGATTTTCGTTTTTATTTTTCGAAAATTCGTCAAAATTTGAGAAATCTCGAAGTGGAAGTGTTGTCGGTGAAGAAAAGTGTTACCACTGGAGTAATGGGACAATTTTAGCGTCATTACTACGTGTTAATTTCCGGTTTGAATTTTCAATTCGTCAAAATCTACATTTAAATTCTTTACGATTATGCTCACCTCCAAACAAATATATTTAAAATAATTCAGACACGAAGGCCGACAACCAATGAGCAAAATAAGCAGAAAACAATCAAATTTTGACGAATTTTGAAAAAATAAAGTGAAGAAGTGGCATAAGTTGTTACCCTACGACGCTTCCGAGATGTTAAAAATAAGCTTCTTTTTCCGCGACGACTATTTTTATTCAAATATCGAGCATCGCTAATTCGCTGTTTACGATTACGTCGACCTCCAAACCCATCAATCCAAAATAGACAACAAGGACACCCAAAAATAAATATTTCAGATATGACCGCCATTTTTATGACATAATCAGTGCTCACACACCACACGCCAAAAAAAAACACGTCCTTACCTGAGACACAAATGTACTTCACCGTCAAGTTCCCCGGCCCCCACGCCCTCGCCCCCGGACAGTCCTCCTCCAGAATGAAGCTGCAGTGATTCACCCCCGAGCACCTGCAACAAAGCCCCAAGTACGTCCCCTTCCAATTAGCCACATGTCGCCTCGAGCGGTTCGGGGCTCGATCGATGAGCCGGCCCTGTCCTTGCCCGCCGGCGCGGCCTCCGTCGAGGCTACACCTTGACTCAGACCGCCGAATTCGGCCGCGACCGTGACCTAGAGGACGAGGACAGGGCCGACTCGGATGTGGGGCGCCCCCGCCGAAGGCTGACACCGGGATGACGAAGGTCGGGCGTACACGTGCGGATATATCGACCCGAGATAAGAGTCGAAGCGCGATAACAAGGGCGGCTGATTGCAGGGACGTGATCAAAAAAACATTAAGCAGTATTTTTTAGGTAATCACGGCTGTGCTATATTTGGAGTCGGACCCACCTCTGGTTCAGAGCCTGCCGCGGGTGATAAGGCGGAAAGGCCGTGCTTATCGCCAGACTCTCATTAAGGGCGCTTTCATTGAACTCTTGAAAGAAGTCTGCCTCGAGGATGGCGATGATGGAGTTGAGGTGTCTGCAGGTGAGGTGAAGTCGGGAGCTCTCACAGCCGCTGACGACGATGGTTTCTGCAATCACAAGAAAGTGGACGAGTAGTTCTTGAATGAATTATGCAATGTGGGAGTGTGAATGAGGCCTTAGTGTGTGTTTGAAAGCTCCGGCCTTGGATTAGATGCGACTATTGTGTTGGTTCTGTTCGAGCAACCCTAATGTGTGATGGTTGGGTCATTCATGTTGGATGCTGATTGTGTGTGTACAATGGGAAGGCCGCTTTAATGATTTTATAGAGGGGGATTTATTTGCGATTTTAATTAGAGCGAGGACGAGTGATTGGGGCGCGATTGTTGACGGATTGGTAACGTGTTTAACAGTGTTTGATCAGGACGATGAAATAGTTAGATTTTTAGTGTTCTGATCCAGGAAGTTCGGTTCTTTCACCCTACACATTTATTTAAAACGCTTTCACTGATTTATGAAAAAAATTGACATTTACAGAGCTTCGCGGAATCTCTTTTTAAGCACAGTTCATTATTTTCGGATTGGAACTGTCTCATTAATCAGATAATTGAAAGGCAGGATATTAAAATCTGATTAGAATAAATGCGAACTGAAAAAAGGTTTTACGTTCTGGAAGCACTCAACCCCTTTGTTCTCGCAAAGGTCCCTATGTCATAAATCTTTCGCAACATTTATCAAATAATCTGATAATCTAATGTGTACCCCATTTGCACATACAATTAAATTTGAATACGCGCTCAACCCAGAGGCTCTAAAATATTTAAAGTGCGAGAAACCCGCCTCCGGTGGTTGAAAACAGCGGTATTTTATTTATACCGCGGTGAAACACTCGAATCAATTATTAAACCCATAGCTAAAAATAAGCTTCGGAGGTTAAAAATAGCCAAAGGTAAAACTCGGTCGTTAAAATTTTACGTTATCCGCATGGGCGCAAAAAGTGAGGAAAATTCGACGCACTTTACCATTTTTGGACTGAAAATTTAACTCGTATTTTATTCAAACGTAGATTTACGTTCTTTAGATTATCGTTTTTAGAATTCATTGTTAAAGTGAGCGTAAGGTCACTACATACATCGGTTTCGGGTATAGATGTGAAATAAAACTGAACTTCCTTATAATTTTGGAATTCCTTCAATGTCAAATTTGAATCATCAAATCACTTTCGGCGGGAAATTAAATTTCCAGTGAGGACAAATTTGAACTGAACTTGAAATTAAACTTGAACTTAACGTTTCGAAGCAGACTCGCAACAAGTGGCATAAAAACAAAATTTCCTTTAGGGGATTGGACATTGAAGGGTGCTGAAAATGAAATAAATATACAGGGTGAGTCACTAACCGCGTGGTTTTTGATATTTCATTAATTATTACAAATAGAAGAAAAATCAAAGCCCAAAATTGAACGACTCTTTAAAGACTATACTTTAAGTTTTTTTTTTCAGATATTTTGATTGATCTCTTCTTAGGCTTTTAATGTACGGAGTGTTTATAAAATATCTAAAAATTAACAATTTTCAAAAAACGATATTGCAGTTTTCTCAAATGGTAAACCCTGTATTTTATGTATCTTGCTCTATTTTTGTCCTCATTCTTCTAATATGTCGATGTGTTTCTTAAAAAAGCAAAAATTTGCTTTATATATAGAAGATAGTCAACAAAGAAGAAAGTAGACAAAAAAAATAATAAAACGCGGTAATAAAATGTTCTAAGTATATGAAAAAACTGAAAATTGTAACAATTAAAACACTTTTATAAACACTCTGTATACGAAGATTTAATCTCTAAGTGAACCCTTTCATTGATGAAATTTTCAAGAAAATTGGAACAACGTGGCAACGTGGTATTCGAATTTCAAAAATAAATAAACTAAATAATATATATAAAATAACGGTTTCACATTAAAAAGAAGACATTTAGAGCCTCTGAGAAGGTTTTACATTTTTAAAAAAGACAGTTGGGACCCTTGAGAAGGTTTTACATTTTTAAAAAAGCCAGTTGGGACTCCCGAGAAGGTTTCACATAAAAAAAAGACATTTGGAGCCTCCGAGAAGGTTTCACATTTTTTAAAAAGACAGTTGGGACTCCCGAGAAGGTTTTACATTCTTAAAAAGACAGTTGGGACCACTGAGAAGCTTTTACATTTTTAAAAAAAGCCAGTTGGGACCCCCGAGAAGGTTTTATATTTTAAAAAAGTTAGTTGGGACTCCCGAGAAGGTTTCACATTAAAAAGAAGAGAATTGGAGCTTCCGAGAAGGTTTTACATAAAAAAAAAACAGTTGGGACTCCCGAGAAGGTTTTACATTCTTAAAAAGACAGTTGGGACCACTGAGAAGTTTTTACATTTTTAAAAAAAGCCAGTTGGGACCCCCGAGAAGGTTTTATATTTTAAAAAATTTAGTTGGGACTCCCGATAAGGTTTCACATTAAAAAAAAGACATTTGGAACCGCCGAGAAGGTTTTACGTTTTTAAAAAAGACAGTTGGAGCCTCAGAGAAGGTTTTGCATTTTTAAAAAAGACAGTTGGGACCCCCGAGAAGATTTAACATTTTTAAAAATGACAGTTGGGACCTCCGAGAAAGTTTCACATTCTTAAAAAAAGACATTTGGGGCTCCCGAGAAAGTTTTACATTTTTAAATAGAGAGGAGCGTATTCTCACCTTTTCGAGAAAGTGGTGTAATTTCATCAATAAAAAAATTGTTATGACGCCATAAACCTAGATAATACACAATGCGAGACAAAAAGAGGAAAACAAAGGGAAAAAAACGAAAGGCCAAATTTGGATTCGAACGCGCGACGTCCGGTCCGCATTCCTAATTCGTAACCAGGACCAGGACCGGGATGCCTTACGCTAATGATAAACTGTTATTAACTATACCGTGCATTATGTTTTTGCAAAAATTTGGACTATTAGGGAAAAACTTAAAGCGGATTCGTACACCACACCTATAGGACTATATTGTTGTATAACAGTTAAATCAAATGAACATAGAATTCTTTGAAATGACGTGGGGATGATTAGCAAAATTTTGGTTAGCATTTAACTATCTACATGATATTTCTAATATACATACAAAATTTGACAACATTAATTGATCTAGCAGTTTCGGAGATTACGTGTCTAATAAAAATGGATACACACACCAGACAGACAGACAGACAGACGGAAAAGGGAGACTACATTTTTCGTACTCTTGGGGTCATGAAACGTCAGGAAAATATAAAAGTGGCCATTCGTCCGATGGACTCGATTACTATACTTACGCTCGGGAAGTAAAAAGTAATATAAATCTAATATGAATATCGGTGGCGGGAAAATTAGATCTTTGTAGTTGCATTACTTTAAATTTCTTTTGACAGCAAATCTCGGGTGATTATTAATGGCTGAAGCAAATTTTTCTATTGGTAATTCTGAATAATTGTCCTCATAAAATGTTAATATGCCACCAACCTGACAAAAAAATCATAATCAATAATAGTCACCCCAACCCCGACATAACACCCGTTACGTCAAATTTGTGTGTGTTCTTCAAGTTCAATTTGAATAAAATTCAAACTTGTGTTTTATTCTTTTGGCGGCAAAATCAAATTTGTCTATTAACATATTCCAACAAAATCCGAGTTTACTTTTAAAATGAAAATCTGACTTGAACTTTCAATGAAATACGTGATGCGAAAATTAAACTCCTTCAGTGCATATTTGACGAAAAATGAAATTTCTTTTGAACTGAACCTGAAATTAAAACTTCAAGCCTCAGTACGTGCCGCAACAACGAAATTTCGATTCAATCATATTTGATCAACCTTGGCGCGAAAATGAAATTTCTCTGCGACGAATCTGAACTAAATCTAGAATCTACACTTAAAAGGAAGGTTCGGAATCCGATTCTCGACAATACGTGACTTGAAAATTAAATTCCTTCTCCAGGAAATTAGAATCGAGCTAAGGTTGCAGCGCTTTCGGTGAGTTGAACTGAATGTGATAAATTTGTACAGAATTTCAGAATTTGTTTGGCGACAAATTTGAGTGACGAATTCAATTCAAACCTAGCCTTTACCGCAGAAGGCGGCAAATTCGAATTCGGTCCGCATCGGGCGTTTGGAATCCGGCTCTCAACAATTGTGCAAAAATAACCGGCGATAAGTTAGCGCGTGTTTACTTTGTCAGTCGTAAGTGGAAACAACCTGGAATTAATTAGAATGAACCCAATTCCGAGGCGTCTTCAAGGCTCGTTACCTCTCGCCCCAATTAAGCGCCTTAATCAGCCCATTTCTCACCTATGTACGCTTCCGCGAAGCCCAAGCACAGCGCCGCCCACACCAGCACGACTACCATTTGGAACGTCACAGCCTTTTTCCGCCGTCTTCCGTATTTCCACAGTCATCACTCCACTTTTCCGCGATTATCATTTGAAAAGAGGCCGGCTCTGCGCACTGTTTATTCCCGTTTATTTACACTCGCCACGTGATTGTCAAATTTATGGTTCGAAAGCGAAGGTGCACAATTGCGTCAGATTCGGCCCGCTCTCTTCATCCCTCTCTCCACCTGGAACAAGGGACAGAAAGGTAAAACGGGCGACAGGAAGGAAGCGCTCAATTGAATCGGGCGCGGCAGGATATCGCAGGACTCTCGACTATCCCGATTCACCCTTTCCATCCCCCGATCGATTCTGGATCCGTGCGACCGTCCCCGGCGCCCGACCGACACTACAATGTAGTGCAGCCGTCGCGGCGTTCCACGAGGCCGCGCCACCCCCACTCGCGGGGAGGGGTGGATCCACTGCCCCAATGAGCCAAATTCGCCGGAATTGCGAGGCGCTCGTGCGAAGCCCCTTCCGGGGACAGGGGATTACCTGCCCAATATCGCGCAATTTTGCATTTTTTAATGAAAACTTTGACAACCAGGCCACTAAGCTTTTTTATTAAATTGTTTTTAATTTTGGGATTTATTCTTCAAGACGTTCACCATAATAATAATTTATGATTTTTTTTATTTGGATTGTTATCTGCTCACGACGTCCCTATTGATTTTCTATTAATTAAAAACCGATGACCTACCCCACCGCCCCTCCTTATCTCGCCAATCGCCGATCCGGCCGTCCGCGTCGGGGTGGCTTTAATTGTTTTTCTTTGCTATTTTCGCCATTTACATTTCAATGGGGTGTATCACCCTCGTTCACCCCAAGTGCTCTTAATACTCCGCTGCCCCAGTGAACTATTCAGGGCCCGTCCGCGCTGAAATATCGAGTTTGTTTGAGTTGTTAAGACGACAAAGTTTCCGTCGATGGGCCGAGTTGGAGCGATTTTGAACTTTGTGTGCTATTGGGTTTATAAGGGTTGATTGAAATCGATGGATGTTATAAAGGGAAAATATGTTGGAGTGTTTGAGTTTTGACACGCGGAACGGCGTTATGGTTCGCGAGGGAGTATAAATTGTGTCCCTTTTTTTTTCGATTTCGGCGTGTAATTTGGAGCCATCGGTTCAAGGGGTGGGTTTTGTTGTGCAGACCGTGAAAAATGTGGTCGGCTTTTATTACTTTGTTTATGGAGGAAATGACATCGTGGGGCGATTTATAGACGCGGATTATTTTTCCCGAAAAGGATTCGTTTTTTTGGGGGGGGGGTTGGCGCGGAAAGATGTGCCGCACTGTGGATAAATTTCAAGTTCACGAAGTCAAAAATTCGTCAAAATTTGCAAAATATGAGTTGTTTCATACGTACCTTTTGCACCACACACACTCATCCAACCCAACTCACACACAATAAATTCCTGTATTTGGTGTAATGAAGTAATGACTTCCCATCTGTCGCCATCCAAGGTTAATTAATCGCAATTAACAAATAAAAATTGCAGCGCTATTGAAAGTGACGCATTTTGCTGCCGCATATTTTTCACAGGCTCATGACCAGCGCAAGCTGCTCTTTTGCATTTTCATGAACTAGAAGCCGAATAAAAGTGAGACGGTGTGCAGCTGCTACTACGTTACAAGGCATTTATCCGTCATTTATCGAATATGTGCACCGAATCGTTCACAAGTCGGGCCGCCCCCTCGTTCTGTCTTTCTCTATTTCAGCGAGATTAGTCACTCTAGAAGTCCAGACAATAAAGGCAGCTACTTTTGAATACAAAATTTCGTCTATTTTTGATCAAGTCGGACGATTTTAGTTTGAGTTTTCAAAAAATCGTCAAAATTTGGGAAAAGTTCGAACTCAAATAAACGAACAAAAAAATTAAAAATGTATATTTAAAGTTCTTCCCCGAAATACTCCACTCTAAATTTATTGACGATGGCGATTATGGCCATGACGGTACCAAACGCCGAGCCTACCACTCCTAGAATGAGAATCAAGATGTCTTTTACGATGATCACTATGCCAAGTTCTCCCTGGAATGCGATCATTTCTAGTATGGGTGGCATTATGAGGGTTAAGAAAGATCCGCCGGTGGCTCCAATTAAGGATATGAACAAACCCAGAAAAGGTACTACGTTTGCCAAAGTCCCTGAGAAAATAAAAATATTAGTGTCGTGTCAAAAAACACGGTTTTCGTTACATGTGGTCAACACTAGCGACGACCTATACAGAGCCGCTACTACTATTCCGTGCTTGAAAGGCCCATACTTCCTATAGATTAAAGGGAATGTCACTTCGAAAGGTATGTACATGTGGAGCGTAAAAGTGAAAAGTATGGCTATCGAAACTATAACATTAATAACATCTGACATACTAAAAAGTCAAAATTAATTATCTGGCGTATTCTTTCCTGACCTTACTTTTTGTCTTCTTGTGTTAAATTTAGGAAAACGCTACTCTCGACATCTTCGCCGTACTTCCAGTACGACAACATCCCAACAAAAAAGTATAAAATCATCACGAAGACCATCCCCACGTTTAAGACTCCATACCAATTTATAAATTGTTCTGGCCTTTTCATTTCGTTCCGTAACGGCAAAATCTGGAATTTTTTCAAGAAAATACAAATTAATTTTAGTACTCTGGCACAAACGAATGTGATTCCTTCGAACGCATATAGGACAGTCCCGAAATACAATGGCCATCTTTCGAAAGGACTCAATAAATATCTGTCGCTAGCCGGTGGAAGTCCCTCGTAAGTAGTATAATAAAACACAATAATAACTCCGCTCCATATAAGAATATTTGCTATAATCGACAAAGGTAGCAACAGTTTCAAATTCCTCAAGAACGTCGAAGCCCACATCGGTATCAACATAATCAGCAACACTATATGTATACTCTCCGGCTGTTTATGGTTCAACAGGTTGTGGTTGGATGCGATCTAAAACACACTCACAAAAAAACCAACAATTGCTATTCTAAATCCTACTTCCAACAAATGATCAGCAATGAAGACGTAATACACGCAACAGAAACCCAGTTCACACCCCACCACCGAAAAATTTGTGAACCATCCAAGCGTTTTGGCGTTGTTTTTCAAACACGCCAATTTACTGTTGTTCAGAGTGTACTGCACCGTCTCCGCAAACGACGGCTTCACTTCTTTCCCTTCCTCTTGGTTGATTTTCTCAGCCGTGCGAATCTGAAACCGCAAATCCTGATTTTCACAAAATTTCACAAAACCGGTCCGCACTAGTATCCGTTGGCAGTTGACGTTTATGAAACCGATGAGGAACAGCAGCACCGTTCCCCCAATTAGCCCGCTGTTTTTGTAACCCTCGCCCATCGCGAAAATCCCGGTCCCGACGTACCCTTTGGCGAAGTGCATCATAGTGGTCCAGTACCTAAGAGTTGGATTTTAGATCTGGGAAGTGCGATGTTAAGCGTTACCCGTTTGGGGGTTTTTCCCCGGTCACGTCTTCGGTGCGAGCTTGGCTGGCGAATGTTCTGGAACGAAGAAGCAATGACTTCTTGTGGTGGTGAGGTGGTGTTACCTCTGGTCCTGAGGTTTCGCCTCTTTGGCGGACGATTCTGTTGCTGGTTGCGCCATGGCTATAGTTTAAGTGCACAAGAAAATATTTTTGGACTTGTCAAAATGGACGAGTCATTGTTTGTCACAGTCGTTGCGATTTAAAAAAAAAAATCGACAAAATTTGAGACAATGAAACAACTCAGTGAGCTCAAGAACGATTTATTCTTCTCCTCCAAAGTACTCGGTTCTAAATTTCTCCACAATGTCCATGAGACTCAAAACTGACCCGGTGATTGTGCCCACGATTCCAATTGTGATGACCATGATGTCTTTCATGATCTGCCACACTGACAGTTCTCCTTGGAAGGCGACCAACTCGAGCATCGATGGTATTACCAGGGCCAAAACAGAGCCAACTGTGGCTCCCACGAGTGATATGAACAAACCCAAGAAAGGTATGATGTTCGCCATAGTCCCTACGAAGCGAAATTAAGATTTGTTAAAACAAAAAAAAATTAATACAAGTGACTAAAACGGGTACACTTCTGTATATACACATCACTAGAAATGGGTACTTGAAAGGTCCGTACTTTCTGTAGAACAGGGGGAAGGATATTTCGAAAGGTATATACATGTGTAGAGTGAAAGTGAAAATGATGGCTATCGAAATGATGGCGTCTATGGCGTCCGACACGCTAAAAAAAAACGTACTTATCGACCAAACTTGCGTCAAACTTACCTGGGGTCTTCTTCTGTTAAATTCAAAAAAACACTGCTACGCACGTCGTCCCCGTACTTCCAGTAAGCAAGAGAACCCACCAGCATGTATAAACCAAAAACGAAAGTCATCCCGACGTTTAAAACGCCCAGTTTGGTTATAAATTGGTCTTTGTTTTTCATCTCGTTCCGTAACGGAATAATCTGGAAAATTGTGAAATTTAAAAAAATTTTTGGGAGGATACGACAAACGAATGTGATCCCTTCGAAAGCGTATAGAGCTGTGCCGAAGTAGAGCGGCCATCTTGAAAAATGGCTAACTGCCTTCCTTTCCTCGACTGGAGGAAGCCCTTCGTACGTTGTAAAATAAAATATAATCCCAATACCGATCCAGATGAGTATATTTGCTATGACCGATAAGGGTAGCAGCAACTTCAAGTTTCCCAAAAATGTAGAAGCCCACATTGGTACTAAAATTACAGCCAGTACTAAATGTATACTAAACGGATCTTTAGCGTCCAGCCAGCCACTGTTGTGCGCTATCTAAATTAAACCTTTAACAATGACTTCCACCTTCATTCTAATTATACCTCAAGAACATGGTTGGCAACAAAGACAAAGTAGACACAACAGAAGCCCAGTTCACACACAAGTAAGAAAATGTTCGTCATCCAGCCCAGTCGTTTTGCGTTCTTTTGAAGAATGTTCAGTTTACTAGTGTCAAAGGTGTATTCCACCGTTTCCTGAAAACTTGGGTTCACTTCTCGTCCCACCTCCTTGCTGATCTTCTGAGAAGTTGCTATCTAAAAAAATTTTGTTTTTTCGTTCAAACAAGAATCGCGATTTTCGTTGAACTTGCTAGAATGTGCTGACAGTTTAGATTCATTATGCCAATCATCAAGAGCAGAGTTGGTCCCATGATCATGCCGCTGTTTTTGAAACCTTCTCCCATGGCAAAAATCCCAGTTCCCACATAACCCTTGACCAGGTGCATCATGGTAGTCAAGTACCTGAAGTGTTCGCTATGAATAAGTACCGACTTTAAGTTTAAAGTTTTACCCATTTAGTGGTTTCTCACCGAACACTTCTTCCATTCTCGATGATTCGCTGACGAACATCCTACACAAATGCTATTAAATAAAAAGAAAATTTTGTACTGTGACTTTCCTCTCGTGTGGCGGCGCTTCCGCCGCACCTTCTTTAGGCGCAGCTTTTCCAGCGGGTGCAGCGGGTGTAGCGGGTGCAGCCATTTATTAATTTTCGTAAATTCTTTAGCTAAATTTAAGAGCAACAATTGTCAATAAGACACTGATATCGTCGCTTACTTTGCGTTTTTTGTACAACTACTTAGATAAATGAAAGTTCGTTTTTGGAAAAATTTTATTCTCGAAAATATCTACGACACATTTAGAAAACTATTTTGGTCCTTGCGTTACTAGAACCACGGTGTTGTTCCCGACGTCTCCCGCATCCTCGGGGATGCTTATCTGGAACTGCAAAAGCACAACCAGGTACGTGACCATCGTAGCCAAAAGCTGTAACAAAACAATGAACCCTTAATTTCTGATTCCCTAAACGAAAAATCGACACTCACCGACTTGAATAAGTTCCTGTTGACATCGAAGAATCCCACAAGACACATATCCGTCGGGCTCATCTCCGTCGCCCTCAAGAACATGTTAATCTAAACAACAAAATGCGTCAAAATTTCGAAAAACGCATTGTGGCCAATCACTACTAAGGTACCTCTTGCTGAGCGTCTTCGTTCATCCACGTCAGCTCCACCAGAAGCAGCTTCTTCTGGAATTGCACCCTCACGCAGTTCGACGCGTAGTGAGCCTCATCGCAAATGAAGTACAGAATGGCGACAGCCAAAGCCGCGTTCACCATCAAACCGATGTCTTTGCTGTTGAAGCCGGTTTGTAGCTGCGACAAAAGACCATAGATTGTCAAAGTTATGATAAGAAAGAGGTATAGGCAGAGGAAGGTGACGGTGTATCCTGAAGCGTTGCCCACGTCTCGAATTTGCTTGCTTAGGAGCATCCAGAGGGCGCGGTAGTCGGCCATTTGGGACGTGGGGCCGACGTGACGTAGGGCCATTTGGAAGTCGTTAGCGACTTGAGTGGCTACTTTTCCTACTACGTCGCACTGCATGAACCAGAAGCCCCCGATGAGGTAGATTACGCTGTTGATGTAGCAGTAGGGGATCACCTGTACGAGAATCAGTTTTCGGTCTCCAATTTTACAAATTCAAAATTCGTCAAAATTTACCTGTACTACCTTGAAATGCGCCATGGTAATATGGGTCAGCACCATGGTAGCGCACGCGACAAAGGGTAAAACCACCGCCACAATCACTGGTTTATTTCCAAAAAAAAGATCCAACTTCTTCTTCGTCACCTTGTAGTATATCGCTTCGAAGAAAACCCAGTCCGTAATCACACTCGCCATCTTCCTCCCCTCATACCACACAATGGGATTGATAACGATGGGCAATAAATACACAGTGAACAAATAATCGATAACCGCCTCCTCGAAGCGACCCTCCTGCGACCGCACGATCTCCACCGAGTCCCACTCCAGATACCCAATGTAGCCCACCATAACCAAGAAAACCACCACCGAGTACCCCAGCCACTGCGGTACCAATCTAAACACCCGATTTTCCATAGCCGCGATGGGGAAAATGCCCACGATCCTCATCAAAAGGTGCAGCGGTTTCAAGCCTTCGTAAATCACTCCGTACTTCTTGCTAGGGTCGGAGAAGGCGTCGCTGGGTTTGTTGACGAATTTGATGGGTGCAGGGGCCACTTTGGTGGGTGCGTGGTAGGAAGCGGCGCTGTTGAGTCCACTTTCCATGAAGACGCTTCTTCTGGGTCTGTCGTGGAGGGTTTCGCCCATGATGCCCACCTGGGTGACGTTTTGGGAGTACATCGCAGCGGACTGGAGGAGTGATTGCGAAGGAGTGAATTTAAAAGACGTTAAGAGTCGATTCGGGATATGCTGACGTATGTTTGCTTTGGGGTAATTATTGCTGACCTAGAGCTAATTCTTGGGCGTAATTATGAGGGGAGGAAGCGGGTCAAGTTTCTTGGGAAGGTGGTATGGATTATGTAAGATGTTTTGCTGAAAGGTGTACAGGTCGATGGGTTAGTTATTTTTTAATGTACATATTATAGTCATTTCTTGTATCGGAACAGCCCGTACGTTTATTTTCACGAGATTAATTTAAATAAATTTAAAAAAAAAAATACAAAAATCTCTAACAAAGAATAGAAGATTTTTAAAATGATTTCAATAATTTTACTGGAACTAATTAAAATATTGGCGATTATGTTTAATAATTGCTAAGTATGCAACACACAATATTTTTTTGTTTTGAGAAATGTGCCCTGGTTTTCGAAAATGGGTAGGGCATTTTATACAGGGACTTTGCACATTTACTGGTGGCGCCACCACACAGCAACTGTGTAAGTTTCGTTAGGAAAATATTTTTCTAACCTAGAAAATATTTTCGGTCAATTGGGATATTTTGCTGTTTTTTCTTTGTAATACTTAATAACAATAATGGAAAAGTCAAGTTTTCGCAGCTCTAAGATAACTTGTTGCGTGGTTGGTTGCCACAATGCATATTACAACACTAATTCCTCCATTAAATTATATAATTTTCCTGGTAGATGGTATGAAGAAGAAAGAAGAAAATTGTGGATAGACAGTGTAAGGCCTATAAAGTGAGACATTTCTGTATAAACGATAAGAAAGTTATTTAAAATATGGCCTTGTTATAGTAAAACAAGCGGCCAGTGGAAACCAAAACCCCATGACAGAATTTGTAGTGAGCATTTTGTTGGAAACGAAAAAAGCAATCACCCTCATAGCCCATCATATAATCCAACAATTTTCCCTAAAGTGAGTTTCAAATCACTCATATTTATTTCATTTTTATGTAAAATATCTAGTACAGTTCCTACACTACATCAGTACCTAATAAAATTTTATTGGTATTTCAAAGTCAACCATGAAGTAAGGCTCCTTACTGATGTAGTTTATGAACTGTACTGTTTACCATATTGCTAATAAAAAAATTGTCCATGTGAAATTTCAGTGGAAAAGTAACTTTCTACATTTTTACGTGTTTAACAGAAACTTAATAATTTTTTCAACGTAATTTCGTTTTCTTTGCGATGAAATTGCAGCAAGGCAATCTTTTGGCTAAATTTATAGTTTGATTAAAAAAGATATATATTCATATATTTTTTCTGTGGAAAGATATTTTGTAATGACATAATCAATACTTCCGAGGAAAAGTTGGTTTTGAACCCTAGAAGATTATTACGTCGTAAAAATAATAATCTGCGCATTTAGTGATTAATTAAAAACCTTTTATTAATCGATATGGTGGTCGAAGTGGGAAGCATTAAAATACCAGAACCACCCAGAACCCTTAGTTAGGCAATGAGTGTCACACCTTTGCGTAATTTTGGTTGCCTATCATCCCCGGCGCATTCGCAAATACAGGCTGTTTCGCCACAACAAAGTGAAACTTCTCGTGACGTCATCCTCGATCAAACTTCGCGTGTTCCGCAAAGATTACCATTCCTTGCATTAGCATGTTTGTTCATTCTCAAGAATGCCGCCATCCTCTAGAACTTCACCTCCGCCCGCCTAAACCCGCCCCGATCCCCCGTCATTCGAACCTTCCCGCCGCTGGCCCGCGTTGCGTCAAACATAAATAAATATGGCGTCTGTGGCAAAGTCAGTGATGTAGCGTTGACATTTTACTGTGTAAAAACAATCCAAAATAGCCTGTAAGTAGCCCTTTTTGCGCGCTCGGGCCGCTCCCGCCGCCCCCCGGCTGGCGCCGCCGTCGCCGGCCTCCATGTGCCCATATGGCCCGACCCGCGAGCAACCGTCAAACCCTTTACCGCCATTGCCCGATTTGTTTTGCTACTGCAGACGCATCCGTCCGAATTCACATAAACAGGGTGTTTCCGGCAAAAACCGGCCTCCGAGCGCCCGATTTAACCTAAAAGCGCAGATTTCGGCCGCCTCGGGGCGGCTTTAACCTCGACGCGAGCGCGCGTCTAAAGGCGCGTTCACGTGGAGGCAGTGGCGTCCATTCGAGCGGATCCAGATTGCGTCGACTTAAGTGACGTTGTGAGGTTAGTTCTGAAACGCCATTTTTTTCTACAGAGTGCGCTTTTTTCGCAGAACATGCCGAAGGATAAACAGGTTAGGACACAGTCGAGACGCGCCGCCAGCAAGGAGGCCTTGAAGCAAATGCATCTGCTTCTGGGAGACGAAAAACACTACGAGATCTCGTCGGACGACGATGATGTAAGTGGAGGTTATTGTGTGGAGGTGGCCGCCATTTTCGAACGTGGGGAATGGCGCGTGCGTGTGACGTCACGTGGGGTAATCGCGATTTTTTTTAGGTTATAGAGGTGGAGGTGCAGCCGCCGAAGAAGAAGTATAAGCTGAGCCATAGGAAGTCGTCGGACGGAAATGGTGAGAGTTGCGGAATTGGTCCTCTGGTGAGGTTGGGGGCTAGAATGGTGGGGTAGAGGGCGCTGGAAGTCACACGATTTTGACAGTCGCGCTTTTTAAATGGCGCCAAAAGGGGAGAATGAGCGGTAAAATGGACACGCCGAGATACATATTAATGAGACAAATTTAATTAAAATAAAACTTAATGGTATATTCGTGAATGTATGTAACAAACACTGTTGGTTCATCATAGATGGCGCTATATCGCACTCGCTTATACAGTGACCAGATTAATGTTACTTAGGATTTTCCATATGTACTAGATAAGAATAGCACCTAAATGGACGGAACATAGAAGCCCAGAAATATTTATATGTAAAAACGTTTCTTTTTAATTTAATATTAGTTAAAAACTACTGCTTTTTTTAAATGTGATATCTAAAAAAATTTGGGATAACGTCGATAGTTTTTGTGGAAGAGATAATTAGAGACGTCTTCGTTACCATTTAGATCATTGGTGGAATATCGTGGCAAGATGGCGTAAAAATTGAGAATTAGTTTAGGGTAATTGTTATTTATGACTTACGTAGACGAATCGACGTGACAATTAATTTTAACCTAAAAGCATGTTAAGTCACAAAACCAAGCTGAATTTTCAAAATTTCATAATTTTTTTTCAAGTGCTTGTTCCAAAACTATAACTTCAGTACTATTCTCCGAAATATCAGAAATAGCAAAACATGTTAGTGTGACGCAAATTTTTTTTTTTTTGCAGAATACATTACGTGGTAAAACTGGTTATAAGTTACGAATTTCTTTATTTTATAGTCAAATATTTGGTTATGCCATGCTCGAGTAACATGTGATAATACTAATAAAGTGTAAACAAGTTAACGAGACAATGCTCAAAAGTTCAATTGCTTAATGTTGGCTTACATTTAAATAAAAACAAAACTTGCGCCGACATCATTTAGAAATAGCAATAACAATAATGATTAGAAAATCGTAGCAGCCGAATTTGAGTGCCTTAACTCTAAGACTTTGAAAGACGTAACATGGTAGAAGTTTGCCTGAATGCCGGTCATTTCCAGGTCGGTGGTAAGTCTAATAATAATAATAATAATGTTGGTCCTCTATTAAAAAAAGATACCTCTACATTACAGCGTAATATTGATCTTCATATAAAAACTGTCTTTTTTTTTAATAAATAAAAAATTGACGTATCGCTGTTGCCTCCCAGATCGCGATGTCATCGTCCTCAAAACCGTCGATGAGGCCCCATTCGAGCTCGAGGTGGTCGTCGAAGAGCTCTCCCCCTGCCAATTATCTCGCAACGAGCAACTCCAAAAAGAAACCAAGGAAGTGGACGCGAAAATCGAGCAGCTCCTCTCCACCCCCAACACCGAGGTCGTGTACAACGGCCTCTTCACCACCGCCGTCGAGGTCACCGAGCAGATCCAGAACATCATCACCAACGCGACCGCCGCCCCCGCCCCTCAGTACACACTTCCCGGCCAAACCAACGCCCTACCACCTCCCGCGTCCAACGTGCCCCAGCAGCCCGTTCCTGGTCAGAGCATCGTCCTGCAGCAGCAGAGCCCCGGCAACGCCAACATACCACAGAGTTACCAGCTGGTGATGGACCCGAGGCTCGGCGTGATCGTGGGGACGGTCTCCACCGCCAACGCTAGCGCCAACACGCCCCCGCTGCAGCTGTACCAGCCCAAGGTGACGATGGCGGCGACGGCGTCGCCCGCCACTAGTAACGAGCAGCCGCCGACGATGAAGACTCGGAGGGGCACGATCCTGCGACAGGTGCCCAACGCGCCGCTCCCGCCGCTGCACAAGACGACGCTCGTGCAGCAGAAGGCGCCGCCGCCCCCGGTGAACAAGCCCAACAAGGGGCTGCAGGTTAAGCAGAACCTCTTGCAGAAGAACGTGCAGCAGAAGGCGGCGCCCAAGCCGGCACCGACGCCACCGAAACCGGCGGTCGCGACGCCCAAGGCGATTCTGCCCATGAAAGGGAGGGTGAGTATTGGTGGGTTTAAGCGGGCGAAGCGAGTTGAAGTTGAGTGTTTTGTAGCCGCCGAATCCGCCTCCGGTTCCAACGGCGCCGTTTCGACCCACGGAGAGCAACGTGGAGGGCGGGCTGAGCATGGGGAAGCCGTCGAAGAGTATAGATTTGACGGGCGACGACGGGAGAGCGTTGCCTGATAGCAGGGAAGTGTCCTTCAATAAACTCCAAGGGAGGACGTATCCGTCGTTGGTGGTGGTGGCGCGGCCGCACTTGCGCGTCAAGGACTTGGCGGCGGACCGGGGGAAGTTGGACGTCAAGGTCAAGAGCGTGCTGATGTACCCGCCGACGAAGTTCACAGAATGGTAAAAATCGAAATAGTCTTACGAGACGTGTTTTAATCATGGAGTATTTACACTTTTTTTTTTGTTTATTTAATTGAAGTTAAAGATTCTTTGTTTGTGTAGGTTGATCCAGCAAGGGCTGGTGCGGTCCGACCAGAAGTGTTCGATCCACACGGCCAATCCCCTGAAGCTGGGGATGTACAGCGACGCTTCGAAGTTTCCATATTCCGGCGGCTACGTTTGGATCAGCGAGTGCTGTCCTCAGAGGTTCGTCTCCGTTTTCAGCGGGTCGCTGTTCGAGGGTTCGCAGCACCCCCCGATGGCGATTCTCAAACTCCTCTACCATTGGTGTTGTCAGACGATCGTGCAAAACGTGACTCAATGGGTGAGTTTTCTGCAGCGGTGGAATGACCCCGGGTTAACCCTGTCCGATTTCAGGTGAAAGTGGATAACCTGTACGTGAAAGGTATGTACACGTGGCTCAGGTCCGTGTGTACGGTGGCGCTCCACACCCACATTAAGCAACTAGGGGGTCCCGGGGTGAAAGTCCAAGTCGGGGTGATCAGTTTGGGGACGACGTCGCAAGACGGCAACAAACGCGAAGTCAAAGTGGAAGTTTTGGGAATCTTGGAGACGACGACCAGACACATAAGACTGCGGGCGGTGGAGCCACTCGCCGACGGCGAGCGCAACTACAAGAAACGCTTCACGAAAATCTTGGAGCCGGTGTTCAACTGGGTGCACCCGTCAAGTATCATCGTCACCGACTTGACTGTGGATAAGACGACGCTGCACCAGATGGGCTTCCTGCACGTATCGCAGAGCACCTCGACGGACTACGCCAACAGCAACCGGACTATCATGGAGTACCTCAGGCGGATAGTGCCGCGCATGTTCCAGAACACGCTGTCGTTGCTGTCGCGCCAGATCATCCAGCAGTTCTTAGACGAGCTGGTGTGGAGAGAGTGGTACGGTACCACAGTCCTCCAGTGCTTTGATAACATGGTGCAACACTTGTCCGAACAGACGCGCCACGATTCGGGCCAGTCGCTCGTCGTACGCTTGAACAAGGTGAGCGCCAACCCGTTCAAGAACTGGTCGATTCCTATCATCGGGGCGAGCACCGCCCCCGCCACTCCCAAGACGGCTGAGCCTCCGGCGCCGAAGCGCTACAGCCGCCAGCGCAAGCCGACTACGCCGCAGCCGCAGCCACCGCAGGTGGTCCAGGACGTGGTGCGGCCGGTGAAGAGCACGTCGCCGGACGTGCCCGAACAGCTGGTGCCCTTGGAGAACTACTACTACGGGACGATCACGCCCCCGCAGGAGAACCGGACGAAAGTCACCATTAGCATAAAGTGTCCCTTCTGTAAATTAACCTTCAACACGAACATAACCCTTATGAACCACCTGTTCAAGCACGCGCACAACGTCTCCAACGACGTCCAGCTGTGTAAGTACTGCTTGACGATAGTGCCGACAGCCAACGACCTCCTGAAGCACATCAGTTCGTCGCATCCGGACGAGACCAAGTTCGACAACGGCTTCGTCTGCTTGATCTGCGAGTGCCACTTCCGCAATCCCTTCATCCTAGGCAAACACATGTCGAAGGAGCACTGTCCGTCGGAGTTGCCCTACCTCTGCGGCACGTGCAACTTCAGGTGCTCGAACCACAAGCTGGCGGTGGACCACTTCTACCAGCAGCACGACTACGGCACCACGATCCAGTGCCCGTTCTGCTTGAAGTCGACGACGATATACTCCGGAGGACGCAATATCTCACAGAACATGAACTACTTCATACAGCACCTGCAGAAGCACCAGAAGAAGCAGCTGGCGAAGAGGTGCGGCAAGTGCACGCTGTGGTTCATCCAGAAAGAGTTCCTGAAGGACCATCAGACGAAGATGCACGTATCGCAGAGGGGCAAGAACGGGCTGGTGCCGTGCTTCGCGCCGCGGAACGGAGTCATGGTACCGAAGTCCAAGATGGACAAGTGTCCGGACGACGCCATCGTCATCAATTTCTCGACGCTGTTCTTCAACGTCGGCAAAAATCTGAACTGCAAGGAGTGCGACAAACCCTTGAGCACGCCGAAGCATTTTGCGTAAGTCGGTATACATGAAACCTGTCTAGTAGGTCATGGAATTAGTTTTTAAAGTACTGATTTGGCCATGTTTTGTTACAGATCGTTCGAGAGTTGCCAGAACACTAACTGCCAGTACTCGACCTGCTGCTCGAACGCGATGCAAGAGCACGCGGTGAAGTGCAAGTCGGTCCATGCGGACATTCCGGCGGAGAAGTTACCGTTCGAGATGTTCTGTATTTGCGGTTACAGAGACATATACGGTGAGTGGAGTACTATGGGCGCACACGTGGTGATTTTTCTTTTTTTTGGTGTAGGTAATCAGATGGCCAAGCACCTGGCGATATGCGAACGGAAGTCGGCTTATCCGTCACGACAGGCCGCCAAAGGAGCCACCGTCACTCAATGCATGTTGGACGTTTTGGGCTTGGTGCGCAAACCCGAAGAAGCAAAAGAAGTGACGAAAGAACCGAAGGAGGCGAAAGAGGAACAGCCGAAACAGACGACGGAACCGAAGGAAGTTAAAGATATTAAGCGGCCGGAAGGCGGGAACAGCGTGCAACCTATCATTTTGAAGCACAGGGGAAGGCCGAGGAAGTACCCCGGAATCGCGAAACCCCCAGACAAAGAACCGGAGAAGGCGGTGATCGAAGTGAAGGAAGACGCAGTTAAAAACGAGGGTAGTGTAGTGCAAATAAATATAAGTGACGTTCGGGGAGGGGTCGAGGCGGAAAGTACTGAAGTGAAGGATGGGGAGGGTGCTCGAGACAAAGTAACGGAAGAGGTCGATCTGACGGAGAACGATAGCAACGAGGAAGCCAAGAAAAGCGAACAGGAAGAGAGTACGAGCGAAAAGAAAGAAGAAAACGAGGATACCGACAAGTCGACGAAAGAAGACGCAGACAAGGTGGAGGACGAAGCGCGAAACGAGAAGAGCAACGCAATTAAGGACCAGAACGAGGAACCGACTACGGTTGAAGAACAAGAAAAAGTTGAAGAACAAGACAAAGGCAAAGAAGCGGAACAGATTGATGACGAAGAGAATGAAGCCAGCGAGGAAACAGAGAAGGAAGTCGTTGATGAAGAACAAAATAATGAAGCAACTAGTAAGGTACAAGATGAGGTTTCTAACGAAGAACAAGAGGAGACGGGTACTAACGATAACGAAGAGCCAGAGAACGAAGTTCCTACAAAGGAGCAAAAGAACGATGTTCCAGACGAGGAAGAAGTGAAAGAAAATCAAGAAAACGAAGCTCCGAGTGAAGAACAAGAAAATGAAGTTACGAATGAGGAAGAACCTGAGAACGAAGAACGAAATACAACACCGGATAACGAAGTAACCGAAAACGAAGATACCACGGAAGGACAAGACAGCGAAGACACTCGCGACGACGCAGTCGGGAGTGAGGAAAAGGACGTGACCGAAGACGAAGAACCACAAGCTAACGAAGTTGTTAGTTCGAGCGAAAATACGAACGATACGAATGAGCACTCGACCGAAAGGGGCGAGGATAGTGAAAGAATGGAAGTTGATAGTAGTAGTACTACAGAAACAATTGATAAAGTAGCAATAGAGAATAACGAAGAAAGTGAAAAAAACGTTAATATCTGTCCTATGGATACAGACTAAATTTATAGAAATATATTACGTTGTAAATATGATGTTATTGTTCAAGACTGTAAAAAATCTTTGTTGCGAAGATAGTGAATTAGTGTTTGTGTTTACTCAAAGTCGTTTTCTTTTATAAAAGCAAATTTTTTTATATGCTTACTTCAGTTTCTGTAAGGTTCTATTAAATATTATATTTGTAATACAAACAATTTAAATAAAAGAAAATTTCCTCCTTTTAGTCTTTATTTGCATGCTTTATGGACCTTGGAACGGTGTTGGAAAATCTCGTGAAATTTCACATTGCGACGAATTTTGAAACTTGCAAGTTTAGAAAAAACTCAAAGTGCATATTCTTTATTCATCCTCAATAATCATACATTATGTATATTCCTTAATGAGGTTTTTCTTTTAATTGCAAATGCGTTGTGTAATTTTTATATATTTTTATAAGGACTATTGTGCGTATAGTAAATATTGGTATTAGTATATAAACAATCAATTTTTTGAGACTACAGTTTGTTTTTTTGCGATTTTTACTTTTTTAAATAATTTTTGATAAACATTTGGTTACATTACGACTCATCTTTTCGTACTAAAACTGAACAGAATAGAAAACGTGGTGTTACAATTGCATATTAATTGTTTTAAGTGTGAGATATATTTTGTATCAAGGGTAAAATCCCGCCATAGAAATTTATGTGAACTTTCATCCGTCCAGATTGTGTTCCACTTGACTTTTAATTTCCTCCCAAGCAACAAGAACATCCGTCTCCTCAGTAAACCTGCTACAAATCACAAACCTTATAACCAACTTTTCTCTAAAATAATACGGCATAACAAAAATTTTCTTCCTTTGAGTGACCCTATCTATAAGATCTTGCGTCCGCCGATCATCCCCTTTGACTCTGAAACAAACCAACCCCAAACTGACCCGACAGACCTCAAACCTACAATCGCGCCTGACTAACCCCTCGAAGTACTTCGCCAAATCCACTTGCTTCCGTATGTGTTTGCGAATTCCTTCGACCCCGTACACCCTCAAAACAAACCACAACTTCAATGCTCTAAACCTCCGAACATCCGGAATTTGCCAAAAGTGAGTCCCTGAAGATTCTCGATCAAACACTTTCTCCGCATGTGTCACATCCTTGAACCACATGGCGGAACAATCGGAATTGACCAGCATCCATTTATGGGGGTTGAAACAAAAAGAGTCCGCGAATTCCACCCCTTTCATTAGGGGTAGGTACTCGGGGCAGCAGAACGCAGCTCCCGCGTAGGCCGCATCCACGTGCAACCAAACCCCGAAATCTTTGCAAATCGGTCCGATTTCTTCCAAATCGTCGAAAGCGCAAGTGCCCGTGGTACCGAGAGTCGCGACGACGCTGCAAGGTGTTAACCCGGACGCTATATCTTCGCGGATGGCGCGAAGAAGAGTAGTACCACGAAGAGCGCCGTGCTCATCCGTAGGCAGGAGTCTGATGGTGGTGGATGCCAACAATCCTGCTTTCTCTACTGAAGAATTTGACTGCTCGGAGGTGTAAGCCACCAGTTTCGCGTCGGGAGCGGTTTCGCTCGTTTTTTTCGTTTTTGATATTAGGAGAGCGATTAGGGTGGAATCGCTGGCGGCGTTTTGGATTAGGCCACCTCCTGGACCGGGAGAGGTGTTGAGGAAGTGGCTGGGGAGGTGGAGGAGTTTGGCTAGCCAATCTAGTACTTTTTGTTCGAGAGCGACGCAGACGTTGTCTGGGTGCTGGAATAGAAAAGTTAATTTTGGGGGGTGTGAAAGAGGATTTTTACCCAGTCGGTGGAGATTGTAGCGAGGCCTGAAAGGAGAAGTTCACCGACTATACCGGGGTGTGAGTTTGCCGTGGGGTAGTAGGCGTGGAAATGGGGGGAGTGCCAGTGGGTTAGTCCGGGGACGATTATTCGGTCGACGTCTTGAAGGAGAGATTGCCATGGTTCACCTTCCTGGGGAGGCTCTTGAGGTAGGTGCTGATGGAGATAACCGGGCTCGACAGAAGAGAGAACTTCCCTGTAAAAAGATGTTTATGCTGCATATTTGGTTGCCTATTGTACTGTGTGTTACTTTTATATTTCAGAAGAAATTTTTAACGTAAAAACGTTGATTATTTTTAACACTACATTTATTAGTTATCTGTTTTTAATTTCGTTAAAATTGCAGCTAAACGTCCAATACATGATGTGTATGTTTGGTTGCCTACTACGGTTAATTTTTACGTCGTAAAAAGCATAGGCGTAGACTTAATGTGTGCTAAGCTTATTTTCGAAAAACACAAAATATATAAATTACACTTTATATTTTTATTTTGATTACTGTTTTACCTAGAATTAAAAATTTTTTGACGAGCTTTTCAAAAACCTTAAAAAAACTCTACTCCTGTGCCTTGACTGACTTACTTGTTTCTAATATTTTCAAGATAATCTGCAATATAATCAACTGCCGCTTTTGCGAAACTTCGAAACTCCTCACTATTCATCCTCGAAACGCACTTTTGACTACCTCGGACCCACCATTTGGAACTTTAAATATGTACAAACAAAACTCCCGCCGTTCCCACCTTCTAAACAATTTTTGTTATCACTTGTTCGGAAAGTAACTTTCTTCATCGCCTTCCATCATGATTTTACAACCGACCATTGTTGAAGCACTACTTATTGTTTGAGAAGAAAGCAGTGAAAGTGATCTTCCAAGTAAACAATCAAATTCGATCTGCACTTTATTTCAATCTACATTCTTAGTGACTTCAACAACCACAACAAATAAATATGTACATACAACAAATAGGCGGTATTTGCAAGCCACGCCCCTTCACACATGTCACGTGACCCGCAAATACCCATCACCACTACTTCGACTTCTCCCTTATTTTTTGACAGCTCATGTTCGCGATTTCGATAGTGGGCATGGGTTTATCCATAGTCTCCATTTTCCTGCCCTCCAAGATATTAGCGACCGAGCAAAACTCGTTCCATGCAAATTCCACGTGTCTGCGTTCCGTCAGCCGACTGCAGATGGCGAATCGGATGACGTGACGCCCCTGGAAGTGGCCAGTGTTCACGAAAATGTTCTTGCGTTTTTGGACTTCCTCGAGGAGTTTGATGGTGAGCGACTCGTCCCCTTTCAGTTTGAAACACACCAAGCCCATGTTGGAAGTGCACACCTCGAACCTGGGGTCTGCGCAGACCAGGTCTTCGAAGAACTTCGCCAGAGCTATTTGGCCTCGGACGTGCTTCTGGATGCCCTCGACCCCGTAGATTCGCAAGACAAACCACAGTTTTAGGGCTCGAAATCTGCGGCCTAGGGCGATTTGCCAGTGGCGGTACTCGGGGGCGAGTCCTTTGTGCTGATCCTTCAGGTAGATGCGCTCCACGTTGAAGGCCTCCACGAGGTGCTTGGCGTTTCTCATCCAAAGGGCGGAGCAGTCGAAGTTGACCAACATCCATTTGTGGGGGTTGAAGTTGAAGGAGTCCGCGTAGTCGATACCTTTCATGAGGTGTCTAGATTGACAACGAAGTGTGTCAATGGGTGGTTTATTTGTAAGTTTAAAAAATAAAACACCGGGTTTGCAACCATTTTACCTATACTCTGGGCATATGAACGCTGTCCCGGCGTACGCCGCGTCCACGTGCAACCAAATCTCCTCGTCGCGACAGATCGGCCCCAACTCTTCCAGCTTATCGAAAGCGCACGTCGGCGTAGTCCCCAGGTTAGCCACCACGTAGCAGGGAATCAGTCCTTGTTCTTTGTCTTTTCTAATCGCCTCTAGTAACGTGCCGCCCCTTAGCTGCCCTTTGTCATCCACCGGTAGGAGTCTCATGGTCATGGAACCCAAGAGACCGGCTTTCTCCACCGACGAGTTAGATTGGTTGGAGGAGTACGCCACGAGCTTGCCCTTAATCTCGGCCTCCGAGATCTCCGGGTGCACACTCCTGATGTCCGCGACCTTTTTCTCTTTGGCGGTTAAGAGGGCGACGAAAGTGACTTCGCTTGCGGAGCCCTGAGATTACCAGGGTTAGTGGGGGTCACAGATGGAGTAGGCTTTACCTGGATGACGCCGCCTCCGGGTCCTTCAGAGCAGTTGAGGAACTCCTCAGGCAGGTTGAGGAGTTTCCCCAGCCAATTCATCATGACGACTTCGAGTTCGGTGTAGGCGGGACTCGCCACCTTTTTGAAAAATAAAAAAATAATGAATTGAAAAAAAATCGAAAAGTTGTACTCACCCAGCTTAAACCAACGCAACCAAACCCAGCGCTCATGAGTTCCCCGACAATAGCAGGAAAAGAACAAGCCGTCGGATAATAAGCGTGGAAATGTGGCGACATCCAGTGGGTGAGTCCGGGCATGATTATCCTGTCGACGTCTTGCAGGACCTCCTGCCAAGCTTCTCCGGTCTGTGGGGGCTCATCGGGGATAAGTTCGCTCAAGTAGTTTGGGGACACCCCCGACAACACGGGTCTTTTGCATCATTAGTTGTTCCGTAATATACAGGGTGGCGAAGCGAATTTTTGGAAAGTATTCCGCCGAAAATGGTACATGGGCCAGTCAACACCAAAACACTAATTTTTTAATAATATTGAATAAATCGTATTACCTAATTTAATGTTCGGAAAAGTATTTGAAGTATTTTTTTTTTACTAGATTTCATCGTCTCATATTCCGAATCGGAGGAATGCCTCCATGACGTCACATGCATATTTTGTGCCATTTGAAGCTTTCTAATTAGAAAAGTGCAATTTTCACTGTTGTTCACAAATATTTTTACCCTTGCTGTATGGTTTTACGATGCACAAAATGGCCCAAATACCAAAGGGCGCCTACTTCTATCGAATGTTTATTTTTTTTTACCAGAAAATTCTTGTTTTTTGGTAGTGAGTTTTGATTTGATTTTTGCGTTCTCCCCGCCACCCTGTACGTTTTCCTCCCCCTTACCGGTCCTCCACCGAATCGATGTAATCCGCGATGTAATCCACAGCGGCTTTGGCGAACTCCCTGAATTGTTTCGAATCCATCTTTCACTTTCTCACTGTCACTTTCACGCAGCACTGAGATTCGTTAGTGGCTTGCACGGGGCTTTTATAGCGGGTGCCCTTCATAGCGAATGGGATGCGTCTAGTGGCGATTTTTCGAAAAATGTGGCGGTTACGTTCAAGGTAGAAGAAAAAACGAGCTAATTATATGTACTGACCTTCATTCGAGCGCTGTCGGTTTTTGCTCGGATTTTCGGTAAAAACGGACAAGAAAAAGGGCTTTTACGAGGCGATTTTACGGAGGGGAATACCCGGAACGCTTTTTCGGAGGGCTTCCGTCGAGCGTTACATGCGCGGAAGTGATTTTGTAAACACACCGTTTATGTCGTTATTGGGAAATGCACATAATTGTTTTTAATGATCATGTTACATGACAGTAATGTGTTTTCTATTTAAAACGACTTGTTTTTAAGTTATTGTGCTTTTTTCTGCGTGCATCTGCTTCTGTTTTTAACGAGAAATACGCAGGAAATTGCATTTTATATTCGATATTTGACAACTAGGTGACAGGTATCATCACCAGAATGCTAATTAGTTTGGGCAGGTAAAAGTCGATAGGTGCCAATTTCAATCAAAATGTATGTGTATATTATTCTTGTTCGCTTTTTTTTGTTGACTTATTTAAATTTCTAGATCGCGTTTTTTTAATTACCGAGTGTAATTCACTTGAACTGGATTCGTTTGATTGGGCTTCAGAGGCGAGGAAAGTTCTGTCCAAATAACCTTGAACTAATTTAAAAATGTTCGTGCAAAATTCGCACTTATCGAATCGTCGGAATCCCGAGCAAAGCAAGAAAATAATTGAAACGGTACGACAGCCGCAAACGTCGCCTCTTCCACCTTCCCGAATGCCCGCCCAGCCCGGTCCCTCTCGCCGTCCCAAATTTTAACCGCCGTCCTTTCCTCCCCCCGCCGCCGTCATTAATCACGCCGCCTCCCGCGCCCCTCGGGACTCCCTCGGCGCGTGATTGATTGTAAAGTCACGGTGGCAAACTGATGATCCGCCGCCTTGTTCTCCGTCATAACTCCCTCGGGAGTCGGCGAGCGAAAAAGAAGAAGACTCCGCAAAGAATAATCCTTCGTGCTCGCGCGTCCGTGAAGAATTAATAAGGACGTTACCGAGGCTGAGGAAATTAAGCCGAGACAACAGGACGAGCCGTAGCGTGAGAACGGCATGTAACACGAGGACTAAGCGGTCGGCGGTGTCCTGGGGGAGCCAACTCTCGGCGCTCTAATACAATTAGCCCGCTATATGCTGTGCGTCAGGACTGTCCTTTATGTCGGATGTAGCTTTGTGGCTCCTCCGGGTGCAATGCCAGACGTAAACGAGAGACGACAACGCACGGTTTGATACTTTACACGGGGGATTAGAGGGCCGCGATTAGGCGGAGGGGGACTTGATTTGGACGGCTAATTGCGGAGGGCGGCGGAGACACTGAGAGCGACTTAAACAAATCAAAAAAATTAAGAGCAAAGCGCATCCTTTATTGCCGAAATTCCAGTCCCTAACTAGATTCTTTTCCACTTTTGAAGACCACCTCGTAGAAACGCGTTTCGTCCATTTTCTCCGAGATCAACTCCAGAGTGCACTTGCTCGCTTTGAGCAAGTTCTTGACCGGATGTACCGGGAGCTGGAAAGTGTCCTCGGAAGTGATGTCTTCGAAGACGACTGTTTTCAGAGTGACGAAAGGACAACGGTTGGGAAGTTTCACTTGGTATGTGACCGTCTCTTCGGTGGTCTGTCGCATCGGATGAGTTTCGGAATTTAGAATGAGCTTCAAAATGCGAGTACCGGTGGGAGTATCTGAAACGGAAAACTCAGGAACATCACCTACACTCCGATTAATTATCGAACAGACAGCCCCGTAGCTACGGGGGGGCAAGAGGGGGCTGAGCCCCCCCTAGCAGTTGTGGTTGCCCCCCCTGGAAGACTTATATATTATAAATTTCAAATTAGTAATAAAATTTCAATATAATGCCGATTGCCGAAGCTTATTAACTGGCCCCACCCGCCCCACCTTTATTTTCGTACAGGGTATATTATTTGGCAATATCACCTTACCGTTGATGTTGACCGTATAAAAAAATGAACATGTCACATTTTATTCCATAGCCTACTATGTAGGTACTTGAGAAAAGTCAAAAATATTATATGGATTTTCTAAAAATTGAGCTTTTATTGAAATGGACAAAAAATCGACAAAAAATTCTGAGATGTAGATCTCGATGAGCTTAATCAAAAAACATAAGGTCTTGATGGTCCCAGACCAAGATTTTTCAAAAATTCGGTTCCAAAGTCGACATTTCAAGATTTCTGAAAAATTACATTTCTTTTGGCGGCTCTGGAAAAATTGTACGAATTTTCGAAAAAATAAAACCAAAAAAAAAACATTTGGAGATCGAAATCAATAAAAAGATCCCTTCTACTAGTTTTCGAAAATGCGTGGAAAAAGTCAAATTTTTTTTATAGATTTTCAAAAATTGAGCTTTTGTTGAAATTGGCTGAAAATCTACAAAAAATTCTGAGATGTAGATCTCGACGAGTTTAGTCAAAAAACATAAGGTCTTGCTGCTATTCGGTTTCCAAGTCGAATTTTTAAAATTTCTCAAAAATTATACTCCTATTTCTTTTGACGATTCTAGAAAAATTTTACAAATTTTCGATCAAATAAAACCAAAAACAACATCTGAAGATTGAAATAAATAAAAGAATGACTTTCGGTAATTTTTGGAAATGCTAAGAAAAGTCAAAATTTATTTAGTTTTCAAAAATTGAGCTTTTGTTAGAGTTGACAAAAAATTCTGAAATATAGATCTCGATGAGCTTAATCGAAAAACATGTTCATGCTCCCGGAGCAAAATTTACGAAATATTGGGTTCTACCTAAAATTTCTAAAAAATCTCAAAAGTGACTTAAAAAAAAGTTATTTCTTTATGCGATTGTGGAAAAATTCGACGAAATATCAAAAAAATAAAACCAAAAATAACATCTGTAGATCGAAATCAATAAAGAGATCCCTTTTGCTAATTTTCGAAGATGCTTGGGAAAAGTCAAAAAATGTATATGGATTTTCAAAAATTGAGCTTTTGTTGAAATTAACAAAAAATCAACAAAAAATTCCGAGATGTAGATCTCGATGAGCTTAATCCAAAAACATAAGGTCTTGATGGTCCCAGACCAAGATTTTCGAAAAATTCGGTTTCAAAGTCGACATTCCAAAATTTCTCAAAAATTACATTTCTTTTGGCGGCTTTGGAAAAATTGTACAAATTTTCGAGAAAATAAAACCAAAAACAACATTTGGAGATCGAAATCGATAAAGAGATCCCTTTTGCTAATTTTCGAAAACGGTTGGGAAAAGTCAAAAACATTTTATGGATTTTCAAAAATTTAGCTTTTGTTGAAGTTGACTAAAAATCCACAAAAAAATCTGAAATGTTGATCTCGACGAGCTCAGTCAAAAAACACAAGGTGTAGATGGTCCCAGATCAAGATTTTCGAAACATTCGGTTTCAAAGTTCAAAAATTACATTTCGTTTGGCGATTGCTGAAAAATTTTACGACTTTTCAACCAAATAAAACCAAAAACAACATCTGGAGATCGAAATCAATAAAGGAATCCCTTTTGGTAATCTCGAACGTGCTTGAAAAAAGTCAAAAATTTGATACAGGTTCTCAAAAATTGCCATATTTCTTCCGTCGATTCTGGAAAAATTGTAAGAATTTTCAAAAAAATTGAATCCAAAACAAAACGATTTTTGGAAATCGAGATGAACAAAGGAGTCTCTTTTGATAATTTTTAAAAATGCTTGGGAAAAGTAAAAAATTTTATATGGGTTTTCAAAAATTGAACTTTCGTAAAAGTTGACAAAAAATTCTGAAATATAGATTTGGACGAGCTTAAAAAAACATGACAGGTTCACGGTTCCGGATCAAAATTTTCGAAATACTCGGTTTCGAGCTCGAATTTTCAAAATTTCTCAAAAATTACCATATTTCTTTTGGCGATTGTGAAAAAATTGTACGAATTTTCGAAAAAATAACCAAAAACAACATCTGGAGATCGAAATCAATAAAGGAATCCCTTTTGGTAATCTCGAACGTGCTTGAAAAAAAGTCAAAAATTTGACACAGGTTCTCAAAAATTGCCATATTTCTCCCGTCGATTCTGGAAAAAAAGTTAGAATTTTCAAAAAAATTGAATCCAAAACGATTTCTGGAAATCGAGATGAACAAAGGAATCTCTTTTGGTAATTTTCGAAAATGCTTGGGAAAAGCCAAAAATTTTATATGGGTTTTCAAAAATTGAACTTTCGTAAAAGTTGACAAAAAATTCTGAAATATTGATTTCGACGAGCTTAAAAAAACATGACAGGTTCAAGGTTCCGGATCAAAATTTTCGAAATACTCGGTTTCGAGCTGGAATTTTCAAAATTTCTCAAAAATTACCATATTTCTTTTGGCGATTATGGAAAAATTGTACGAATTTTCGAAAAAACAACCAAAAACAACATCTGGAGATCGAAATCAATAAAGGAATCCCTTTTGGTAATTTCGAATGTGCTTGAAAAAAGTCAAAAATTTGATACAGGTTCTCAAAAATTGCCATTTTTCTTCCGTCGATTCTGCAAAAAATGTAAGAATTTTCAAAAAAATTGAATCCAAAACGATTTTTGGAAGAAATCGAGATGAACAAAGGAATTCTTTTGGTAATTTTCGAAAATGCTTGGGAAAAGTCAAAAATTTGATATGGGTTTCCAAAAATTTAGCTTTTGTTAAAGTTGACAAAAAATTCTGAAATGCACATTTCGACGAGTTTAAAAAAACATGACGAGTTCATGGTTCCGTACCAAAATTTTCGAAATATTTGGTTTCGAAGTCGGATTTTTAAAATATGTACTAAACATGCAAAAAAATAAACTCAAACAAATTGGATGTTACCTATATGGTCACTACACAAATTTTTGGATGCAGTACAGCTGTTTGTCAATCTACATTCTCTGTTTTAACCAGCATTTTAACCAAGTACCGTACTAATTTTTTGGACTTCGACAGGTTTTTACGAAAATTTAGCGTAAAAAATCGACGTTTCCAATTATTTTAATGTTCTTTCAAATATAAAAACTCAGAAAAAATAAAGTAGTTATCTGAGTGTATTATTAAAATATAAATATTTACATGAAGCCCCCTCTGTCGACAAACTTGCCCCCCCTGAATAAGTTTTCTAGCTACGGGGCTGGAACAGATGGAGTTGTAAGAGTGCGTGTTCTTCACGTGATCACTCCATCTGTTCGGTAAACTAATTATAGACGTCTTACAGATTCGTTTGAACCAAAACTTGTACTCTTCTCCTTGTACGTACTGCATGACCATCTTCTTTCGGGCGTGCCACAAGATGACATTCTTCATGGGTATGGTGAGATACAGGATCATGGGACAGTTTGTGGTCACGCAGGGCTTTATCTTGCACCTGCACACCAAGTTCTCGTAGTTCTCGGGAACGACAAGGGAGAGTCGTTCGTAGCAATCTTTCGTTACCGTTCCCGTCATCGTCACTTTTATTCCCCAGTCTCCCACGTCGGGATTCGTGAAGTAGATCCACATGTCTCTAGGTTCGATATGCTGACAACAAAATGCGTGCTTCACGACGCACTGCCCTTGCGAGTTGAAGTGTGCTACGGAGCTTTCGAGGACAAACTCCTTGACGGTCTTCAGGCGTTTGAGCTCCTCCCAAGGAAACAAGACGTTTTTCTCTTGAGACACGTGCTGGTACCCGACGTAGATTAAATAATCGGCTTCCACTTTGAACGGCGACTGGAGATCGAAGACGATCTCGCAAGGCTTGTACAGCTCGACGGTCACGGGAATCTCCATGCAGGCGTAGGAAACGTCGGGAATGCCGACGATGTTTACGGCGATGCTCTTCCCGAACTTGTGTCCGGGAGTTTCGCCGCACAACACCAAAGTCGCCAAGCTAGTCCTGACCGACTTCGCGTGGAACCTCACTTTCAAGGCCTTCGACTGGCGCGGTTCAACCGTGATGTTGTCGTGGAGCACCGTAAACAAGTGACTGTCGTTGCCGAAGAACACCTCCTTGTAGTAAATCGGATCTTCTCCTAAGTTGACCAGGTCCAGCTGAGATACGTTCGACTGAGTCAAAAGCGCCTCGATCTTAATGTCCTCGCAGGGAGAATAGTGCGGCAGAATGTCGTATAAATAGCTGACAATGAGGAGTATTTCCACCATTTCGGTTTCGCTGAGTTGCGACGGCGATATGACGTAGCTGAAGTTCAGCATCTGCCACGTCTTGACCAAAACGCAAATGTTGTGGAAAATCTCCTCGGGATTGAACGAGGCGGTGTACATCTGCTTGATTTCCGACCGGACGTACGGGCAGTAGTGGGCCGTCACGGCTCCCAGGACCAACCCGTCTTGAAGGTCTGCTTTCAGGAATACCAGATCTTTGTCGGCCGGCGGCGGAGACCACAGTTTCGACTTCTCTTCGCTGTAGCAAACCCGAAGCCACTCTTTTAGCGCTTTCTCGCGTTCTCCGTACACGTCCATTTCGATAAAAATTTCCTCTTCCGCGTCAAAGGATATCTTTGACACCGAGATAAAAGAGTATCCGCGCTTGCCGTCCCTTTGAGCAGTCAGGTTTTCTTCCGACACCGGAGGGACGTACGGCACGGTGCGGAAAAAAAAGAATGCTTTGATGATCTGCAAAATCAGATCGATCCAGCACTGTTTAGAAAGGCGGTAGAAGATCGCTTCGTCCATCGGTTTCTGCTTAGGGCGCTTGATATTCTCGTACTGCACGTACTGGTCATAGTTTAGGAGGTATTTAGCCTTGACGTGGGGCAACGACACGGGAAAATCCTCAAGGTAGCGTAAGATGTTGGCGTTCGTTTTTGACACGTACGACAACCACGTGGTTTCTTCGAGGTCCTTCGGAAAACTACGGAGCAGCTGTAAGAATTAAGAACGTCGTTCGCTAACATACCTGGGTGCTAGCTTGTCCCTTATGTCCTTTCCTGCTATATTCATGATGAGTTGGAGCAACGGCATGTCGGATACTTTGGGTGGCATTAGTCCTCCGAAAATCCTTTTCTTTAGAGGTTCTCGAACTTTGCAAAATTCCGAGAATCCTTCCGGTATTCGATAGTACCCTTTGAAATAGAAACCCTGACTGAACAGCCATTGCTCTAACGCCTTTTGGAGATTTCTCATGTAATTCGCGTATGCGGACGTGTCGTCGTCGGTTGGAAAAAGCGGAAAGCAAGTAGTGTTTCTATTTGTCAATGTTTGTTTTTGCGACCTCGGTCTATGGTGGTGTGAAAATTCGTCCATGCTAGATTTACGAGTTTTGTCGTCGTTGTCTTTTTGCTGTGTTATCAAGAAATAGAATGCGTGCGTGGTCAAAAGACAGTTTTCGACCACTCCTGTCACCTCTACCACACAGGTAGAATCGCAAGAACAACAAAACTGAACAATGGTGTTGAAGCACGTCGGGTGCGAACATTCGTAGTGCAAGGTGACGTCCATCAGAGTTTCTACTTTCGAAATCGTTCGTTCTTCAAACCTAACGTTCAGATTCTCCCAGTCGCTCTTCGCCGAAATTTTGCAATTTTCGAAATGATTGAACATATGCAAACGTATCTGGAGTTGGCTGTTCGTGTTCAACGGTACCGGCTCGAAGTCACAATGCTGGGTCGACGGAAGTATCACCGGGGTATCGTAGACCCCGTGTAGCGTCAAGTAGTTGAAAATTTTATTATCATAGTAGTGACGTAAAAAAATCGGTAGTTCGATTTCATAGTCACCCTTTTCCATCGGAAAAAATTCTGCGTTGAAGCTTACCGTCTGACCGGGTTCTAAGTTGATTTTGTACGAGACCTCGTAATATTCGACTTCGACGTCGTTCGTTGGAGCCAGAGCGAACGGATCACCCAGATCGTCGATTCGTATACAAACAGCGGCAGTTTCAGTGGTCACATTTGTAATTTCGAAAGTAGTGGAAGTCATGTTGTTGCAGTGGCCCTCCCCGAAGTAGAAGAACCTTATGTTGAGACTCGAAAATTCGAGGGTTTTGTCGATCGCGGAGCAATTTACTCTGATCAGAGCCAGCGACCTAGGAATTTTTTTAATCGTAACACCCCTGATTCCACCATAGCGTAAATGTTCTTCTTGGAGAAAGTACACTGGAGTGGCGCTGCTACTGCTCTTACGAAAAGCAGGTCCTATAATGTCGTTAACGACGTACGGCAGCAACAGCGCATACGTGCTGACGTAGTTGGGATGGAAGTGGAGAAAAAGGATTTTAGTTTCTTCCACTTGCAGAACCACTTTACCTAGATGTTTGTATTGATCGTCTTCGGAATCTGTGACGGAAAACTCTGGAACTTCGTCTATAATGAAAGAAATCCACACTACGCCTTTGGAAACGTTGGTCACTTTAAAAGCCAAAGTGTCGAAAGAATACGGCGCTATCTTTCTAAAGAACAGAGTTTCAGGTTTGAGGATAATGTCGGGGTATTCGACGCATCCCTTCAAATTAATTTTGACTTCTTCGCCCTCGTCGATCTGGAAGACTATGTCGATTTCGAACTGGATAACGGCTTGCAAAAGAACGCTGATGATAAACACTTGACTGTCTAGCCCCTCTAGGATACCCCTTGTTGGATTGATTGTAATCCCAGGAACAGAGATCTCGTTTGGAATGCTGTACAAAATCGGAAACTCTTTCAGGTTCATCAAAGTTAATTTTTTCCTGACCGGCATGTTCAACGGAATCACGTCGAAGTTAACACTGTACGTGTCGAAAACGACAGAAGTTTGGCGTCTTTTGTACGTCACTAACAAATTCCTTTTTTGACCGCTCTCGGACGTCAAGACGCACTCGCTGGTGTTCAGTTCGATCGGATTAGGCCAGTAAGTGACCGCACACAGTAGAAACTTCTCCGCTTTAATTCCGCCAGCGGACGGGCATAACGTGAAAGAGCCTGCCGATATTTCCCAGTCAAAACTGGTGTAGGCATTAAGGCTGTTGATGATTTTGAAAAATTTAAACTTGCGGTCCTGCTCGGTGAATTCAATCGTCTCGGTGTCTAGTTTGAGAGTTTTGGGTACTACTTGAGCGACCGCCGTCACTTCGTACAACGTAGAATAGTTAACCAAAACGTATATGTTGATGTAGTACCGGCCAGTGCTGCAAGTACTAAAGCTAAAATACATTTTCTTTTTTTCCTTCGGAGCGATGGAGTATCGAGTGTCGCCCTCGAAAAACAGGAAGGATTTGGACGATTTCAAGTTGACGAAAATCGGAAACGTGTTCCGGTTTTCGATCACGAAGAAGTCCGTGACCGTCGTGAAGGCTGCCACCTGCGACACACACCTCGTTAAAAGTACCACAAGCCTAGAGTCGTACCTTTCGTAGCCGAATCGATTTTGGAGTTATCTTCACGTTGTACAAAAGTCTTGGCGCCAAAGGATAAAACGAAGTACTTGCCAACGGTTCTTTATTTCTTCTGACGATTTTCCCGCACTCGCCGCCATATTCTCCAAGCTTGGATTGGCTCAACTCGTACTCGTGCCAGTCCGCGGTGTCTTGTTTCGGTTTCGATTGTAAACTTCTTATGTACGCCAGCCAAAAGTCGTTGTGTTGCATTTTCTTCTGTAGCTCCACTCTGGTAAGTCGATGCGGCAGTTCCGGCTTTAACCTTACAGAAAAAATTAGGACGTGAGTACCACGGTACGCTTTCCTTACGTTAAAGGCAACTTGTCGCAAACGCACTGCTTCTTTCCTGGCTTCCTCTCAACCTCCCTGGCTGCGAAGGAGATCGACAGATCGGCTTGCCCCACTCTTTTAAACGTACCCTTTTTCGGAAAGTCTTCGGCTAGCAAGTCGAATGTGATCTTCTTCTCTTCGCGAGACAGCGACACGGCTCTTATGGTGACTGACACCACTAAACTGTGGCCACCCGCCAAATCGAACTCGTTCGGATGGACGTCGATGCAGACCGACTTATTGTACTTTACCCGTAAGGGCAAGTGCGTGGAGTTGTTCATGATAAGCAGTTCTCGTCGATAAACTTTCTCCAAAACCAACCCTTCTAAAGTCATTAAGGTCGGTCTTAACACCACCGCAGCATACTCTTTTTCTCCGTGCACGCAAACACCTATGGCGTGTTCGAAACTGAAGTTTTCTTCCGATTCGTCCTGCGGAGGTGTCATATTCAAAATCGCAACGGCACTCAAGTTGCTTATCTCTCTGGTCAAATTTGTTTGTATCGATTCCGAGTCCATTGCCGTGATAGACGAAGGTTGAGCACTAGGTGCTGCAAATGACAAGGCGGTCAAATCGAAAAGTTCGCGAGTACGACGATTACCGAACATGGCGTCGCTAGGAGTCACGTCTCTGCAGTCCATGCGGATGACTTTCAGAAAACAAGCGGCGTAATTTTTATCTTTCCTAGCTCGCGTCACGATAGGGGCGAATCTACAAACAATAGATATGACCAGGGACCGGAAGAATATGCAGCAAAAAATGCCAGATATGCACCTAAATAAGCAAAATGTAGAGAAAAGAAACAAAAGCACAAACTAAATATTACAGGTTTGAAAAAAATCTGAAGTTGGAAAATCAACTTCGTAGCGTCATTAGTAGAAGCAAATGCAACAAATTCATATAACTGTGTAGACGACTTGAAAATGCATTAAAATATGCATTTATTACGAAATATGTATTTATAGGCAAAATAAAACTATGTCAGGATATTTAGAAAGTTATGAAACCGAAAGGTATTTTAAAAGATACTTAAAACTACTTCGCATAAAAATATGCAAGAGCATACGAAACCGCTCTTCGGTTATTGGCAAATTTCGACCCTTACGTCATCTGAATTATAGCTCCTTTAAGAGCCGACAGTCGCCCGTCGATCGGTTTTATAATGAAATTGCGGTAGTTGTCGTCGATTTTTCTCGCCTCGTCCAACGTCTGAAAAATGTTAATAATTGTCATAATTACGCCTCATGAATATTAATCGGTTGCTCGTTTCCATTGGTTGTGCTCGCACCTGCCTACCGACACGTGACTTACCACGATGCTACCCTTGATCTCGGCCATGACGCAAAACATAGAATGCGAGGAACTAAAGTTTTTGATCAAGAGAGGCTGAGTGGACGTAGAGCCGTAGTACGTAGGAGGGAAGTCGAGGAGGGTGAAGTCCAAACTATTGATGAACTTCCTGACGAGGAGTTTCGGCGAAATGAAAGCTCCCATCATGACTACTCGTAGCGGGGGGTCCGACTTAACCCACAATTCCTCGAGGAACTCCCCTTCCTCCTTGCCGACGATCTCCACTTTGATGGCGACCGAACTTCTGGCCTGAAAAAAACCCTCTGTTACGTGAGGGATTAGAGTACAAGGTTTACACCCACGGGAAGGACTCCTTTGCGCGGCTCGATGGTCATCTCCAGCGCGTTCTTGGCCATGTCGATGGCGAAGTGAGTCCCCTTGAAGCCCGAGTTTTTTATGTAAAAAATGCGAGTCGTCGCATGATTAACCGCGTCTATCCTTCCAAAGTCGAGCAGTTGCGGTTCGAGAGAGAGTATCGACTTGGAGAGCTTCCTAAAGAAAGAGTAGTACTTTTGGCACCTTAGCTAGGGGTCGTCTTACACAACGAAGTGGTAGCGCATCTCTTTACCGTTCACCCATATGGTAGTGAAACCCTTCAGCACCCCTCCGGTTCTCCTGTATGTATAATGGACGGTCCGAGTGATCTTTATCCCAGGCGAGAGGTACTGTCCGCTGGTGAAGGATGCGAACTCGAACGTCTGCAAAATTTTCGTTGAAGTTTTGTCGCGGATGGGGGAAAGATTACTTTAGAGTTGGGTTCGCAGAGGCGGATGAAGGCTAAGCGGCTGCCGCAGTTCTGGATGACCAGACGTTCTTTGTAGTGTTTGCCTTCGTAGGCATTGTCGAAGAGCATGTAGGAAGGCGTGATGCGGACATCGTCGAACGTGAAAACCTTTTCTTGTGGGAGTTCATCGTCGTCGGAAGATTCCACTGATCGAGGTGATCCTTTTGCTGTGTTTTTGAAGGTTTCATGGGACATTCGCAATTGTAGAAAAAAAAAAAGGGAAGAAAATAAATTGACGTTTCTTACAAAAAGCTTACTACGTTCTATAAAAAAAAGCAATGGTATTTTTGCTTACCGAAAATCAAGTTATTATGCTTAGGGAGGAGAGTCGGCATAGTAAACTTAGAAGTGGTAATAAACAAGAACACCTTGAACGTCAAAACGAAGTCGTTCGATATACTCCAACAACCAAAAAAAGACAGCAGTCTCCGTAGTAGAAACTTCTTCTGATTTTGGTGCATACGTTTTTAAACTATGAATTTTCTTACGTCACTATTATGATAATAAATTTTCGACTACTTGACAGTAAAGTCACTTTATAAAAAATCGTCGAGTACGGTTACAATCGAGGTTGTAAGTAATTAACGAATCCGTTTGTCTAGTAACGACACAGTTTTCACAATTCAGTTGGCTGGCGTTTTTAAACGTCACATTTTTTATGAGAGTTTCTTAACTGCAATGTCTGCTGACTCTTTTGGTACTCATCGCACATTTCCAATTTCTAATGACAACATTTTAGAATCGGACGAAAACTTATGCGACATCATCGTGGTGGACGATGTCAGAATTACTCCCGGGTATGTGCACTTTAAGAACGCATATCAAGGTAAACGTTTCAAGCAAAAAGTGGTCATACAAAACTGTGGTAAACACTTGGCTTTCATCCGAATGCTCGAGTCGAGCTCAAAAGTAAGTATCCGTCGAAAATTACGTAGACTATTTTAATGCTTTCCAGAGTTTCACAATCATGTCCTTTCCAAAAGGGATTTACCTTTCTTCAGGTATGAAACTAACTCGTACCGTGAGTTACACTTATGACAAAACGCTAGGGGTTCTAAAAGGTTTCGTTAACATATGGATTAACGAAAAGGAAATCAATTACAAATTTTTTGTGTACGGATGATAATATTTGGAAAATAGTAATGTGCAAACACATTTTTAGGACCTTGACGCAAACCATTCTCTCGATAGAGCCGCAACAAGTAGATTTCGGTAATCTAGATGCCGTGAACCGAGCGTCTTCTAGAACTTTTTATCTAAAAAACTCTGGTTGCAAAGGATCAATGTTTGCTATAGATTTGGGTCGGAACCCTCTAGGTCTTATGGTTCAACCCATGAAAGGAGTAATTTCGGTACCACCGTAATATAACCTTCATTTTTACTTTCTTTATCGTTTCTTCTTCAGGCAAAGAGTACTGTGCCCATAACGGTAGAAATCGTTGGTTCCAAAGTAGGAGATTTCTTAGAAGAGTTATGGCTGAAAACAGATCCTCCGTTGAGGATCGTAGTCATGGGAACGTTTATCGAACCTAAAATTGTCCTACGAAAATGGATCAGCGGCTTAGACTTCACTCTAATGCATTTCAGTTCCACTTACTACGGTGCTGGTACTACAAGACCGCTCTTTATTAAAAATTTTAGTTCATCGCATTCGATGTACTGCATAATGGCAGAGGTCAGGGGTACTACTATGGTACGTACTTGGGATTATAAAAATCGATTCTTTAAAAATGTGCGTTAGACTTTGGAAGAAGCAAGAAAAATCGACGATAATTATCGTAACTTTTATGTAAGACCGATAGACGGGCGAGTGGCAGCTCTTAAAGGAGCCATCATTCAATTATCGTAAGCTTATGTCTCAAGCCTTTTCTTACCTTCATTTAAAATCGTAGATTCACGCCGAAGGCTGAGCCGAGAAGAGTACAGCACTACGCCGCATGTTTCCTGAAGATAATTCGCATGGACTGCAAGGACGTGGATACGGATATATACGGTACTTTTGAATCGGATGAGGCTGACCTCTTATCGCCAATTCTTTTTAGAATATTCAAATGAAATTCATCGAGATATGAGCGACGTTGCCTCGTACGCCCCCAGCAGAGACACTTTTTTTAAGGAAAACAGTACGAACACCATCGTGAGTTTTACCGCCGAAGAAGACACATTAGGGGGCGAACATGAGTTTAGTTTTGAGCATTCAATAGGGGTTTGTCTTTATGGCGAAGCGGAAGCTGCCGGCGTTATTCTGAGACCAACATTCCTCGCTTTAAGCGAATTGACTCTAGATAAGTTGTATCAGCGGGAGATACTGGTTACCAATAAATCACAGATTTTACCTGTGAAGGTGGTTTACCAAAAGGTGGCATCCATCGATGTAAGACCTACAGAATTTGTGTTGGCACGTGGTGACTGCTTAGAAATATTGGTTACAATAAGATCTACCAAACTGGATTTGCTGGTCAAGGAGATCACTTTTGAACTGCTTGCAAGAGATGTTCCTCCAGAAAAGAATGTCGTTAGAAAAGTGGGCGTAGCTCATTTGACAATTCGCTTGGAAACTTCTGCTGTCGTAAGAAAGCCAAAGTTTGATCACTGTGTTGTCTGTACCGATATAAATGACAGGTATGCTGGAATCATATATGAGACAACTTTTCATCTTTGTGCTTAGGTTAGATCCGGAGTTTCCATTTCGGCTTAACGAGATGGAATTGGCGAAGAAAAGAAAAAATGACACCTACTACATGAATTACATCCGAAGTTTACAAAGGCGTCTACCTGAGCGACGGAGTCGTTCTATCGTACAGAAACTGTTACGGTGTTCAAATATGCCATATAAAGAACCACTCGAGGATCAATGTCGTTACTGTAAACAATTCATACCGTTACCGCCAAGTTTACTGTATAACGTAAAGATCACTCCAAAGTCGATAACTCTACGAAAGGTCACGACATCATATCTATGTTTTTTAGCTAATTTTTTTCTTTTAGGTGGCAGCTTACACGACCATATCCGATTATTTCGAAATCGAAAATTTAAATACGTTTCCCATCCAAGTCTCTACAAAATCGTCAAAGACTTGTATAGTTTTCGATCAATTAAAGCACGTTATTCAGAGTAAAGAAAAAAGAAAAATCATCTTCGAGTTTAGTACCACGGAAGTTGGGAAATATAACGTCAATATAAACGTCTTAGTCAACGACAGTACGTTGTATGAAGTGACAGCCGTAGCTCAAGTGGTTCCCAAAACCCTTAAAATAGAAAGCGAGACCATAGAATTCTCGCAAAGAGACGGACATTTTAAATTTTTCAGATTAATTAACAATCTCAACGCGTACACCGTATTTTCTTGGGACGTGCCTGACGGTTGTTACAAGATATTCCCCATGTTAGGCGGTATCCAGGCTGAGAGATCTATGCTGTGCTTGGTTACGTTCGATCCAGGTCTGTCCCTACCCGTGAAAACTGAATGTACTTTGACTTCTGAAAGTGGCCAACAAAGAGTACTTGTAATATCGAGCCAAAAACGAGAGCCTCTTGTGGCTTTCGACAGTAACAACATCGACCTAGGGATGATTCCTTTAAATGTATGCGTCATTAAGAAACTGACTCTAACAAATTTAAAAAGATTTCAAACTGTATATCGAATTGATAATTGTAATCCTATTCCTGGAATCGTTGTGGAACCGAGCGACGGAGTTTTACATGAGTTAAACAGTGAAACGTTCACAATCAGGATATTACTGAAGGCGGTTATTGAGTTCTCCGTGAAACTACAATTTATAATCGACGAAATCGAAACGATAGAAGTCGGCTTGGAAGGAAAAGTCGCTTTTCCTAGTCTGATATTCAAACCCAGTATTTTACACTTTAGAAAGATGTCGCCGTGTTCTTTCGATACTTTGGCGTTTAAAGTTACCAATTCCTCTCCCTGCGAGTCGTCCGTCGCTTTCCCATTTGAGGAGTATCCGGAGTTTACCGTCAGCGAAGACGAAGACGATTTTACTCACCAAAGTCAGATAACGCTTCCGGCTGACGCGAGCAAAATGCTGTTCTTGCACTTTTTCCCTGTGTATATTAGCACCTACTCGATACTCTTGCCTTACGTCGTCAATGGTATTATCGGACCGACACGCGTTAACAGCGGTCGTTCGCGCAATGCTCAATATTACCTGGAAGCGAATATGCCACAATACGAAAATTTACCGTCCGTAAAACTCGGAAAACTTCCCTTATGGCTGGCGACCGTTCGCATTAATTGTGCAGCGACGGACGTAAGTCTTGCTCTTTCTCAAGCTGACATTGGTTTTGTGTTTTACGGAAAAGGTCACTACAATAATATGACGAAGACCGAGTTTGTGATTTCCAACGTCGGCAGCAAAATGCACACGTTCTGTATCAGAACGGACGAATTAAGTGATCCGTTCTCTTTGACACCAAAGAGCGATTCAAATATAGAGATTTACGATTCGTCCTATAAGATCATGTTAGAACCGGGCGAAAAAATAGTGTTCGACGCAGAGTTTTCGCCGTCGGAAGTCGGAGGTTACGAAGTCAGATTACCTATTTTCCTGAAACATTACTTCGACAACAAGATGTTCAGTTGTTTAAGAATGACAGGAGTGTACGACCGGCCTAAGATAATCTCGATGTACGAACGTTACGCTCTGGAACCGGTTCCTGTCGGTTTAATAAGTGATCAAAGTATATTTTTAAATTTGCATGACCACTTTGAAAATTGCCAGATCTTTATCGAGACTGACTTAATAGGAGTAACTGTTAGCTTTGACGAAAAGCCAAAGATAGGCGATTTTCTGCTGGGCTCGACGCTTCATTTTAAAACAACAAAACCCCGTTGCATTAATACTGAAATCGTTTTTCGCTGCACTTGTAAAGCTGAGTGCACCATCGCAGTCACTGGAGTTGTAGAAAATTGCCTACTGACGACGCATACTTACGCATACATGTTGCAGAATCGGGAATCAAAGGTTGAGGTAATTTGTTTTGATCATTTTCTATTCCAAAAAAGAGAAGTCTTCGGCACTTTTACTTTTGCATGGAGTGTGTTTTAAAATATTTCTCTTTTTTGGAATTCTCTCGATGGAAATCGTCAACGTTGCGTGTACTGTAGAATCCGTCCGATACTTCGTTCCTCAATGTGACTCCCCGTTCTAAATTTGTGAATATGACAGCTAATCAGAATACGAGCTGTTTTCCTTTGTTTCCCGCTGACGATGACTATTCCGACTATGCTTGCTACATGCGAAGCGTGCGGAAAGCTCTAGAAGACTGGCTCTACTCTCAAGCGTTTTACTTGAAGAGCTATCACAGACTACCAGACGGCTTCGCAGATTTCGCTAAAATTCACAAAACCAAAACAGACAAGAAATTCGGACACGTGAGGCCAGCGCACGTCGAAGATTTACCACTTGTCGTGCTGTTGATAAATTTTGCCGGCCCCCGCGTTAGAAAAATATTAATGACGACCAAGTATAATAGGCAGTAGTCTGTTTCTGTTAAGCTGACGGCAAAATTTTAGGACACCCGAACTGGGCGACGAGATGGGTTGGTTCAAATTCACCTACACGACCAGATGCAACGTTTTAAAGTATCTTCGACAGTTTCCTGTCTATTTGCCCCACGTTAAAACAAAATATCTTCTGAATTACGAACAATACCAATTTTATGTAAAACTGAAACATCCAGAGACGAAGATCATGGACGAATCGACTTACCGTCGACTATGCACCCAATGCTTTGTCGATTTGATTTTGCAGATCATTAAAGTTTTCGTCTTTGATCGCGTGATACCTCTGTCGATGCCGACCGACGCCGAACAGGAAGAAGACGATTCGTCGTTGGCGTACGACCATCTGTATGCGGTTATGTCGGCCGAGCACGTCGGCGAGGACATTTTAAAAACTGGAATTTACGGCTCGAGAGAAAAAGTGCTAATAAAGTGGCTGCAAACGTGTTACGACGTGCAGAAAGAAACTCTATGGAACAGACGGCCCGCCGACAGGGAAGTAATTTTTTTCGAAACAGACTTGCGAGACGGACTCGTCCTGGGCGCTACCATAGCTCAATACGTCCCGTACGTTAGTGAAGAAATCCGTGACATGTATTCGAACCCACGAACGTGCGAAGAGCTGCACCACAACGCCTGCATCCTAGTCAGAACTTGCCAGCTGTTGCGCTTCAGCTACATCCTCAGACCTGACGCGTTCTTGCAAAGCAACGCCATCGAGATGCTTCTCTTCGTGACCTACTTGTACACCATCTTGCCGTATTACGCCCCCAAGTCTACCAGAATGATAGAAGCGCCTCTGACGGAAAAGTCCACGATTCCGATCCAACTGGAAAACTTAGGCAACGACCCCATCGTTTACGAGGTGTTGTTCTTCAACAACCCGAACGGGCTGTTTTTCGCACTCGAATCCGTGGTGACGATCGCGCCGCAAACCGAAAAAGCCGCCAGAATTCGATATCATGCCAAGTTCGTCACGACGGCCACCACCACCGTACTGTTCTCTGGGGAGACACCCGAAAACAAGTACGGTAGGAGCATCGCCATGACGCTCCTGGGCGTAGCTGACGTTACCGAAGCCTACCAAGAGATGCCGCTGACCCTCAAGTTGTACAAGCCCTGTCAGCTTTCTCTGCCTATACACTCTCCTTTTCACGTACCGTCCTCGTATACTGCTATCTTCGGGCCGTATACGAACCCCGCGGACTGCAACAAAGTGTTGTATCCTTGGCAGGAGTTGAGAACTTTGAAAAGGCCTAAAGAGTTGATCATGCACCAGGACACATTTGAGTTCGATTCAGAAGGCAACACGACGGTATCTCCGGTAGTGTGCGTTCAAAAAATTGGTCCTAGGGATATACTCTGTTACTGGACGAATCCAGAAGTAGGAGACTGGGTGGTTAAAGTACACCTCTTAGGAAAACCGACAGAGGAGTGCTACGAACGTATAGATGTTAAGATTCCTCCCCATTACTCACAGTTGACGTGCAAATGCCAAGTCAAGAACGTCAAAACCGGATGTCCGAAATTACTCTACGCTAAGTTGCCCAAGATCAACACGCCCTTGTGGAACGCGCGTAAGAAGATGCTCCTGTACAGCGTCGAAGAGGGCGCGGAAAAGCAATTTTGGTCCAGGATAGTCTGTAAGTGGCGATGCTTCTGTGTGCGTAAATTTATCGAATATGTTTTAGATACCTCTATGGGCACTCGGATTCTCAAGCTGATCTTCAATTCGGAAACTCATCCTGTGGCCGAGAATATCCCAGACTCAATGACTTATCTCGTGGACGTCCTCAGCTCAAAACTCTTCATAACTGTGGAGAAAGTAGTGATAGACGACATCATTTCTGACGACTTTTACGAACTTCCCATTCATCCTCTGAAAAGCGTCCTCAGGAACAAGATCGCCAAATTGCACCTCGTCACGGAAAACGGTCTAGAAACGCGATTTTATAATCTGCATTTCATAAAAGGCGAATCGATCCACAAAGAAAGCCTGATGGAAACAAACCAATAATAAATTTACATTTAAGATCTGCGAATCTTTTTTCCGACTGCGACACGAATCCGCGCAAAAACTGCACCAGGAAGTGTCACTCGACCGCAGCCTCGGGCTCTCAAAATTCATTGTTATTGCCAAGGTGATGCGACGCTGTCGTATCTTGCGGTTTCCTCTTTCTCTTAACTGCTTTTTATTAATTGTTATTTGCTCGTCCACTCCAGCCCCGCGTAATATGTTTTTATTGTCGCATAATACACAGCGTCAAGTATCCGAGGGTCCGTAATTCAATTGGAGCGTCGTTCCCCTCAAAAGAGTCGAGATGTTTGGATAAACGAATTAGCAAACAGAGCAGCAACCCGCAGACGCACGCCTCAACGAGCCATTTCAATATTTAATAATTAAAAATTACGACGCCCAAGGCGACGTGCATCTGCTTCACCTCTTGCGTGCCGAGGCTTGCAGGCTGAATTTCAATTAGAGAAAAACAAAGAAAAGACGGTAATTGGTTTATTGTATTCGGATCGAGACGCAGAAATGAGAATCTGATTCACCCAGCGAAACTTATTATTAGTTGTTTTAGAAGTGTTATGGAATTTGATGATTTTCTACATACGGAACACGACCACAACTGGAATTAACTTCATCAAAAAAATAAATGTTTTGTGTTTGCAGATCGTAGCGGTGGCATTCCAGGTCTGACAGTATCGTTGACAACGTAAAGCAAAAGTATCAAAGATTTCTGTCGTTTCGGTTTCACAGAAAACTTAATCATTGCCTTCAGTATTCGTAATTGTGATCGGTTGACTGTCTAACTCGTGTAAAACTTATTGGTGCTGGGTTCTACAACGATTCCAGGAATAGCGTTACAATTATTATCAATTCGATATACAGTTTGAAATCTTTTCAAATTTGTTAGTCAGTTTCTTAATGACGCATACGTTTAAAGGAATCATTCCTAGGTCGATGTTATTATTGTCGAAAGCCACCAGAGACTCTCGTTTTTGGCTCGATATTACAAGTACTCTTTGTTGGCCACTTTCAGAAGTCAAAGTACATTCAGTTTTTAGGAGTGGGGACAGACCTGGATCGAACGTAACCAAGCACAGCATAGATCTCTCGGCCTGGATACCGCCTTACATGGGGAATATCTTGTAACAACCGTCAGGCACGTCCCAGGAAAATACGGTGTACGCGTTGAGACTGTTAATTAATAAAAAAAATTTCAAATGTCCATCTCTTTGCGAGAATTCTATGGTCTCGCTTTCTATTTTAAGGGTTTTGGGAACCACTTGAGCTACGGCTGTCACTTCATACAACGTACTGTCGTTGACTAAGACGTTTATATTGACGTTATATTTCCCAACTTCCGTGGTACTAAACTCGAAGATGATTTTTCTTTTTTCTTTACTCTGAATAACGTGCTTTAATTGATCGAAAACTATACAAGTCTTTGACGATTTTGTAGAGACTTGGATGGGAAACGTATTTAAATTTTCGATTTCGAAATAATCGGATATGGTCGTGTAAGCTGCCACGTAAAAGAAAAAATTAGCTAAAAAACATAGATATGGTGTCGTTACTTTTCGTAGAGTTATCGACTTTGGAGTGATCTTTACGTTATACAGTAAACTTGGCGGTAACGGTATGAATTGTTTACAATAACAACGTTAATCCTCGAGTGGTTTTTTATACGCCATCTTTGAACACCGTAACAATTTCTGTACGATAGAACGACTCCGTCGCTCTGGTAGACGCCTTTGTAAACTTCGGATGTAATTCATGTAGTAGCTAGGTGTCATTTTTTCTTTTCTTTGCCAATTCCATGTCGTTAAGCCGAAATGGAAACTCTAGATTTAACCTAAGGACAAAGATGAGAAGTCGTCTCATATATGATCCCAGTATTTATATCAGTACAGGCAACACAGTGATCAAGCTTTGGCTTTCTTACGACACCCGAAGTTTCCAAGCGAATTGTCAAATTTCGATTTCACAATTTTCCAATTTCGGATTTTTCTATGTTACTCATCAGTTTTTTTAATTGTTCAATTTTTTCATTTTACAATTTTCCATATTTTCGATTTTCCAATTTTTAGAATTTCAGTTAATTTTCACTTTTTAGATTTTTAAAATTTTTCGATTTTTCATTTATCAGATGCTCCATTTTTCGAATTTTCAATTTCTGAATTTTCAGTTAAGTATTTATCCGCTTTTCCAATTTTTGGATTTTCCAATTTTTTTTTAAATTGCTTTATTTTCAAAACCATGATTTTGATCTCTCAAGTTTCGTTTTTCGATTTTACGATTATCCGGTTTTTCAAACATCTTATTCACTAAATTGTTTGATTTTTCAAGTTTTCGATTTTTTATTAATTTTCAATTTTTTAATTCTTTAGTTTTTGATTTGTGAATCTTTCGCTTTTCCAATTTCTTTATTTTTAGTTATTCGATTTTGCAATTTTTCGAGTTTTCAGTTGTTTTTCAGTTATACGGTTTTTCAGTAGTTTGATTTTATAAATTTTCGAATTAAAATTTTTTCTTCTGCAACTTTTCGATTTGTAACTTTTTGATTTTGCAATTTCCGATTTTTGCAATTATCGGATTTTTTGAGTTTCTTGGACTTTTTAGAATTCTTAGATTCTTTGATTTTTTTAGCCTTTTTTTTTTGATAATTTCGATTTTTCTATGTTAATAGATTTCCAGAATTTCCTGGATGTCTTGCGTTTCTTGGATTTTTGGGATATTTCCATTTTTGGTTTTTTTGGATTCTCGGGATTTTTTTAAATTTTTGGATTTTTTAGGGTTTTTTGGATATTTTCAATTTTTGGAATTATTGGATTTTGTGAGTGTTTTTGACTTTCGCGGGTTTCTTGGAATTTTTTAAATTTGAAAACTTTCGATTTTTGGATTTAAAGAATTTCTTGGATTTCTTAAATTTTTTGGGATTTTAAAATGTTTGGATTTTTTTGGATATTTTCGATTTTTGGAATTATTGGATCTCTTGAGTGTTTTTGAGTTTCTTGGACTTTTTAGAATTCTTAAATTCTTTGATTTTTTATTTTTCCTTATTTTTTTTTGATAATTTCGATTTTTCTGTGTTAATAGATTTCCAGAATTTCTTGGGTGTTTCGCGTTTCTTTAATGTTTGGGATATTTTCCATTTTTGGTTTTTTTGGATTCCCCGGATTTTTTTTAATTTTTGGGTTTTTTGGATACTTTGGAAGTTTTAGATTAATGGATTTCCAAAATCTCTTGTTTTTTCATTTTCTTGTTTTTTGTCTTTTTTTTTTGGATATTTTCAATTTTTGGAATTATTGGATTTCTCGAGTGTTTTTGACTTTCGCGGGTTTCTTGGAATTTTAAAATTTGAAAACTTTCGACTTATGGATTTAAACAATTTCTTGGATTTCTTAAATTTTTTGGGTTTTTAAAATGTTTAGATATTTTTTGGATATTTTCGATTTTTGGAATTATTGGATCTCATGAGTATTTTTGAGTTTCTCAGATTTATTGAATTTTTTAGTTTTTTTTTTGGATTATCATGGTTTTAAATTTTCTGCAAATTTTAGATTTTTGGATTTCCTGAGTTTCTTGTTTTTTTTTGGATATTTCGGATTTTTTGGAATTTTCGAATTCCTTGGATTGTTTTGGATGTTTAGGATTTTCTGACATTTTTTAATTCTTTTGGGTTTTTTGGATATTTTTGATTTTTGCAAGATCCTCCAAGAAAATAAGGGTGGGTGGGCGGGGGGCTAGTACTTTGCAAGATAAGACTGATTTTGGCAGATAACCCACTCTTCTAAGAAAATAAAGGGTGGGTGGGGGGGGGGGGGCTAAGACTTATCAAGATGAGACTGATTTTGGCAAATGACATCCGCTAAGAAAATAAGGGAGGGTGGGCGGGAGCCTAGTACTTGCCAAGATAAGACTGATTTTGGCAGATGACTTATTCTTCTAAGAAAATAAAATTGAAAAATCAGACAAATGAAAAATTGAAAAAGAAACAAATCTTATAGAATCGAATTCGAAAATTCCTGTCAACTTTTGAATATTTCATTTGATAATTTTTTGACAATTTTGCAGTTTTTAACTGCAATTTTTGATTTTTCAAGTTTTAACTTTACGATTTTGGAATTTTTTGATTCTTAATTTTTCAAGTTCTAAGGTTAAAATTTTTCGTTTTCACGATTGTCACTTTTCGACTTTTTATAAAAGAACAAATTTATTCGAACCGAAATTTTGAAAAATCGAAAAATTGAAAATTAGAAACAAAATTTTCACATGTTTTAAAGTTACGGTAAACATGGCAATCACAACGCCGAGTAAGAGTCAATTAAAGACGTACTTCTAAGTTTAAATTATCTTAATGCCTACTATGAGATTCTAACAATTTTTCCGTCGCCCTCTATCGTGTGGTAGATTTAAGAACAGTTTTGTTGCTGTTATGAGGGTAGTCCATGCCCGGTCTCCTCCAACTCACCTCACGGCCTCCAGCGCCTCCCCCATCGCGTCCTCCGACCACGGCGTCGGGTTGGACCTCGACAGCTCGATGCCCTCCCGCTTGCACCTGCCGTACAGCGTCCCCGTGGGGATGCCGAACTCGGTGGAGGCCTTCTGCACGGACGTCTGCCCCGAGCGGATGGACTCCAGCGCCTTCTCGAGGTCCTCGGGCGTCCACAGTACGCCCACTTTTCTAACGACATTCTTTTCGGGAGGAACATCTCTTGCAAGTTGTTCAAAAGTGACCTATTTGACCAGCAAATCCAGTTTGGTAGTTCTTATTGTAACCAATATTTCTAAGCAGCCACCACGTGTCAACACAAATTCTGTTGGTCTTACGTCGATGCCACCTTTTGGTAAACCACCTTCACAGGTAAAATCTGTGATTTATTGGTAACCAGTATCTCCCTCTGATACAACTTATCTAGAGTCAATTCGCTTAAAGCGAGGAATGTTAGTCTCAAAATAACGCCGGCAACTTCCGCTTCGCCATAAAGACAAACCCCTATTGAATGCTC